CCTAAACAAGTAATTATATTTCATGCTGAATCTCAGGGTGTAAGTCTTTGAAAGTGCACAATTTGGAATTAAAAAGTGTAGTTCTCTTTTTTTTTTTGTCAGATATAGCACGAGTGGACCCAGGAATGTAAACTGGCACTAAAAACCCAAGTAAAACCCACATAATAAATAAAACAAAACAAAATTAAACAGCGACCATGGAAGCATTAATCTTGCAGAGACACTGAGGACACCCTGGCATGGCATGTGAAGGCAGCATGAACTGATGAGTAGAGTGGCTGCAGCTGCGACTGATGAAAGAGCAGACAGGTGGAGGTGAGCCTGACTGGAAAAGTACTGACTTGTGCAGAAGAAAATACAAAAACTAATCAAATAAAAAAACGCAATTCTGGTCCTTTTTATTTACTATTTATTGAATTTTTATGTTTTTCTTATTGTTTGTTTGCTACTTTCAGTAGTGTTGCTGGTTTCTCCTCCATCTTATTTTTTTTTTCATTTAACGGTGTCTGGTTTAATTAAAAGAACGATTTTTGTTCTTTAGTCTTTTCCAACACCAGAAATATTAGATATCAGCAATGAGAATGCTGCTTCTCCCAAATCTTCCTTAACGTTCCTTAATATATGGGTCCAGAAATGGAGCAGGTCTACTTTGTAAGCTTTTAGAGAAAAACTTCAAAAAGCCACAGTCAAAAAGAACTAGTTTTGTTTTACCAAGAACCATCTGCTTTGGATCATTGCTTTCTTTAGCAAAAATACAGGACTTTAATATTGACACCAGCAGGAGAAAGTGAACATTCTGCTACATTTCTTCTTTCAGTATGTACCAAAGTCAGACAATGTCCCTTTTTTTCCTGTTTTGTGTGGATGAAACATTTGTAGAAACAATGCCATTAGTCTGAATATATATTTAGAAAACAAATATTTTAAAAGTTTTTTTTTTTTTTTTTTTTTGGAGGAAAAAGGGTTTGCATGAATAAGGCCAAAGATGAGGGAACCGTGTAATTCCAAGGTGCAGTTGTTATAAACTGGTTGGATAATGCCTGAAAGCTAAAAGATAATATGTTTTTGTAAGTTGTATAGCCCCCTCTTTGTGATAAATCATAATACAATTCTTTTGAAACAAAAATCTAGTTCAATATATAACTAATTTTAAAAATTAGACCCATAATACAAAATTGACAAGAATTCTTCTCCCCTCCTTGTCTCGTTCATGGTTATATATTGATACTTGTTCTGCTTTTACACACAAACAAGAACGAGGAATTAAACCAATCTTATATTTATGATATATTTATTGCCCATTAGCAACTGTTAAAAAAAAATCTCGGGACTTCAGATGACACTGTAATTGTATTCTGAATGGAAACTGAAGAGACCATTGCACTAAACCATCTTAGTACGGGCGTGTGGAAAAATGAGTGGTGAGAGCAGCAGCAACCAGGGCTCGTCTGCACTTCAAGTCACAGTTACACCTGGAACTACTCGATTGTCTTACCTGGTGAAGGACAGAGCATCAGGAAAACTGTATGTGTGTGTGTGTGTGTGTGTGTGAGAGTAGGATTAGAAAGAGAGGAGGAAGCCTGACAAAATGGATGAGAAGGTTGAGTATGACTGACAAATTTGGAGGTGGAGGAAAGTGATGGCACCCTGAGCTGGTTAAGATAACATGAATTGATGCACACATGGTGTGTATAAACACATATATAGCAAATGACTATAAAATAGGGAGGCAAAATATTAGACTTTTGGCCAATATCCAATATGCCAATATGTTAAAACTTATTTGGCCGATAACCAATACCGATTTTTATTTTTTTCTAGACCTACTTACAAAGACTACATAGCTTTCTCTGCAGTGGAATGAAAATGTTACATTATTCTGCATGGTCTTTATCAATGTGGCCTGCTACCAAATGCAGATGCCATAAAGGGGGCTGAAAATGATGCAACACTTCAACTTGGATTATGTTTAATGTCAAATTTATTCATGACATTTACTCTCTCTAACACAATGACAACACTTGAACAGTGCAAATTTGTAAATTTTCACAAATCTAAACTCAACGATGTGAGTGATATAACATTGTGCTGGCGCTGCAGGCATCCTTGTCACCGAGTTGTCATACAAAAACAGCGCCTTATAGATGGGTGAGTTTTTTGATGGAATGGCCGATGTCCAATATTTAAGTTTATCGCTAATGTCGGCCGATACCGATACCATGCCGATAATATCGTGCACCCCTACTATAAATTACTCCAAAATAATCATCTATAAATATGTTATTTTGGTAGTGTATGCACATTTATTAGGATCTAAGTCCAAACCAGCTGCACAAAGCCTGTTGGCTGTCATATTATGAGCATCAGAGCATGTGCTCCTGAAAAATGCAAATGATAAAAAGACTCCTTTTAAATCCACAACAAAGGGTGCTAACACTGATGGCTATGAAGCACTCTCTTCCTAAAGAAGTCTTCTGTTTTGTCAAGCAGGTTTATTTTTTGCAAAAGAGAATGCTCACCTGCGATTGAGAAGAAATGCAGTAGGCTTTATTTTTCTGTTCATTATTCATTAGTCCAAGAAGCTCTATTTTAGAAGCAGCAGACACATCAATTTGCTTCCTGAGGGTACCATCTCCTCATGTTTATGTGCTGCCAAGCGTGATGAAATGAAGAGAGAAAGATACAGGATAGTGAGCAAAATGCATTATCACAGTTACAGAATTTAATTAAAACAATCCTTGAATTCTTTGAAAGAAATGCATATCAACCACTGTCGTACTTGCCAGAGTTTTAGATTAAAATTATCAATTTTTAAACATTTTAGTCAATTTGTTCCAACTCTGAAAACCCTGGAATTTCATGGAAAAATGGCATGCGCAGAGTATGTTTTGTGGATGACTGTCCTAGGGATGCACGATATTGGATTTTTGGCTGATATCCCATATGCCAATATGTTAAAACTTCTTTGGCCGATAACCGATACCGATACTTTTAATATACTTTCCTTTGTCAGAACATAGCCTCTTATTTAGGCTTATTTGCTACAAAATTGTTTATCAGCTGTAAGAGCTGGTGACATATTCAATAACAGCCATATGCATAGCACTTTAACTTATATTAAATGAAAAGTGTTAAATGTGATTTATTAGCATTAGTCACCTGCGATGCTGTCTCACTTGTGGAGGCTTGTTCCAGGTTCCTAGCTGCAGTGTGGGATCCTCTACACTCCTGCGCATGAAGGACAGCCTTTTTAAGTTCAAAGTTTTTGTCTATCCATGGTGCCATAAGACTGATCATGCTAACGGGGCTAACACTTGACGTCCAAATGTCTGTGGTAAAACTCACCCAAGTGCTGTCGGCTATTAGCTTCTCATTGATGTCGGAAATGACGGCTTGTAACTCGGGTAAGGCTACATCAGAAAAATATATATTTGACTGGGGACGATGTAGGGAGGCTGAACGTAGTCCAAAAATCTTTGGAATCCAATATCCTCAATGAAAAAAAAACTTCCACACCGCCGACATTTTGACTTCTTCCTCTCCGCTGTGATCAGGTAGGCGCACATGACATCACGTTGTGCTGGCACTGCAGGCATCCTTGTCACTGGGTTGTCATTCAAAAACAGCACCTTTTCTATCAGTGAGTTATTTTGATGGAATGGCCGATGTCCGATATTTAACTTTAACGCTAATGTCGGCCGATGCCAATACCATGCTGATAATATTGTGTATCCCTAGACTGTCAGGTACTACTATGTCAAATTTTACCTCAAAAACTAAGGTATAGCCATTTTTGTGTTGCTGTTGTTGATTATTGGCTGCCAACTTGAATTGGATGAACTCCCAAAGTTAATCAGTTGTAGATGGACATCCAGTGATGACTTATTGAAAGAGTTAATGACAAAAATTTTAAACAAAACACTTTTCTACACTGTTTGCACTCAGAATATGTAATAGCACCAGTCTCAGCCATGACTACACCAAATTTTTAGTCAATATTCTTAAAACTAACACAGACTTTTAAACACTTTTGTGCTTTTTCAGGTCAGTTATCTGTAGCGGCCATCATGATTTGGGTTGACCCCTAAAGTTAATCAGTTGGAGACGTTCCGTACATCTAAAAAATACTTTACTGCAAGTTTCACTAAAATTTGTCCAGTGGTTCAAAAGACATTTGTGTAACAGACAGATGCACATGCACACACACAGATACCAGTCTCCTTTTACCTGTGGGCGATACAACTGCCTGAATGAATCAGAGTATTATTTTAAATCTAAGCATTAAAATGGACAATAATTACAACATCCTGATTGTAAACTATTCAAGGTATGTTGTCACGCTGGAACTTTATGACCTCCCCAGTGATGTGCTAACGTAACTTCTGACTCATCGTGCTGGTCCTGTCGTCAGCTATGAGTAGGGAGTAAAACCTATTGAAAAGACACTCCCAGGTAAATCTCAAACTGATCATATAAAGAAAGAAAGTTATCAGGGAGAGAAGCTTGTTTTGAGGAACCGATTACACAGATTCCCACCTTCTCATTCTTGTTCACAAAAAAGCTACCATCTCCCACACAAACGCGTAAAAAAAAAGCACAAAATGTCTAAAAAGCTTAAAGACGTTTGTATAAGCTGCATGCCTGTCCCCCGTGTCTCCGTGTGTGGGTGTGTGTCACTATTGGCTGTCAACTATCTTGTTTTTTTCCCCACATTTTTCTCCTCTGAAGATTTTGTTGTAATAAATAATCAGTCACTGTCTATTTCAGTATTGCACTCTGTGGTTTTCGTAGCCGTTTTGTGCTGTGCATTTTTCTGGTTTACGCTGTGTCTAGACAGATGAGAGGGACTTTCATAACAGAGTAGATAGACAGGAGAAATGGTCAAACACACAAACATGGGTCAACTTCTTACCACTAACCCAGGCAACCTGGAGAAGAGGTCAGAAGTCACCACGGATGCAGCAGCAACCTCACTCTGCGTTTTCTCCTCCTTTCTGCAGTGATGAACTTTCTCCAGACTCATCTATGGGAAAGGAAGGGATGGGAGGTGAGGGGGAGCTGCAGGGTGAGACCCAGTCTCAACCACAGCCAGAACCAGAACCACCACAACAGCAGGCCCATCAGCAGCAGGAGGAGATTCAGCCACAAACTCTGCCACCACAGCCTCAATCTGATCCTGAACCACAGATTCAGCTTCAGAAGGATCCTGAAGTCGAAGCCTGGTCAGAACCTGAACCTTGGCTGGAGCCCGAGTCTCAACTGGAGCCCGAGCCTCAGCCTCAGCCCCAAGTGGAGGTGGTGAGTGAGGCACCAGCGCCACCACAGGATGCCCCTGAAGCTCCTTCGCCTTGCAAAGAAGAGCACAAGGAAATTGAGCAAGATACTCAAAAGCCAGAGGAAGTCATCGAGACGAAGCCAAAGCAAGAGGGGGATGAGTTGCAAAGTGAAAGTGGCAAGGCCAAGGCAGTGCAGGAGGAAGAGGATGAGGAAGAGGGAGGAGCCAAAGGAGGCGGTACGGGGAGGAGAGCCAGTCTACATCACACGGCCTCGCCCCTGAGGGTGCAGCGCAACGGGGCCGGCTCGCACTCCGCCTCTGACTATGAGCTCTCGCTTGACCTCAAAAACAAGCAGGTAGGGTGATCTCTGGGAATGGGGAGGGGCTTTTTGGTGTGCTGTCTGTGCGAGAGGAAAAGCGGTGTGCCGAGGAGGCAGAAAGTTGTCTGTGTTGTACCTTTTTGTTTGTGGTGTGGGTCGGTTTCTGCGTGAGGAAGAGGGACTCCGATCTGTTGGGCGCCTGGTGCGATTCTGTTCATTGGTCGTATCGATTCCTAATGGCTCTTGTGGAAAATCAAAACTGCATTTAACACTTGTTTTCATTGTCATAAACATACATCATCATAACCATGTCATCAAAGCCATCACTCGTTTTCCCAAATTTAAAGATTGCTCTTAGAAAGTAATACAATATGTGGTATTAGTTTGTTATGCGATGCATGTATGCACAAATGGGGTTTGCTTGAATTAAAGCTCTCTAGTTTGTCTTTTTTTGGGCCACATTTCTGTATAAAAATCATTGGATGATTCCAAACCAGTGGTTCTATGCAGAATAAAAGCATGCAGCTGGTAAATGTATTTTGCTAAAGCAGGTGGGTTCTGTTCAAAGCAGGGTTTCTGTCTGTGAGACGCCAATGTTTTTGTACAGGACTTCTCATGTTCACATGTTTGTCACTTAAATTGTGCTCTCCATCACTCAGAAATCATCCTCATAACATCTTCATTTCAAGAACCATTAAACACTCACCACCTGTTTCCATCCCCATCCATCTAAACGTCATTCTTCAGTTCACGGATCGTCGAGCAGGTAAGGCGGCACGGTTTGGTGCCTAACTTTCAGAGCCTGACATGTTCAGTAAGTTTGATTTTAAAGATTCAGAATGGTGCATTAAAACGGTTTATGGAAGGGTTACCCCCCCAAAAAAAAATTGTGAAACTTTAAAATTCCAATATGAATGATTTTAAGGCTCCGTTTCAAGCACAAATCTCACTTTTCATGACATTATCTTTCAAAAACCAGGATATGTATTTTTTCCCTTTCCCTAAGAAAGTAAAGCGATTGTATTATTAAAATCAAACACCTTTTCTGGAAAAATACAAACTTACAAACTAAAGCAATTTAACATACACTTTAACGAGAACCGTCTTAATTTGAAAAACTAAAGTTCTTCTCTTCTTGAAAGAATACATTTCACATGCCACCGTTCACGCCACATATTTAGACCAAGACAATCTTTTGTTGAGAAATGACTCATTGAGGTGTAGCCATTTTGTGTAGGAGAAAGTCTTTTAGCTGTGGCAGCCATCTTGAAATGGGTTGACTCTGAGTTAATCAGTTGTAGCTGTACAGCCGAGAAATAATTTATTTCTATGGGTTCAATAAAGTTTCTCTACTTGTTAGAGACCTTTTGGAAGACGACACGTAAGAACTCAAAGAGGCAAAAACATCACTGGTGTTTTGCCTTTGGTGGTGGGCGATAAGTAATAATAACTGGCTCACGACCATTTAACATGTTTTTTTTCCTGTTTTTTCAGTGCTCACAATGTTCAAACGTTGCTGTAAGTGTGTGGCGCCTCTCTTGGCTGCACCTAATCAATAACTCAAAGCACTACGTAAACATTAGCTTTTGGCCTTAAGTGTTTCTCAGGCTCAAGATCCAGAACAAAAAGGAAAATCTTTTCATAGTAGAAAAGTTAGTGCCATTTAGTTTATAACCCATTATGTATATATATGTATACATATTCATAAAGTCAAGGAGTAGGAAAAAGCTGCTAAAGGATTATTAATTAACAATGCTGATAATGAGCTAACAGCTAAGGATGAGTTCATTTTAACATCCCTTATCAGCTCCATTTTTCTTCAGTTTTGACTTTATTTCCCCACAATCAAGGCTCAGGGTGTCCCTTTCTCTCACCTCCTTTTCCCCCCAATTTTAATCTCACATCTAAGAGCCCCTGTTTTCCACCATCTCCCTGTCAACGAGGTTAGAGATACGCAATCAGCTGGATTGATCTTCTGTCTGTACAGGTGGGGGGTTGTAGGGGTTTGATGCCTCTCCAGATCAATGTCAGAGTAATTGCATCTGCAGAGAGAGATACGTTTACTGCTGAGGAAGGAGCTCATGATGGATTATTTAACTCGCCTAAATGTGAGTTTTTAACCAGGTGAAACTCGTGCCATTTAGAAAACATTTGTTGCATTTACTCAAAGTAAAGACTCATTTTGAGGAAAACAAAAGATAGTTTGGAAATTTGCTCATTTATGCATTTGTTTTTTTTTTAAATAATGAACTAAGATCATCTTGTGTGGAACGTTGTAGCCGTTGCGGTCAAATCTAAGAAAAACACGTGCTACACACATTCTTATACAATTTGTCCTGCTCAAAATATATGTTGTGAATGACTCAACTACATCAAATTTTAGTGCATTATCTGATAAATTGACTGAATTATAGGGATTTGTGTGTTTTCTAAGGTCACTTGTGCACAGTAGCTTTGCTTCAAAAGTTAATTCTGAAAATGTCATTAAATCTGCAGTGGTTCGTTAAATATTTTGGTAACAGACAGACACAAATAAAAACTTTGTCTTCACCTTTTTGGCGATAGATGATATTAAAATGTGGATTAAACTCTAAAAGTAGATTCTGACAGACCTCACTGGTTTCAGTACCGACACAATGATTAATGAAGACTAGTTAATTGTTTTGACAGATTAATCAATATAAGTCTGTACTTTGTCAGCCTAAAGTTGAGCTCAGTTTTTCAGTTTCCATAAATGCATCAGCAAACAAGTCCTTCATCCTCTGATACAGTCTGACCTTTTCCATTTACATCCTCATTTTGCAACCCAGTCAGCATTAGCAAGATCCCACTTTTGCCATTATATAATCAACTCATTAATCATGTAAATGTTTCTGGGCTGTAAGACAGCTTGCATGAGCATGAAGGCTGATAATCCTTGCTTTGCATTTTATTTCTGCAGCATGTGAGATCTAATGAGCTGCTGGTTTTATTTACATATATTAGTCTTCTTTCAGATATTTAAGGGTGATGTTCTTTAAACCTGATGTCGACTCACTGCACTGATAACTCACTACACCAGGGAACGATAGCTCACTGCACTATTATATCAAGCATATGACGATGACTCTCTACACTAGTTGTTATTTAGGTTAATGAGAGGAAAAACTTGGTTTTAGAAATTTCTTTGTTCCAATTTTTGCTGGGAATATCTTAACATACTCACACAATTAACATGAATTTAACAGATTCCAGACTCCTGCGGCAGACTCATTAGGTTTTATTTTTTTTAAATCACTCACTGATATTAAAACTACTCATTGCAAAGTGTGCAAATACACCTACAAATTATTCTGACCTATATCAGATGTGCAGTTCGAAAGAGTTAATTCCATTCACATGCAATGCTGAAATCTGGGCCCACACTCCATGTAAATGAAGCCATTTTAATGTGCAAAAATGTGCACTTTTCTGCAAAGTCATTAGATATAAGCTCATATGTGAAGTTTTTAGAATAAGGGACACAAGTTTAAATTTGGCAAAGATTTGAAAACTGTCATTTATAGTCTGTTGGGAAAAAATTAAACATTTTGTGCTGTATTTATTAACATTTTGTTAAAAAATACATTTATTTTCCATCGTCCTTGAGTAATATAGTTTCCATATAAATAAAGTACAGTTATCTGAACTTTTAAATGTGTCTGTGCTCCAAAATATAGGCACTTAGCCTGAGTTCATTTGTAATATACTCAGATTACAGCTCCTACCTGTGTTAGTTTTAGATTTAACTTCTAAAAATGATTCCGTAAGTTTTCCATAATTACATTTTTCCATGCGTCATTATGTGAATTTAGGGACAGCATCTTGTATTTTACTGATTATGTTCACCTTCAAGCCTCAAAATTTGGTAACATTTTTCCTTTCGTACCGGAGTGTTTGATACGTTGCACAGCGCTCGTCTTTTCTCCCTCATCCAGAGTGAAAACATGAGGTCAGCGCAGAGCTGATCAGCCTGTCAGAACTGATTTAGAGATTGTTGTGGAACGAAGCACTGTTCTCTCAAACCACTGAATGATCTTTTTTCACCACTGAGCTTGGAGAAGGAATCTGGACCACAACTGACAGGGGGCTAACGAGGGGAGCTTTATGTGTCATTCTTGGTCTGGTCGTCTGTGTCACAGCATTTTATGTTTTTGTCACCTTCTCTTAAACACCCTTGTTTTTGTGGGTCTTTTACATGCTTTTCATCCATCTATTTGACCTTTACTTTTCTACACGTCACCGTGGACGTGTGGTCTGTGATGACTTTTTTATACTCTGATCGTTGTGGACATACACATCAACCCATCGGTGATTAAAGCGTCTTTAGATATTTGTGCTGCTTTTAGCAATTAAAATACAAACTGCCATTTCAAATGCAAAAAACAGACTGTCAAAGGAAGTTTAGTTTTTATTTGACCCAAGTTTACAATTATACTAACTTATCAGTTTAAAGCCATAGAATAACAGCTTTAGCACCAAAAAGTGACATTTAGAATGAATTAAATCAGTACGGATAAAATAAAACAGTAAAGTGAGAGCAAACTACTATTTTTAATGCTTTCTGATCTTGATCTAATATAACTGTGTGCTGTTTTGTAATTTTTGATGAAATAACCAGACCAGTGCTTCAAATTTACACAAGTTTGTTTTTGAAAATGTTTCCATGTTCAAATCCTGGAAAACGTTCTAAAAGTTGCTGCTGCTCATGAGCACGACACACCCTTCCCAAACATCGTGCACGAACCTGTTCTGATAAAGTAAGCTAAAAATAAATATCCATCACTGTAACACGTGCAGAAACGGAGACAGCAGGAGCCTCAAACTATCGTGCTTCGAGGTTTGCTTAAAGTAGCTTAGCAAGTCAGTACCAAATTAGCAAAGGCTGCTACTCTGTTTTAAACTCATTGGTTGCTGAATGAAGCTAGCGATGAATAAAGATCTATTAAAATGAATGGTAATGAGGCTCCAAAGCAGATTAGCATTGTTGCTAAATCTACAATTCCCATCCATGTGGTTTAAATATTATAGCGTCTTAGTTCCTCAGTGGTTTGTTCTCCCGTCATAATGTCTGCTCATCCTACAGACTGTAATTTTATCTGAATAGCAAAGTGTCTCAGATACAGGCATGAATAAAGAAAGCATCATGACCCAAATATTTTATTCATTTCCCCCAGCCCGGCTTACAAAGAAGGAAAAAAACACAAACAAGCTCGCCTGCAACATTTAATCAGACGGAGACATGCTGATGGTCTAATCTCACAGTCAAGGACACACAGGTCGTTGACTTTGAGCAGAATTTGTTTAGTTGAGGGACACCTCTCTGACTGATGTCAATCATATTACAGATCAGCATTTATTTAAAAAAAAAGTACAATATCTTTAGAGCACAGTCATGGCGATAAGATGCACAGAGCAGGTCATAAAAAAAAAAAGTGATGAATATTCAGGGTGAGTTTGACCAGCCTGACAGCCACCATCAGCAGATACAGTAGAGCTGGAAGCCGGAGTCCTATTCACACGCTTCCTTAATATTCTCAGTCCGTTTCACTTTGCTCACAGAGGCACAGCACAGAAATGTAAATGGAGTAGATAAGATGGATTTTCAGTGTCATTTCACTTTTCCAAAGAGCTTTGTGTGTGATTTTGTTCTTCCAATGACAGCGACAGAGGCTGCATCTTGTTGAGCCAGACACTTATCAGAAATTGCAAACCCTTGAGCCATGCTAGCCAATCAGCGTTTACTTTAATGGAAGTTTACGTGAGCTTGTGCGGTGACTTTGTCCGGGACTTAAGTACAAAGAGTTACTATTTGATCTGTTTTTGGCCACTCGGTTGCTTTTTTTAATTGACAGGAGGATATTTAGGTGGATCAAAGTAATTATTGTCATTCTGGTACAGACAGCATGTTTGATATTTGAAGAAAACAACGTCTAGTTCGTAGAATTAAACCTTTTCTGAGTGCACCTTATGATGCAGGACGGTGACGATGTTTGTGAAGTGGCTCCATCATTCTTCCCAAGCTGAAACTTTCTCTGCGCTCTCGTCCTTGGTAGACTCAGAAGACAAACAGAATTAAATTCATTGATTTAGGTCTGAATGAAAAAATCTCTCATTGACTTGAAAAGATAAGTTCTCATTCTGGTTCAATTGTTCAGGGAAATTTAAAGAGGTTTCATCAAGTGACGGAGCTGATGCCAGATGAGAATGGCTGTAATACATCTGCTTCCCACAGCTTTTCAGCGAAATTTCACAGGCACGATTAATAGCTTACTCGGCTTTAAAACATGAGAATTGCACAATATTTTTCTCTGTGGATTTCACAGATTATGAGCAGTTTTAGTTATAAATCATTTGAAATGTTTGTTCAAATACCACGTATAGACCTCCCATTTAAAGTTTATAATAAGTCACCTTGGAAGATTAAAGAACCATCTAAGAGCAAAGTTAGGTAGAGTTTTTAGTATTTTCATTTCTAAATTTGTCCTGTTTCACCCCAAAATGAAAATTTTACAAACCTCTATGTCTTTTTCCATTTTCTGTTTAGCCAACTTTTATTTTAACGACCTGTTGACTCAACACCCACCCGCAACCATAGTTCACGTTGGATTGTTTTAGCTCCAACGTGAGAATAGTCTTTTAGAAAGAAAGAACATTACAAATTTTGAGTCACTGACAGTGATGCGCTGAATAATTAACATTGACGAATTAATAAGTGATGAATGGTAATATTGCTCAGAATAGAAAATCAATACGATAATGGCTAAATGTGTCTTTGTACTAAAGTTCATCAAGAAAATAAGTAGCAGTTCTCATGATGAATAACTGAAAAGAAGTTACAACCTCAATCCCAAAAAAGTCATGCTAAAGATAAATATGAACAGGATGCAATGGGTTTCAAATCAAGTAAACGTGTTATTCATGCTGAAACATAGAAAACAAAATCAGATAATTAAAATAATTTTTATTAATGAAATGTTCCTGAGCCCATGCAGTGACGTTCAGAACAGATCAGTCCTGTTACTGCAGCAATGCTTGAGGCCTTTTTCCCAATTCTCAAAACCTTCTGATGATCTTTTGAACTGTAAATGATGGGATATTCAAAGTATTATTATTTTTTTTATTTTATGGAGGAACATGGTTCTGAAATTGTCCTATTTTTAAGAGCTGCCCATCTTTACTTTTGAAAAATGCAGCTTTCCTAAAATGCTCTTTATATACCCGTCCTCCTGCTGACCTATTGCCAATTAACCTATTTAGCTGCAACATGTTCATTCAGATGCTTCTTATCTGTACCACCTATTTTCCAGCCTTTAGTTACACATGCTTTTTTGACATGTGAGGAATAAAACTCATAAAACTCAAAACTACATTTTTTTTCACTCATTATTATAAAGTTTCCTTGTTGAAACTATGTTTACCATGTTCCATTAAAGGGCTGCAGTGAATTGGTGGTCCATACAGTTGTTGGGGTGTTGTCTTGTGGTTTCCAGTAGCCAAAACACTACACTGAATAACATATGGCTTTATGAAATTTGCAGATCATTGCATACTGTCTTTATTAACATTTGACACAGTGCCACCTTTTTTGGAATTGGAGTTAATATAATTCTTGAGAGCAGACTGTCTGTGTAGGCTTTTATTTTACAATTCCATGAGTATAAACTCAAAGTGAAACGTTCATATTTCTTCTCTGCATCTCTTTGTTTTCCATAGATCGAAATGTTAGAGCACAAATATGGCGGCCACCTCATCTCCCGCCGCGCTGCCTGCAAGATCCAGACTGCCTTCCGCCAGTACCAGCTCAGCAAAAACTTTGAGAAGATCCGCAACTCACTTCTGGAGAGCCGTCTGCCTCGACGCATCTCCCTGCGCAAGGTCCGTGTGCAAAACACCGAGGGTTTCTCTGCTGAGCGGGCTCTGGCAGAAGGCTGCAACCTGGCAGGCATTCCACTGGTGCGCTCGCCGTCTCTGCCTGCCACCGTTGGTAGCACCCTGACTGACCTGGAAGACTCGTTCACCGAACAGGTCCAGTCGCTTGCCAAGTCTATAGACGATGCGCTAAGCAACTGGAGCCTCAAGACCATGTGCTCGCTACAAGAAGGCGGCACGTATCAGTTCAGTGCCGACTCTTTCAATGCAGCAGCGGCGGCGGCAGCTTCCGGAGGAGTTACAGGAGGAGGTGGTGGTGAGGGAGATGGTGTGGGACAGTCAACTATTCAGCAAGGCCCAGTGGACCCAAGTGACCTGTCCAGAAGTGCAAGTAAGCTGATGATGGCATTTCGGGATGTGACGGTGCAGATTGACAGTCAGAACATTAGAGTTTCATCCTCAGTCATGGAGTCATCTTCTTCAGTCACACTTGGAAGCTGCATACAGGAAGGAACCGCCACCACCGTAACATCAAACCCCTCATCGCTGTCTGCCCCAGATGGTTCCTCACAAGAACCCCCTTCTCTACCTCCAGGGGCCCTAAGCGAGCCAATAAATATGCCGCCTCCACCACAAGAGCCCCCACCACCCCCTGAAACAGAGCTCCAGGAAGGTGAAGATGTAGAATTTCCCGCCCCACCTCCAAGTGAAGAGGAACTACTAGAAGAGTTTCAGCCTCCTCTAACACCTCTTGATAAAACAGCTGCCCCTCAAAGACTGGAGGAAGCCCCCCCACCTCCTCCACCTCCACCAACAGAACCCGCTCGTGTCCCCCCACACCAAGAAGCCATGCCGTTGGGGAGCTCTCTTGTGGTGGAGCCTATTGATGTTAAGAGATGTGGCTCGGAGACGGCAGATAACAGCTCGGAGCAGATGAGCAGCAGCAGCACATCAACGGAGGCCCGCTCGACCTCTGAAGCCTCGTCCAAGGAGGCACTGCAGGCCATGATCCTCAGCCTTCCACGGTACCACTGTGAGAACCCAGCCAGCTGCAAGTCCCCCACACTGTCTACAGACATCATGAGGAAACGCCTTTACCGGATCGGCCTCAACCTCTTCAACCTGTGAGTGGCTCCATATTATCTCACATGATCCGATAGCACTTGAGAATGTGTTGGCAATGACTCTCTGCCCCTCCCACAACAAATTCAGGCTCAGTATTTGCTGAACAGGCTAAAGTATAGTCATTTCTATGTTTTGTGATGACCTCTAAATTTGGGTCAACTGCAAAAGTTATTTTGTTGTAGGTGCATTTCCACAGATTTCCATTAATATTATAGATCTCAGGTCATAGTGGTCAGTGTATGTTTGGGACCAGTTTCAGCTACTATTATACAAACATTTAGGTCAATATCTATAAAACTGTTTTAGTAATAGCCTTGAATTGGGTTGACTCCAAAAGGTAGTCGGTTGTAGATGTTCAACCAATGATGACTTTCTAAAAATAAAAAGTCTGTTTTATGATCTATGAAATATTTTGTTGCAGACAAATGAGCACACACAAACAGATAAAAGCATTATGACTCTGTTTTTGCTAGCAGGCGCTAATCACTGGCAACTTCAAATATTACAAAGAATAAGAATTGATACAGGATAGACTTGTGTAAATATTAACTTTTAAATAAAGTTTACTAGATCAATTAATAAATAATTAATTTCCCCCGTTACAATGTGAAACTGCAAAGATTCAAGACATACAGTATGTGAATCATTAGGAGGCTTGTTGTCCTTTATAAGATTAATTATTTTGTAGTTGTTGACCTTTTGGTTTGCTGGAACATCTTACATACAAGCTAATGATTTTTTTGAAGTCATGAAACAAGGCTTGTAACAATGTAATGCTGTATGATCAAAGGAAGTACTTTTGGACAATGACCTGGGAAAAATAAACAAAGAAATACTTTTTTTTAAATCACCGATTAGAAATGCAGTGAATTAACCAACATAACACAAAGTGCCAAACTTAGAAGAATACATCTTCCCTGAGACTAAGATAAAAAAAAAAGAGTGTGGGTGAATTATTGAAACAGAGGTGTCAGAAGACCCGTTTGCAAAGAGAAACCTGGACACCAAGCTAATGGGGGACAAAAGTGGGATAATCTAATTTGGTTTTCTACAGATACCAAAACAGGAGTGATGATGGAAATGAAAACCATCTATGTTTAATGTCCATTGCTTCCTTTCTACCTGGCAACAAAATGCTTCTTGAATTCAGACAAGAAACCTTTTAGGATATTGGGCAAATTGGTGATACCGTTAAGGTAATGAAGTAAGGCGTTGCATTTTTCAAACTTGGATGACTTCTATATCCTCCTATTTTTTTTTTTTTAACCTGATAACTAAAAGAACTGAATACTCAAGCACGGTTTGAAACCCAGTGCACCAAGAGCAGAAAGGCCATAGCTATTTGTCAAATTGCATCCTGCTGGCACTTAGCTTCGTCTTCTACAGGATCACAACACCACTTACTTCCCTGAAAGCATGCTTTCAGACACTGCCTCACTGACTCCATCTCTAGCTAAATATAAAGTATAGGTTCCTATTCTTCATTCAACATATGGTTGCAGGACCAAAACATGTAAGTTTAGAGAAGGGCTGTGTGGGTTTATTTAGCTGTTTGTGCCAAGAACATTAAACAAATGAAAGATTCCAGGTGTTTGAGGTAAAATTGATTAACAGCAATGTTCGTTTTTCCTTCCACTCTTATTCTTGCTGAATTTTTTTTGTAGTCCTTAGAAAGCAGGAAAAAAATTCAATAAATAAAAAGCTATGCATTAACTAAACTATGAGGTTTCTTTTGTAAAGTTACACAGTCAAAAATTAACATTTTGATTTATTTAGCCTTTCATAAGAAAAAAAGAAAAAAAATTCAGTCACATTTTCACATTATTAATACATTTATAAATGTCATAGTTCCAAACTAAATATTTAATTTATAAGTTAAATATTTAGTTTACAAACCAAATATTTAACTTACAAGTTATTTAGCTCCACACTAAATATTTAGTTTGTAAGCTAATTTTTTATGTCCAAGCTAAATATTTAATTTATAAACCCAACATTTAACTTGCAAGTTAAATATTTGGTTAGCAAGTTAAATATTTAAGTCAGATCTAAATATTTAGTTAGCAAACTAAATATTTATTTTGGAAATTAAATGTTTAGCTTGAAAAATAAATATTTAGGTCTGAGCTAAATATTTAGTTAGCAAATTAAATATTTATTTTAGGAAAGAAATGTTTAGCTTAGAAATTAAATGTTTAGTTTTGAAAATAAATATTTAGTTTGGAAAGTAAATATTTATTTTACACCTAAATATTTAGTTCACTATTGAACACTTAGCTTAGACATAAACATAGTTTGTAAACTAAATATTTAGTAAGGAGCTAAATATTTAGCTTTGCTAATTAAATATTTAACTTACAAGTATTTAGTTTGTAAACTAAATATTTAGTGTGGAGCTAAATATTTAGCTTTGATAGCTAAATATTTAACTGGCAAGTTAAGTTTTTAATTGTAAACCTAATATTTAGCTTGTAAATTAAACATTTAGTTTGGAACTATGACATTGATATGTATGAATGACATGGTGAAAATCTGACTGAAAAAAAAAAAACTTTCTTATGAAAGGCTAAACCAAAATATTGCTGTTAATTTTTGACTATGTAACTTTACAAGCAGCGCCCCATACTTAACCTACATAGGTTTGTTGCTTTTTGTGTATTCTGGACCAGTCCTCCTCACCGTCTAGCTGAGAGTGACAAAGTCAGAACTAGATAAGAACTTCCAAAGTCATACTCCAGACAGGTGCAAGGTGGTTACATGGCAGCAGCAAGAGATAGAAAGAAAAAAATGTTGCCATGGTGACAGCTGAACACGAGGCCAGCAATCACTATTCGACGAGGAAAACCAAAACTAAACCACTGAATCCTTGGGATGTTTGTCCACCTGGGTTGTACACGATTGCAATAAATAGGGCTAGAATGCCTGAATTTTATTGACTTTTTTTCAATTAGGATAAAACCTACCTCTGACACAAGAAAAACAAGTAAAGCAACAATGATATCAAGAACTGCACACTTGATCTTGAGGTCATCTCTTGAGTTGCTATCAGTAAAAACAACAAAATATCACACACAAAGTAAAGGAAGTAATTAATAATACTAATGTTACTAAGCAACTATAACAGAAAACTGTGTGCTATTTTAGCCCTAAACTATCATATTTGCTTAGAAACAGTCAGTCATTGAAGCTGTTGTATACTACACCAAACAAAGCATGATTTATGTATTTTTTTCATTCGTGTATCTGGATACAAATTTGACCAAATAGGAGAGAATATTTACTGTATTTGATGTACCCATCAAATAAGTATTCATTATTATCTAAACCATTGGGGTTGTCATTATATCTGTGTAAAAAATTTAGCTGATTATCATTGTATGTACATTTACTTCAGCATCGGGTTGAAAGTCTCTTCTGCAATTATTTCCTGGGACAGAAGTTGAAAGGTTTAGGAACCAATGCCATAAAAATACTGGACAAATTCCCTAAATCACAGGCATCCCTAACTGGTGGTCATGAAACAAATAATTTTATTGCTCTGTTTATTCTTTGTTTTTAGACCAGGAATCCATGACTTATAAATACGGTACATTTAAATCAGTTTGTCATGGATGTCCAGTTTGATCATTTCAGTCTGAGCTGCAGCTAATGTAGCAGATAAAAATAATAAAATACAAAATAAAATGTCTAAAGTGATAATCTGATTATGAAATTAAAATGTTTCACATATAGTTAGAGGGACTGGCTGCATTCATTTGTACATGATGTTCATGTATGTTAGTAGGATTATGAAGTATTTAGACTTTTTAGAAGCATTCATATGTTTTTCCCAGTTTTCACCATGCTTTTTAGTTTATTTGCAACCTTCTCATTCCTCTGATCAACACCTTGAAACTTGAAAGATAAGCTGACTGGTAATAAACTGGCTACGACATAAATAGAGATATGGAGAGAAAAAAAATAAGACACACACAAAAAAAAAGTAAATCAAGAGAAAGAGAGAAGCAATCGGGCTTAAGGCTTATTAGTTCCACCATTTCATATCCTCCTCCGCATACCTGCACCGTGATACTCTTTGCATCTTAAACAGGACTGTTTGCTTTGGGCTAAAAACGCAGGTATTGCTTGATCATGCAGACCAAAACGCTCACACATGCAGAATGTGGGGTAATATAAACTACAAGTGAGCGCTTATGACAGCAGGAGATTTGTGCAGCATCTATGCAGGAGTAAGCAGGATTATGGAAAGTTGGGTCTTTTGAGGTAAATGTCTTGCCTTAAAAAATGGACAGGTGAGCGATGGGTATGAAATGAAGAAGCAAGGCAGAATAACTGAAGGGAAAGGCCGCTTTATAAAGTTTTCACTCGGGAGCGTGGCCAGAATGACGATAACTCCATTATGTGGAGCCGGTGTGTTTCAAGGACACAAAATGGAGCTGCTGAGCCAAAGAATGGACCGAAGGAGAGGGGATTATGGTGACATTAATAGCAAATTCCTGACTAGATTTATCATTTTGTATGAATTGACTTTACCATCCAATACATATCCCTTTGACATGTCCCTAATTCGTTTTTTTATTTTTTTTTGCCAGCAAAGTAAATGCACTGCAGAGTGTGGCAGATCTACATATATTCCTCGTCCTACATGGAAATAGAACACCATCAGAGCTCCTCTCTGAATTACAGAAATGTCAGTGTGAAGAGTGAACGCGTGAGAAGCGATATCTAAATACATATGTCAAGCAGGGCTAATTAACACAGCAAGGTATGCCAAACTCAGAGAGAGATCTCACCCATCAGAAGGGAAGAGCATCACCAAAAAAAACCTCACTGTATATGTGTATTTATTGCTAAGTAGTGGGTGTTTGTTTAGGGGAACACAATACTTAGCTGTATTAGTATTCTGCTCTCAGTGCAGCACATAATTACGAACTCTAAAATCCAGATGGCGAATAGAGGGAGTATTTCTGAGAAGTTTTACCACAGGAATACAGCACCATTTTGTGCCATTTTTTGAATATTCACAAAGTCAGATGAGCTTATCCTGATGCATGCTCAATGATCCAGGTAGAAAAATCTAAGAAGAAGAAACCGTTCAGAGGACAGGACTTAAACTTTGACAGATGATCTTATGTTTTTATATAGTACACTTTATGAATTTGTATATGACAAAGATGACTTATCACAAAAAGTAAAGTTTGCGTTTGGTTGATTATTTCTTATGTCAATGAGTAGGGATGCACGATATTGGATTTTTGGCCGATATCCATATGTAAAACTTATTTGGCCGCTAACCAATACTTTATATACTTTCCTTTCTCAGAACATAGTCCTCTTATTTAGGCTTATTTGCTACAAAAATTGTGTAACAGCTGTAAGAGCTGGTGACATATATTCAGTAACAGCCATATACATAGCACTTTAACTTATATTAAATGAAAAGTGTTGAATATTATTTATTAGCATTAGTCATCTGCAATGCTGTCGGGGAGTGGTGGCACAGAGGTTAGAGAAGGTGGGCCTGTGATCGGAAGATTGCCAGTTCAAGCCCCGGTACAGACATAAAAAATGTGGGTGGGGTAGGTGAAGCACCCACACCTGCCCCCACCTTCATTCGTCCCACTCTGGGCCCTTGAGCAATGCCCTTAACCCCCACCATCTGCTCCTCCGGGTGTCCTAGATAGCAGCTCTCTGCTCCACACAGAGGGCTGTGGTAGCTCGGTGGTCTGTGGTTGTGTCAGGACGGGCATCCGGCGCAAACAAAACAAAAACTGCCAAGTCTTGGTGCGACTTAGTTCGCTGTGGCGACCCCTGATGCAGGGAGCAGCTGAAAGAAGAAGAGAAAAAAAAAAGTCACCTGTGATGCTGTCTCACTTGTGGAGGCTTGTTCCAGATTCCTTAGCTGCAGTGTGGGATCCTCTGCACTCTTGTGCATGAAGGACAGTCTTTTTAAGTTCAAAGTTTTTTGTCTATGCATTGTGCCGTAAGACTAATCATGCTAACGGGGCTAACACGACGTCCAAATGTCTGTGGTAAAAAACTCACCCAGGTGTTATCAGCTATTAGCTTCTCAATGACGTCGAAAATGACTGTAACTCGGGTAAGGCTACGTTGGAAAAATATCTCCAATTGGGGACGATGTAGTAAGGCTCAACGTAGTCCAAAAATCTTCGGAATCCGACATCCTCACCAATGAAAAAAAAAACCTTCCATACCGCTGACATTTTGAATTTTCCTTTCCTCCGTGAGATCAGGTAGGCGCACGTGACGTTATCACGTTGTGCTGCCGCTGCAGGCATCCTTGTCACTGGGTGGTCATACAAAAACAGTGCCTTTTATATTGTTGAGTTATTTTGATGGAATGGCCGATGTCCGATATTGAACTTCAACACTAATATTGGCCGATACCGATACCATGCTGATAATATTGTGCATCCCCATCAGTGAGTCTTGGCAAAAATAAATCTATCACTGTTGGGAAGCCTATTTATTCCCCATTAAATGGTGCCACTTTTATATAAAAAAAACAGTGCATTTATGGGTTGAGGAGCAGAGTTCAAAATGTGGAGTGTGCCCATGAGAAACAAGCCAAATCTTTTTGCAAGTGCCAAACAACTTTTTTTGGCACTGACTCTTGTTTTGTGTCATTTATTGTATTGGGTGATTCAAGACTTACAGAACAAGACATGTTGGCACTTTAACAGTTTAGTTAACCAACAGCTGCCTCAGTAGCATGTGAAAGAACCATATACAGCTACGACAGCCTGGCACCTCTTTCTCATGCTGCTAACCAGCTTGGTCACATTTCTGTGGGACAGCAACTCAATATTGAACTATTAATTTTAGTATTAGCCAATGCAGACTAGTTGTGATGTCCATCTTGAATTGGATTGACTTCAAACGCTCTTTGTAGATGTACTTTGGTTATACAGGGGTCCACCTTAGAAGCAACCCTAGCCCCTGCCTCATACTCCCACAGCATCCCCACTTACAGTCATAAGCCTTTTCCAAATCCACAAAAAAGCAAATGTAGACTGAAGTCAAATGCGCATGGCCCCTTAGCTATTCCATAAGAGTAAAGATCTGGTCCATCGTTCCATGGCCTGGACAAAAAACACACTTCTCCTCAAGATTTAACAATCGGTTGGAGTGTACCTCCCAACATCCTGATCTAAACCGTCCCCAGAATACCGTATTTTTCTGACTATAAGGCGCAATATCAATGAATGGGTCTGTTTTCATACATAAAGTGCACCAGATCATAAGGCGCATTAAGCAAAACTAAAACATTTTGACAGATTTTTGAGCACTGTATACCACATAAAATCAGTTTGAGGTCAGTAAACACAACCAGAAGGCACACCATATTATTTAAGGCTCACTGTTGATTTTTGAGAACAATTAAAAAGGATTTTAAGTGTCCCTTATAGTCCAAAAATATATAGTACTGAGGAATGTGATTCCTTGATTGTTGGAAGACAGTCTTCAGTGTCATTTTTTAAAATCATCAAGTTGAATATACATTTAAAATATAACAACAAAAACAAAGTGTCTTGCACAGTTCTGTTGTGTAAGATATATTAAATGTGGCATACAAGGTGAAATATTGTAATTTCCATGTAAACAAGAAATTCATGTGTGCAGTCATTTAATACAAAATGTAACACCTCTGCACATCTTCTTCCAGTTTTCCAATCTTCACCCATTTATTCATCCCAAGTAATAATCACCGTCCATTTGTTGTTGAGCAAACATCATATGAGTGATATCTGCCAAATTTGTTTGGCGAGACCTCACCCTCATCTGAGGGTGAGCAAACAGCTGAGAGGTTGCCGATGCTTTCAGGGCTAATGCTTTCAGACAGCACGTTCACTGCACATCTGCTTTGGTTTGGTTCTTTTCCAGCCTCCTCTTTGTACCCTGCACCTTACTAGACCCACACGCAGATTTTTAAATGTAAAAGCTGCATTTAAACACTGCATGAAGACTAGATTGGAAAAAATGTGTGATAATGCAGTAGCCTCGCAGGAGCTAATATAGTCTGCATTTAATGTGCTTACAAATAAATACATCGCGCACATCTGCCATGTGTTGAGACAAAGATTAACTTTCAAAATGATCACAAACAGAGGAATGTTTTTTTTTTCAACATCAATTTATTTAAGTCTGTAAGTTAACAAGAGATGGATTTTAAATAATTACTTTTTTCAAAACATCTGAGCATGTTCTTTTTTTAATGTACAAAAGGTAAGTTTTATAATTATGTATATTTTTCTAATTTAGCTTTTCTTCCCAGATGTTTCCTACAGGAGTGACCTGCCAGGATCCAACCAGGTTAATTTCTGTTTCACATTAGTCACTTGTGACCAATTTAGAGAAGTCTACAGCTGTTTTCAAAGACAATGTCGGTACAATCCAGTCAGAGCGTTTTCTATAGTTGCTCGTTACTTGAAAATGTGGTTTAAACCACTTTTATTTAAATTTTTCTTTTTAAATTTACCTGACCTATTCAAGGAGCTTTGAGGAGCTGGAACATAATACTGGACATATAGTGCAAAAATTCCACTAAAGTCCTTCCCATCTGAGTAAACTTTAGAAAAATTAACTTCAGATATTTATTATTTTTAAAATACATTGTAGTCTGAGTAATATTATTGAGTTAATTGAAGAGAACTGAGATTGGCATCAAATACATTTTCATAGCAACAAAAATGTGGTTAATTTACGACAGCTTCTTCTAACTTTAGCTGTATTGAATTATTTTTATGCGTTTGACGTTTTTATTCAATAGGGGAAGTCATATAGATTCTGTCTTGTGTGTTTGAAGTATTTTTTAAATTTGTCTCCACTCTGTGCATGGTTGCATAGAAAAACTCAACATGAAGCATGTTAAACCACAAAGTTCATGACAATAAAGTTTATTTATTCACAGTTTACAATGCATTATGATGCACATTGTTAGGAAAACATCCTGTTGTAATGCTATTGTTGAATATTATGATAAAGCCACATTTGTCTTTTTTCCCCTAGACATGATGTTCATAACACTCCTTAGTGTTGTTTAGCATTTAACTTTAGCATTTCAGCTACATTAATAAATCAGCTGTGGGCATTAAGAAAAGTAGAGATCCATTAAATTATAAAAGCTATTATTGTCATTCAGTTGGCTCTGGGATTTATTGAAGTACTTTTTCTTTTGATATTACACACACCATTGTTGCTGGTTGTGGTTCAACATTATATTTAAGTCTATTTATTTGCAAAGTGAATCACGAGTTTAAAAGTCAGTTTGATACTGAAGCTTTGATTCAACTCAGTTCTTGGTGATCGTCCTTTTCAGTCACTGCTGTCCCTGTTTTGTCTCAGAAATCCTGATAAAGGCCTCCAGTTCCTGATTTCTCGGGGCTTCATCCCAGATACGCCCATCGGCGTGGCCCACTTCCTGCTGCAGAGGAAAGGTCTGAGTCGACAGATGATCGGAGAATTCCTCGGAAACAGCAAGAAGCCGTTCAACAGGGATGTCCTAGAGTGAGTCACACCACATTATTTCCTGAAACACTTTTATACTAATCTCATTGATGACACTCTTCCATATAGACTTATCAGCTGTAAGCAGGTTGATTCAACAGGTTCTTTTTTAAGCTATAGTTAACTATAGATTCACCAAAGCTAAATTATAACTTATAGGGACCATTTGAAGAGCTGTATTTTGCAATCTTGATTTTTTTTATTAGTTAGCACAATTCATTAATTCTAATCACCCATTCACCCTCCCTCCAATCATTACTTAAAAACAATTCTCCTTCACAGTGTCCTTGAAGGATTACAGTCTTTGCATTCCTTATTTCTGTCAGCTGTGTAAAGAACAAAACTATAAATAGTGATAACGAAGGGAACTGCATTTTAGTTCCAAATTGAGGATTGGTGGTTCAGTCCTAAGCAGTGCCACGATTTCAAAAGTCCTTGGAAAAACAACAATCTCCCTTTTCTGCTCTTCTGCTCCAGATATATTTAATGGTGTGCAAATAAACAAGGAACTCTGCATACATAATATATAATGAAAAACATCACTTGAGTGTGTTTGTGTGTGAATGAGAGGGATTTTTGTAAAGCACTTTGCAACATTAAAAAAAGCCCAAGAACATATTACTGGAATGCTTGCTGCTTTAAAAATCAATACATTACTTTGATACAACTGATTGACTGATCTAGAAACATTGGAGTAAACGTAAAGCAGCCCGCTGCACAACACAAGGAGCTGCAAGCTTTGATTTGCCACATAGGTTTCCAGTTTTAAAGTTGAGCATGGACATTTTCTGCACCTTGACTTGTCCAGTAAAGAAAGAGTTGACAGAAAAAGGGCACAGCTAACTTTAGTTTACAGGCCAGATGCCTAATTAGCTGCTTAAGAGTTTTAGCGCATGTGTGAAAATGTTACTTTGGCTCTGTTAGACTCTGCTGTGGTCCTTTTCAATTCACTGCTAACACTGTCCTCCCATGGAATGGAGTGAAACGGAGGGACGTGGGCTACAGCACAAGTATGTTTACTTTGTCTCTCTGTCCCCGCACCGCACCAGCGCTCTGACAGGCCAGCCGGCTGCTGTCAGTCAAACACACAAACAATATGGCCCATGAAGATTTTAGGAAGAAAACATACTCAGACATTTTTCAAGGATTTTAATTTTAATATTTTGCATGTAAAACTGAAATTAGTGAGATGTCACACTCAGGATCACAACACAACTACAGGATCTAAAGTTGATGACAGCAGGTCAGCTGGTTGGGAATGGAAGCAGACATCATCTTTCTGGAGCTCCTCTATACAGCATCACATCAGAGTACCTGCACAATAATTCACACACACACACACACACACACGTTTTTGTCTTTCACATTTTCTTTTGATAAGTCACATACAATTAACAGTTTCACACACGCACACACAAAGCATGACTTACAGCAATTCCTGATGGATGATGCAGTGGAGAAAAACAACATCCTGGTCAGGGTTTTCCTCTTTCACTTTATCCTGGATTCTTTTCAGCAGCCCAACATGTTTTCCAGTTAAATTTGGTGATCCATCAAGTTTAAGTTTAATCCAGATAGCTTCATTCTCTTGGTGACAGCAGACATCTAGTTATAAAAGTCCTCTCTGTGTTTTTCCTTTCAGAGACTCCAGGGTCAAAAACTCCTCAGTTATCTCAAAACTGTCGTTAATCCCGCAGATAAAAATTAAGAGCTGAGCAGTGTCCTTTACGTCATTACTTTCATCCAGCGCTAACAAATATAACTTAAAGGACGCTCTCTGCCTTTTAGCTTATTTTGCTGGCTATATCTTCATCAATCAGTTCCACAAGGTGTATTACAGTCCTGCATGATAAACTGATGTTTTTCTAACTTGTCTTGGCTCTCCGGACACAATAGACCTGCTCTGTTTTTACCATGCGTTCTTTTAAAAACTCACCTTCAGAGAAAAGCTTGCTGGCATAGTTGGCAGTTAGTAAAGTGTACTCTTTGATAACCGTGACAGTTTCTTGGCATACATACTGCCTTTGATTGGACCTCAGTGAAAAAAAAATGTTGTTGTCCACTCTGTATTATTTATTTATTTATTAACCTTTATATATAACCCAGGCAAATCCCATTGCGATCCCAGATCTCTTTTGCAAGGGAAGCCTGGGCCTGAAGGCAGCCTAACATGCATGTTTTTTTTTTGGTCTGTGGGAGGAAACCACATAGAAAGACCCCAGGTCCAACTGGGATTGAACCCAAGACCATCTTGCTATAAGGCAACAGTGCTAACCACTGAGCCGTCGAGATTAAACACTCACTCACTGTCCACTTTTCTTTGATGAGCTCGTTTTTACAGAATAGTTCATAGGGCAAATCTAAAAAGTGAAGAAGAAATTACTTCTTCCACTTCTACTTTGCCTCCAATACATGCCGGTGTCTACAGTGCACTATCTACTGGGGAAATGCAGGAACTAGGGTAAAATTATACTGTTCTCCCCCCCCCATATGCAGTTTTTTTTTTAAAATGTGGACAAGTTCAGCAGGCCAATTAAAAAGCCCAATGGGCCGTATAAGGCCTGCAGGCTGGGGTTTGCCCATGCCTGGCTTAACCGACTGTAACTCAGTCTGCGTCACATTTCTTCATCTCCTTCCAGTTGAAGCTGCATTGACCAATCACGTTTTGTCACATGTACATGTAGTAAGCCAATAGCATGCCTAACAGACTCAGACACACCCATAACAGACAGGAACAAGCTCGTGAATTCTGCTGGTGGACTTAAAGTTGGCAAAACCTAATTTAGCAGAAGCTAATTCTGCTGACTTGTTCCAAAGTTGGAGAAAACACTAATTCGCTAAACAAAAAATTTGTTCCGTCATTAGCCGTTAGCGGATTAGCAGAACTGTGCCCAGCACTGTCAACTGGTATCAAAACCTATTTTAAAGCTGCTGTTAAATAAAAAAAAAAACAAAAAAAAAAACAACATTTGGTACTTGTTTTGATTTTTCTGGGCTTTATATTCCATGAAGTTCATGTCTAAATATGTGCCTGAGTCTATAGTGTACAAAGACTGAGGTCTCTCTGTAGCATTAGTCGACAAAGAAATGTGAAAACACTATAACGCATGACTCACATCTGTCTGTGTATATGCAGGTGTTATTCCAGGTCAACCTTACATAAATGCCTCCTATCCCTCGCCTTCCAACTGCCGCCATTCATCTCTCCCCAGTTTTTGTCCTTTTTGGTCAATAAAATTCTCCTTTTCACTTATACCTTTGAATTAGCCCATCGACACGCTACTAATGTTTTTTTTAATATATATATATATATATATATATATGTGTGTGTTTTTTTTATTTATTTTATATAAAATTTAAAATTTTGTTACCAAACTGGGTCCAATGTTCTAGGATTTGCCAGAAAAGAAAAACACAGCAAAGCTCTCTGCCAGCTCAACCTCATCTAACATCCATATATCTTCTTAAATAGACATCATTGGGGGTCCGAACACATTTTTGTAACAGGATTATGCTCTCAAGGCTTCATACATGTATTCAGTGCAGCTATTATGTCACAGGTGATGGGAGGGTCTCCATCTTTTTATACAGTTTTTCAACAGTGAGGGAGAAGTGATGCTGAACAGGAGCATAATTGGAGAGTGCAAAGTGTTTGTGAGAGCATATCCTATAAAGTGCAGTCACAGTGAAGTGGGTGAAGGATTGCAGTCTGCTGTGAAGATCACTCATGGGGATTTACCATGCATGTTTGTGCAGCCCCGTAACTGTGTCAACATGTCAGTTTTATTTTTTAAAGCTTAAACAATGATAGTAAAAATGCCTCAAGTCAATTATGTCAAACTTTAGTTCCAGATTTGGGCGTCAGGAAACGTTCCTCAAGGACGGTTTAAAAACATTTTGTTTTTGATTAGCAACAAAACAAGGAAAGCTGTTGTGTTTGTCATCTTCTTGCGGATTCACACAGGCTTCTATTTCTAATTGTATTGTCTTGTACACGCGACTGCTTCCCATTTCCAATTCACGCTCTGCAGAAACATTTGAACATTTCCCTGCCAGTTGCTGCATATAAACCAACCACCTATATGACGGTAACAGAGTGTGAGCTCAGAGTGTGTGTGCGCTCGTCTATGTTAGTACAACGGAGCGAGCCGGAGGAAGAGGAAGAGATGCAAAAGGGCTGATGTACTCAGGCTAGAGAGCATGTCTGACATTACATAAACAAGGAGTGACAGGCAGGAGAGAAGGCGGAGAGGAAGTGAGTCATGAAGAGGCTGATCGGAGTCAAGGGAGGTGATCGAGTCCAGCTCAATGTGTACTACAGTTTAACCTTTAAAAGCTCCTGCACAGGGTTTTTAAATCCAAACACTCAGAGGCAATTATAATAATTATCTGAACTTGTAACAGAATGATTATCATTTGCAAAAGTTGCAATAAAAATGGTTTGCATGGTCTGTTGACTTTGAGGAGGTCAAGAAAAAGCAGCTAAGCTAACAAAATGCTTTAATTTAGAAGATTAAACTGTATAAGAAGTGTAAAGGGAAGATTAAAATAAATATATTAAACTTACTGCAAGAGAGTCATTATGATCACCATGACAACCAAACACCTTTGTCTGTCACTCCCTGACAGCAAACCTAAAAGACGCAGACTGAAACAGTGATATGTGCTGCTGATCTCATGCTGCTGATTAGTTCATGCTGCTGTATTCATTCGTACCCATCTGTTCGCACAGACTCGTTCATGTTGCTGTTGCACCGTATTGTTTTACATTGTTAGGGTTTAGCGTATATCTTGTACTGTTTAGCATTCGTTTCGTGTATATCTTAGATCCTATTTACGGTTTCTTTTTACACTTTATATTTTTGCTATTGTTAGATGTAACTGAGATCCTGTGTACACAATTTCATTCCACCGTCATGTACCACATGTGGGGAAGTGACAATAAATGAACTTGAAAACAAGGCTTGATCTTGACCTAAAACTAGTCTGTGGAACCATGGTAAATGGTCTGTACTTATATCACCTTTCTGTCTTATCAAGACACTCAAAGCTCTTTACAACACAATCTGTGCCCTCATTTACCCATTCATACAATTCTCTTCTAGATCTATACAAAGATTAAATCAGAGCTTTATCACATTCATACACCAATGGGTCACACATCAGAGGCAATGAGGGGTTCAGTGTCTTGCCCAGCACTTCAGCATGTGACTGCTGGTGGAATCAAACCCCCAACTCTTGCATTGGAGGACGACTGCTCTAACCACTCAGCCACAGCCGCCCTAAGTGTCCCCATGCTTGGACATGCACTTATTGCATACTAGTTGTGTTTGAGAGAAAACATTAACCCCTGAAGCAGTGAGAGACACACACAGGTGAAAGAAGGGAAAAGTAACAATTTGATGTGTAATTTGAACATTTATAACAAAAAGTTGGAGTAATAAAAGTTTGTTTGCAAAGATTTTGATAATTGTTTTGACATGTCAAAAGTTTGCGTTTTAGACATAAATCATCTCCAAAAATTATGAAAATGTAAAAAACATCAAAATGCCAGTGCAGACATCTAAAGTCCAACTTTCTTCGAGCTGTAAATCTTTGAATGTTTCTACTGTGAAGTATTCCTGAGTTATAGAGCTCCAAACAGGGCTGGATTGTCTCATGCTTCACCAAAAATTGCATAGATCTTTATTTTTTCATGTACCTGTAGTTTTTTGTGAAATTTATCTACATTGTAAAAAAAAAAAAAGTTACACTATTTACAGTCAATTACTACAGCTTGATGTCTAATTTGCATATTTTATTTAAAAACTTCATGATGAAATATAGGGCAAAATATTTAATGGAATAGTAATAAGGACATGTCAGTCCCTATGCATTGGCACCCTTAATTAACTTTAACCCAGTTTGCTTAAAAGCTGCTGAGTTAAGTGATTAACTTCAAGCTTCACTAATAAATACAGGGCTACATAAAGACACTGCAGTGTTGACAAATACTACTTTAAGACAAGACACAGAGAAACTGCTGCTTTCTGAGCCTAAATAGGACCTAGACAAAGTGGAAAAGTGCCAAATGTTCTTCTGGGATGGGGTTGCATTAGTGCACAAGTCATAACTTGCATGTCTAAGAAGGCGCCATTAATTCTGAATGATAACAAAGCTGGCTCCAAGCCAACATATGCTGTTGTCATCCAGACAATGTCCCAGTCCCAGAAACCCGTCGTAAGCTCAGAGGTGACAGGGCTTTCTCTGTTGCAGGTCCACGACTGTGGAATGAGTTGCCACTGAGTGTCCGGCAGGCTCCCACACTCTCAGTCTTTAAGTCTCGCTTGAAGACCCACTTCTATTCTCTTGCATTTAACACGTTGTGATTTGTTTTGGTCCGGTCTGTTCTCTACTCTGTTGGCCATTTTAGTTAGCTTCTGCTGCTATTTGTATCTGTATTTCTATTTTATGTTTTCCTGTCCGCTGTGCATGTTTGTTTTCTTTTGTACAGCACTTTGGTTGGCCTTGTTGCTGTTTTAAGTGCTCTATAAATAAATTGGTATGGTATGGGTATTTACGGCCCAGACTTTGCTTATTCCATTAGCGTGGATCCCGACTTGTAAAATAAGTTATTTCTGAATACAGTGGTTTGTTAGCATTTTCAAAATGTTGGGAGCTTTGTGAAAATAAAAAAAATTGCAGCCAAGAAAGTTCCAGATGGAAGGAGCTATCAAGTGCCAATGAAAAGATGTCGTAAAACCTGCAAGTTTGCTCTTCAGTTTGGAAATATGTGCAGAACGCTGTTAAAAAAATATATATAATAAAAAAAATAAAGTCTGTGCAGTGGTAACAAGGCCTCTGTTTCTTTTTCCCCTTACTCAAACGTAACTCATATATTTTTTAATAGAAATATAAATGTTGAGTTTTAAATGGTTAAAGCGCTGTCTTTAATTAAACAGAGGTTTGTAAATCTTACGCTGAATGATGATGGCCCTTTATGGTTTTGTGTCTGGTTTTTGCTCAACCCTAGATTTTCCACTGATCTAGTTTAATTTACTGTATTTTTCGGACTATAAAGGCACAACTGATTATAAGGCTCGCTGTTGAATTTTGAGAAAATTAAAAAAAAAAGGATTTTAAGTGCGGGCAGCACGGTGGCGCAACTGGTAGAGCTGCTGCCTCTCAGCGAACAGGTCGCTGGTTCAAACCCCGGTCCAGGGGCCCTCTGGGTGGAGTTTGCGTGTTCTCTCCGTGCATGCGTGGGTTTTCTCCAGGTACTCCGGTTTCCTCCCACAGACCAAAAACATGCATGTTAGGCTGATTGGTAACTCTAAATTGTCCCTAGGTGTGAGTGAGAGAGTGAATGGTTGTTTGTCTCGTTTGTCTCTATGTGTCCCTGTGATGGACTTGCGACCTGTCCAGGGTGTACCCCGCCCCTCGCACAGTGATTGCTGGACATGGGCACCAGCGAACCCCGTGACCCAAAATGGAATAAACGGGTAAAGATAATGGATGGATGGATGGATTTTAAGTGCACCTTTTAGTCCAAAAAAATACAGTACTTCTTTAAAGAACAGACAGTTTTTGGACAATAGTTCTTTGAAAAACACTTTTTTAATGCAAAAATACTATTTTTGCTCGCTCAGTTGTAGATTTAACTTTAAAATGTGAACAAATTGTGCTCCTTTGCAACAGGTCTCCAGTAAAAAAAGTGTTTCAGGGTTAGATTTGTCTGGTCATTACAGTCATCTGTAAGCTGGATCAGGTACTGGGAGATGAACAGAGACCACTGGAGATGAAGACATTTTAGAAACTTCCAACACATCTCAGTTATTAAAATGTCTGCATTACTGGGAATTTTATACTTGTTTTTTTTGTGGTTGGATCCCTGTAAGCTTTGTAAAATCCAAAATTAGGACCCCCCCCCCCCATCTTTATTTTTGGTTGATAAAGTACAAAAATGTTTACAGAAAACATCTCTTAACTTTCCCCTTTTTCATCTTATCTGAGAAGAAAACTACCACATTTATGCAAAAGATTTCTGTGAGTTTGCCAGGAAGTTTTTGTTGGTTATGCAATTGTTAATCATTTTGTTTTAGTTTCTACAAAACTAATGAGCTAAACCAAAACCTCCCAAAAGTGGTGATTCTCTTCCACGCCATCAGCACTGTAACATCAGCTATCCAAGTGTTTTCTGCTGGAGCAGCATGTGTCACACTTGAGTAATCAGCTCATATATACCCTTTGTTCTCAGTGATCCATCTCAATGCATTGTGCATATGTTTGTTGTGCACATATTGCAATTTTTTTTATTTATTTTTGCAGTACAACGAACAGAAAGTCTCAGAGGCACAGGTCAGAGTCTTACCACAACTGAGTTGCTGTGAGATTAATGTCATCTCGTTTGAACGCGACACCTCTAAAAAAAATTATAATTTCATTGTTTTATCATCATCTTATTTGTCCTCTAACAGAAAATTTCAGATCAAAGCAAGAGAAAGATAAAATTATGTTTCCAAAGTCGCCTTTAACTTAAAAATTCTGAACGGTCAATGCTGTATTTGTTCCTTTTGAACTCATTTTAATAGTTTTATTTATTTTAATCAAGTCATTATGGGAGGATTTTCTGCATAGAGACATTTGTGCGTGCACGTGTGAGCAGAAAAGAAAGCTGTGCCTGGTCTTAGTCCTGCTGTTGACCAACACCAGCAGTAAGCAAGCTTGTCCTGTGACCTGGAAGCAAATAGGTGAAAACATATAGATCTTTATTTTTTTAGCACCAAATTACCAAAGAAGCTGTCATCTTTGATATGAGATGATCCTTTCTTCATATTTTGTTCTTTTTTTTTTTTTTTTTTTAAATCCCATTGCCTGACGTTTCACCCTTTCTGCTCTGCAGTTGTGTGGTGGATGAAATGGACTTCTCAGGGATGGAGCTGGATGAAGCACTGAGGAAGTTTCAGGCCCACATCCGTGTCCAGGGAGAAGCCCAGAAGGTGGAACGCCTTATAGAAGCCTTCAGGTAGAGATCAATAATAAGGTTGATGTATTAAGCAGGGATACTGGGAGTGTGATTACTGAATGGAAGGCAGGTGAGTTGATTAACAGATGAAATGCAGCTATGAGATGTTGATAAAATCAAGGGAGCTGAGGGAAATTAAAACTACTGGCTGGACAAAAAAAAAAAAAATAGGACAATTAGAAACTGGAAAACAATTAAATAAACATCACTGAAACATACTACAAATAACTACACACTAAAATCTACTGGGTTATTTTGATTATTCAGTTGCGGTGTGAGCTGTTGGGTCACAGGTTGGATTTGTTGGACTAAATATTGGGCCAAAAGGTTTAACCTAGTGGATGAATCAGACATGAACCATGTCGTTCACAGCTGGCCATGTTAATTATTCCTACCTTCATCAAAAAGGTAAGACAGAAGATGGGTATCTGAAGTAAGAGTGAAAATTGTAAAAAGATGTTCAACCTGGTTGACTTAAGCAGTAACTTCAGTTTGCTCTGGACAGCGAGTATTCCCAAACAAAAGCTAAAGGCTAATAGCAGTTAACTACCGCTAACCCAAGTTATTATTTGATAACAAATATTTGTGTTGTACTTTTGAACTAAATTAATTCAACAAACTAGTCATTTTAACTTATTTTTTTTAACTATAAACTTAACCCAGCATGCTAGTATGTTGATAACCCAACCCTGCTGAGCAAAGACTACCCAGGACGGTATGGTTCCAATTAGACCCAGGTGTGGGTCACAAATCAGGTGGTTTTTATTTTTACCCACCAGTTTTTAGTGTGTACAAGAAAGACAAAATGACTGAATTGGAACAGCCATCCAAAAACCAACAACCCGAACATTGTGTCTACCACAGAGTTTTGTATTTCCACACTTTCTCAACTCTATTAGACAAATGTGTTTTGGATTTTTCTTTTGTAGTCACAATTAAAGCTGAAAAATACCAGATCATGTTAGTCCCAACACTATAAACAGATTTTAAAATTTAAGCAATGCGAGTTAAGTAATAGTTTTCAATTACCAAAAGTCAATATGATCTTGGTCACTCCAACTAATTTATGTACTTCAAGAAATAATAAAAAAAAAAAGCTTTTGTCATCTTTTAAAATTCACACCACAGTTCCAACATTTCTGTCTAAGTTATTTGTATTAAAAGTTGATATCTCTGGCTGCAATTGTCATTGACCAGTTTACTCTCAATTTAACCAACCAAGTACTTCAAATTTTAAAGAATGTGCTTAGTAGGACACACATATCTATAAACTCTGATTATGATAATGAAAGCATTGTAATTAGCTTTCAAACCCTAAGAACTCATCTTAATTATAACATTTGAAGCTCAGTTAGCTCAGCTTCTAAACGACTCATCTTTTAAATGATTGTGGGGTTAAAGGCAAATGGATCCAGTTTCTTGTAAGATGCTTGTTTGTCATTTTTGGTTCCAGTTTGCAGAGTCCACCAGTGCAGCTGTGCTTCCAAGAGTTAATGCCGTTTGTCGCAGCCCCCCTGTATTACCAGCCACCTGTCACAGTTGTCAAGGTGCCCAATGAGGAGAAAAACAAATGCATTGTTGTCATATGAAAAACGGCTGGCAATGGCAATGTTTGGCCATCAGGCTGGCTCTGCGTGTTATCAGTAGCAAGGAGAGGGGGAGGGTGGGAGGCAGGAGACACAAACAGAGAGGAAGGAAAGAAGAAGAGGGGATAAAGGAGGGAGGATGATTTATAAATAACCAGCGTTGCATAACCGTTACTGCCTCTCTGTGCCTGCCTCCCCCCTGCTCCTGGGCTTTGAAATGCCCACCCCCCCCACCCCCACCCACCCACACACACACACACACACACACACACACACACACACACACAGAATTGGAGAAACCTCTAAAGTAAGTGAAGGGAATTCAAATACATCAAGCAGCCTCAGTATCTGCTGCGTCAGTGTACTAACGAATGAGCAAATATGAACTCACATCCGAAGCTGCAGATATATTCTGTTTCTTTTTTTTTTTTGGTTCTGCAGCAGCGTATAGTTCAAATAACCTGCAATCACTAACACTCTGCGTTCGCCTCCGAAATGATTATAGATAAAGATCATGCAGCATGAATAATTTTGCCCTTAAATCCACTCAAAGAGCATGTAATGACTTGGTTATTTTTAACATTCAGCGAGAACAGGAAAACTGCAGCAAAAACACAAACCGGAGGATCCAAAGATGTACTCCATTAAAAGAATTATGTTTTATTCTTGAGGTCTTAAAAAACAAAAAGCACATCCAATGTAAGGAGCAAGTTTTTCAAAACATGAGTAATGAAAAGTCTAATTATGGCTTTTAGGTCGCAGTTTCCTTTGAGATTTTTAATAAGCAACTGTGTATAATTATCATGTTGAAATAAAAGTATATGAAGGATATAATAAACATAATTTAATTTAGGAGTGATTGAAAGCTTGCATTTGCTTTAGAATTAATTTTCTAGATTTGACAAGTGTTTAAAATAATTGACAAACAAGTGAAATGGTGTAAAGTGATGTTTTGTGTATCTTCACTTAAAGTATAATGAAATCATGTGGCTGAGGGGATCTAAAAACACAACTTTGACGGCTTCAGTCCGGAAATATTGCTCAAATAAAGTCACAATTACGTTTCAAAGCAGAGAACCCATGTTTTGCATTCATTTTCTACTGCTCTACGTGACTTTGAGTATTCCTACACAGAAGGAGCTGTATTTTATTTTATTTTTTTCCCCTTAACTGAAAAATACTTATGTATTACTCAACAAGTCTAAACGAGAGACCTGGGAGTCAAGATATACCAGTTCTTATTTTACATTTATTATACATTATTGTTTTTGGTCAGAAATTACATTTCTTTCATAAAGAGACTCAGAATTGGGTGGAAGTGATACAATTATTGGTATTGTAGAAATTTCTATAAAGTAATACAGTGGTGTAAAAATGTGACATCAGGTTACTACAAACTGTTCACAATGATGCATGAAGTTGCAATAAAACAAATCAATAATCACAAAAGATAGAAGGAAATTATACATGTTTAAAGAAATAGAAAAAAAGGGAGGTATAATGTAATTTTCAAATGTACAAGTCCGTTTTTTTTGTATAAATTAGCATGCCTGTGACTTATACAGCAAAGCAACATATTGCCCCCCCCCCCCCCCCCCATATTTATAAACCAATTTTTGGCTGAGATCTGACGATTTCAATCATTCTGGCATGGGAAATATTGAACACTACCATTTTCAGCCACTCAACTAATATGGCAAGCCAAGTGTCTCATTCATAGGTAAACATGACTATTAATGAGACACTTGGCTTGCCATACCAAGCCACCTTCATCTCGCTCCGGAACTCGTGGAGCAAACGTCAAATCAGCTGATGCATTTCGCCGCGCAGGTAAAATGCAGCTGATTTGACCATCAAAGTGCATTTATTAAGGAAAAATTCAACTGAGACGCACCTTTACTATAATGTCGAGCAAACAAATAATTGTTTAAGTGTTAATCTTGTTAAATTCTTGTTAAAGTCCTACCGTGCACGCTCCCGCGGCCGCCATTTTGCAGCCAATCGATTTTTGGCACAACACCAGCCCACGTTTCCAGGTTGTCAAGTATGGTACAAATTACCCCCAAAAAGCTGGCCACAAAGCAACACGAAGAGATGGAAAATCTACAAAGCCCTCTCAAGTGCCAATAACCAAATAAGATACAACTTTTGGGGTATTTGAAGATAAATGACTTTATTTTGACAAAATAAAGTCCCCTTGTTTTCCAACCTCCACAGTTTCCTGTGTGATGGATGGTTCATATAAGTATTGGATCCAGTGGGAATAAATGTGTTCACACAGAGAGATGGTGTTACAGCAGGGCAGCCCTGAACCTCACCTGCTGTGAAATTCATTGCTGCTGAGGGGCAGCTGACGGCTTCAGATGAAGCCAGGAGCCAAATTAAAGTCATGACTCTGCTTTCAGCATGACACTAATGCTCAGCCTGTGTAACGACTTCCAGGAGCATGCAGTGACTAGACGGAGCTCTTTACAGTTTGGTCATATAGTCTGTCTTTCCGTCCTCCTCCTCTCATCCTTCATTTTATTTAATATTCTGTGTTTTTATTCTAACTGTCATTTATCTCTCCAGCATAAACTCACATCTTCATTTCACAAAATTAACCATCAGACTTCATTCTCTTGCCTCTTCCTAAATAAAATATTGCATTTTCAAATCCTTATGATAAGTTTTTTCCTTTTAAATCTCCTGTTTTCTGTCTGGTATTTTTATCCCCAGCCAGCGCTACTGCATGTGTAACCCTGACGTGGTGCAGCAGTTTCATAATCCAGACACCATCTTCATCCTGGCCTTCGCCATCATTCTGCTCAACACCGACATGTACAGCCCCAACATCAAGCCAGACCGCAAGATGCTGTTGGAGGATTTCATACGCAATCTACGAGGTGAGAGGCGCAACATTACAAATGAGCTGCTGGTAAAGGAGAGAGTTCAATGACAGTAATTAGTTTACATAAATCACTTAAAGCAGGTAGGTGGATGTTGGTATCTACTGTATATGTGCCACTTAAAGAGGGTCAATACGCTTGAGACTTTTTTCCCCCAGTGAGTTATTTTAGTCAACTGCTTTGTTACATAAATGGTGATAGAAGCTTGTCACAATCACAAAAAACAAAAAGGCAGACATGGCAGCAAACTAACAGATTTGGTAGCAAACCAACAAAGGGAACTAAATAAAAACTGTTGCATGGTGACCCATAATGCACTGCTGGTGCATAGTGAGACAACGGCTTAAAATGTAGGACAAAAAAAAAAAAAAAAAAAAAAGGTAATTGGGAGAGTGGAGGCACCAGAGTTGATTGCCAATTGAAAACAGGTGAGGCTGATTGGAAAAACACTGAACAGCTGAGGAGATGTGAGCGATGGCATGGGTAAAAACACTGAACTGGAGACAATAAAACTACCGGTACACACAAGAATCCAAAACAAAAAACATACACAAGGGGGAAATTAATTACAAAAATAAATAAATAAATCAAGAACTAACAATAAGTAACCAAAATACACAGATCATGACAAAACCTCAGAACACAAATAGGTTATTTTGTATTTTCTTCAATGATTGTTTTTGATTAGAAAAAAAAAAAAAATAATTATATTGTATTTTAATGGCATTTAATGATGCTTGTATATGGAGCAATTTATTATTACATTATTGCTAATGCTTATATTTTATTAAAACCAAATGGGAAAAATCTCCAAAAAAAAAAAAAAAAAACCACACGTCCAGATGACTGAACTTTGTTGGATTTTTAAGCATAAGTTTTGACTTTATCTGCCAACACCATGCAGCTTGGTTTGTAGCACCATTTTATAGAAGCTGGAGTGATAATGAAAGTTTACTGTAAAATAAAAGTTAAATGGCCTGCTTCAGTTTGCTTCACAGCTTCTGAATCACAGCAGAGATCACTTGGAGTGGCTGTTAAATGATAAAATGCACCTCATAAAACGTCACTGTAAAAGGTCAGTGAAATATATGAATCTGTTTCAAATGTTAGCTGAAATGGACAAACGGTCTTGCAATCCTGAGGTTGCAGGTTCAAGCCCAGGTTGCATCACGAAGGGCATACGGTATAAAATTAAATTGCTAAATCTTTCATGCGACCTCGCTCGATGGTGATCCTTGAGAAGGGAGCAGCCAATAGAAACTGTTCATGGCATATATTCTAAAATCATCCACACCACTGATTGACAGATACACCGACTCCAGGTTCAGAACAGACTGTTGCTAATTCCAGGCTTTTGTTTTATACTCTCACTGATGCACTCCATTTCTCCCATTATGATACATTGTGTGGTTTAACATAATCACCTCATAGCGTTTATGGCTTCCAGTTTTAATTTTCCAATTGCTCAAAAAGCCAGGAGCTCTATTTTTGTGACTGACTTAAAAAGGAAGTTCATCAAAATTAAACCAAAATCACAAATGAACTAACTTGCAGATGGATGTTGTTGTATGAAAAATAAAAAAAACTGACACAAAATTATCAGTCTACATTATTCCCTCTCAAGGGCGGATTGACAGTCGACAGAGCAGTGAGAGCAGTCAGGGATGGAAGCTGGACAAACTTGTAAGGAAACTAACCTTCAAAGTAAGAGAAAAATGTTCTAGGATTGCGCTGCTCGGGGTGGCTGCATGTTGGAGTAGCCGTTACGTTCATTCTGAGATTTTGCTTTTGGAAACTTTAGTTCCTCTTTTTCTGGATGTAAATCCAGAGGATTTGGGAGTGGTGGCGCAGAGGTTAGAGAGGTGGGCCTGTGATCCGAAGATCGCCGGTTCACGCCCCGGCCCGACAACATCAAAATTGTGGGTGGGGTGGGTGAAACACCCACACTTGCCCCCACCCTCATTCACCCCACTCTGGGCCCATGAGCAAGGCCCTTAACCCCCCCATGTGCTCCCTAAACAGGTCTCTCTTGAAAATGAGTTCTCGTGGCTCAATGAGACTAACCTGGATAAATAAAGGCTAAATGAAAAAAATCAATCATTTTGTTTTTAATGATAAGTTCCTCTGAGATCGGATGCTGTGCAGCTGGAAGGATTTTTACTGAAACTTTTTTAGTTTTGGACATTTGTTATGATGTGTAACAATGACAGCGAGGTGTTTATTTACAACCGGGAGCAGCTGATTAACACGTCAAAAGCTCAATATCTCAGCTACAGCCCCAAATCTCAAATGAGTTGAAAAGGAGGCACCGTAGATGCATTCCCGTCTCCCTGCCAGGTGTGCTCAAGTGCCTGACCACAGATCCTGGAAATGGCAGGAACCGCGGCTCATGACAGCAGAAGGACCAGGATCGTACCCTAGCATCTGCAGCTGCCTATCCGCAGCGACAAGGAGCTCAGCAGGCTGCTGGGAGGAGTGGACATTGCTCTGGGAGGAGTTCAGCCCAGCATTCGGGTGGTCCTGCAGCCTGGGGGAACCAAGAGGCCAGCCAAGTCTGGGTGAACAGATCGGCATCTGTGGACATTTTCTTCAGATCCACTGTGGGGCGGACCTTTACAATAGATCCTTCCTGTCTACAGCCATCAGTATTTATAACATCTTTTAATGAAACAAGGATAACGAGTTACAACATTTAATTCCCCTTTGGGATTAATAAAGTATTTTTGAATTTAAAACACCAAGAATGAATAAAATATACAAATGTGTAAGTTTGAGAACTAGTTTAAGAAACAGTGCTAACTCTTCCCTAAATGTATGTCCCTTCTTTAATCTTGTTGTGAAATCTTGCTTTGATAGAAAGCAGCAAATCCCCAAATAAATCAGGCACAGTTGACATCCAACTGTTTTGTTCCGCATTTAGTTGAACCTGCTGGCATAAATTTAAGGGCTAAGGATAAGATTATATATTTCCTCCCTACATGGCTTGCTTTCCAAACTTCTTCACGGTGACACCAACTGAAAATGGTTATAAATCCCTCCAGTGTGCAGACAAAACGCTTGTTCACTGAGAGCTGAGGAAGAGACACGGGGTTGTAGTTTTGCTCTCCGTCTGTGTAATCAATCAGGGAGCGCTGAGGTCGATGCAGAACAACTTTAGTGCGTTCATCCAATCTGTTCCTCACAATTACATTAGGTTGGAAAATCAATTTCAGCATCTTATGCAAATTAAAATATGCCACTCTGTTTACCTCTCTATTCGTCTTCTGCTCTATTTTCTTTACATCTAACCATTCTCTTCTTGTGCTTTTCAATGTCACACTGTCCGTTTCATCATGCGTTTGTTTTAATTATTATTATTTGTATTCTGCTCTTCTATATTTTCTCCACACTTGTCTCACGAGTTCACTCAACTAACTGGCTACGGTGAAATGCAATTAAGCACCTGAAACCAACAGTAATAGTGAGCCAAGGCACGCTAAATAACTCAATTAAAACCGGTTGATGATGTCATAACCCCTTGTAATATAAAACAATCTGCAATTAGTTTATCCAGCTCACTCTGCCAACTGTTTTTTTTTTTTAATTAAATGCGTTACTTGCGTTTCAGAGAAGATAAAGTTACTATTCACAAACCTGATTGAGGAGATGGGGGTTTATTAATACCTAGTAGGTAGGTATAATGTTATCAGAGTCATAGCAGGTCATAATGTTTTAAGATTTTTAATTACACCAACACCGTTGCAATACCAATGCTTTCTTTTTTCCTCTATGCACAGACCAACAAATTATCAGGTATAAGTTAGTTAGATAGTTGTACCAACTCACTAAAAGACAAAGAGTTGAATTATCCATTAAGTGTTCTATGCGTTTCGGTGATTTTGTATCTTAGAATGTCCATTTTATTGTTGGATGTGTGAAACACTTGATTAATTTGACAAAAAATATATTCAATAGCAACACTTGCTGATATCAGCTGTTGTTTTTAATTATAATCGCACAGCTTTCTGTGTTTGTATGATGTTCTGCATTGGCTTGAACTTCGAACCCAGGTACAGAGAGACACTGGGAACTCAGGGATAAAAATAAAAAAGTATTTATTTTAGGAAAAGAACGAAAAGAAACGAAAAGCTGACATGGCAGCAAACCTTACAGAACACATGGGAGACATGGAGGAAATAACGCATGAACAGCTGTGGGAAGCATAATCCACAGACAACGAGGAAACAAAGATACTGAACTTAAATGGACACTAACGAGACACAATGATGAACACCTGAACACACAGGTGAGAGTGGCAGGAGCTGACTATATATATAGGGGGGGGGGGGGGGGAGAGATCACACTACTAGTACTGAAAAAATGACAAAAGAAAACGGAACTAAAACACAAATATCTCCAAATCTAAACACAAAACACTAATAAAACACAGATTCCCACAGTTATATTTGCTGTCTCAGATTAAACATATCAATGCATGCACAAAACACGTTGTTTAAATCATTTTATTGCATCTGTTGTCTTTGATGCACAAACACAGCAACTCGTTTTATTGTTATTGCACAGAAGCACAATAAAATTACATTTCAGTACAGCCCGTCCAAAGAAACAAAAAGACAAATGTGGGTAGACGGGTGCCTGAGGCTGCAGCCATCACGGGAGGCGCTGCCCTTTTTGTTGGTTACTGCACCAGAGAAAATAACTGTTGGAAATATTGGCAGAAAACAGAAATATTTCATCCATTAAGGAAATTGCTAACTTCTCTGAAAGGATTTCCGTAAACCCTTTAGGTGCAACTTTTCTTGACATTTGTTGCAGCTAAAGCTGACACAGGCTCAAATCATAGCATAGTGATTAATCAAACACAACTGTGTCTTAGTTCAGCTTGAAAGCAGGAATGCTGAATTCTGATGTGGTTAAAATCTTTCAAATCTTGTGAGAATCTTGCAATGTACATTAAGGTATGGGGAAACGATGAGAGAGACCCTCCTTGGTTAAAAAAAAAAAGTTAATTTTGAAGATGTAATACTGGTAAATAATTTTGGGTGGAAAAGAGTGCTTCTTAAGAGTTTACAAAACTAAAAACAATAAACAAGGAAACAAATTTCCCAAGGATTTCTTTTATTTATTTCAGCTGTTATCAAATGATAAAACAATTAATTTGTAGTTTGGGAAAATAAAAGATTGTCATGGTTTATCTTTTGTGGTTCATGAATGCTTGTGTAAAATCACACCTCAGTTTTCTAACTAAAGTGTTGGATCTTTGACGTTGCTATGCAAGGAGCACAGCTGCTAGTTTGAGATGCCTGCAAGGAAAAGCTGAGAAACGGTGAAAAAGGACCTGCATTCAGCAACTAAAAGGCTTCTTATTAAGCTGACTCATGGCGCACGTTTCCCTGTGCACATCCCTTCTCCTCCCCCTGACTCCACAATGTGCAGTGATGTCTCAGCGGTGCAGGGTGCCTCACTGACAACATCACCGCCAGTGATAACTTCATAGTCTCCACACTCATCCTGCCCCATTGAAACGTCAATGTACCATGCAGTGCAGTTCAGCTGTGTTGATATAATGAGAAGCAATTTGAGGGCAACATTTCAGCCTAATGACATGCAACTTTACCTGCGTCAAACTGTCCCGGCTTTGAACTGCACTCTGTTCTTTGGACAGAAAGTCTTCCAGGAGCAAGGTGGAATCTTAATCCCTTACTTGCCAATTAACCTCCTCTCACTCATCACCTCAGTCATCGCTCAGTGAAGACTGTGAAAGACAGAAAATCAAATGAGAGCAGATGCAAAGACTGAAAGTACGAGTTCTAGGTGTACAACCTCATGTCAGACAACAATGGGAGTTTGTTGGCCAGTTCAGCATCTGGATACTTCTACTACAAAGCCATGCTCTGGTAATGGATGCAGTGTGTAGTTTAAAACTGAAGATGTGAGGTCTGTGATTTTCTGAAATAATTTTAAAATTTAATTTGTCTGTCCACAGAACCGTTTTTCCATTTTTGCTTCAGTTCTTTTTTTAATGAGCTTTGGTCCAGAGTAGACGGCAGTGTTTCGGGATGCTGTTCACATATGGCTTCTTTTAATACATTTTCGAGCTTTAACCACCATTTTCACGAGGCTCTGTGAACTGTTTACAGACGGTGATTGTGAAAGTGTTTCTGAGCCCATACGGTGATGTCCATAACAGAATCAGACTTGTTTTTAATGCAGTTCTGCCTGAGGGTCTAAAGATTTTGAGCATCAAATACTGATTACTTGTCCTTTGGCAACAGAGTATTCTCCAGATTTTTTTTAAATCTTTTGATTAATTTATGAACTTGGACATTCGATTTGAGAAACATTATCCTGAAACTATTCCACTATTTCTGGAAGGAGTTTCTTGTAGGCTGCTGAACCTCTGCCCATCTTTACTTCTGAGGGATTTAGGCTCTCTGTCTTTTTCTTTTATATCCAGTCCTCTTACTGACCCATTGCCATTTAACCCATTTAGTTGCAAAATGCTCCTGTGGCTGTTTTTTATGGGTACTACCTACATTTTTAACCATCTTTTAAAACAATTTTTAACCCCATCTCACTTTTTGTGTTTTGTTTCTGTCCATCCATCCATTATTATTACCCACTTCTTCCTTTTTTGGGGTTGTGGTGGTCACTGGTGCCTATGTCCAACTATCACTGTGCGAAAGGTGGGGTACATCCTGGACAGGTCGCAAGTCCATCACATGGCTAGATAGAGACAAATAAAACAAATTTTTGTTTCTGTCATCAAATTTAAAAAAAATCTAAAACTGGTGCAATTTTTAAGTTTAAGCATTTTATAAACGTTTACTATATTCCATTGTAAAAAAAAATTAAGTATATGTGAGATTTGCAAATATTTGCATTGTGGTATTGTCGACATTTTACACCTCAATGTACTTCTTGAATTTTTATTTATTTTTTATTTTTTATTATTTTTTTAATGTTCAAATTGTGTGTGTTTTCCAGAGACGTTCAGTGCTGCATTTAGGTCCGCTCAGACAAAGCTGAGCTCTTTTACAGCTAGCTGTCACTTCACATTTTTACTTTTAGCTGGACAAAATGATCTGGTAAAATCTAAGGTGCCCCTCCTTCAGCGCGTCCATACTTCCTGTTTCTGTCTCAGGTGTGGACGATGGAGCGGACATACCCAGAGACATGGTGGTGGGCATCTACGAAAGAATACAACTGAGAGAGTTGTGCTCCAATGAAGACCACGTCACCTACGTCTCCAAGGTGGAGCAGTCCATCGTAGGCATGAAAACAGTAAGAGTACACACGTTAACCATTTCTCAAGAAGACTTGGGGGTCTTGAATTTTATTGTACTATTTTCCAAAATCCACTGAAATTGAACTGACAAAAAAAAAAAATCCTTTAATTTGAGTTCGTAAAAATATTTGATTCCACAGAAACATGCATTTCATGCCACCTAACTCGATTGTTATTTAATTCCTTATCGTAATCACTTTGCATATTTAATAATCATTAAATGTCTCATCTACAGCTCAATCATTACATCAGATCATTGCTCCCAGATCCATCATTAACTACAGCTATCATTAGACTCATTATCTGTGGAAATGAACTCTATGTAACTTTTACTGAAAAGTTGTAGTAGTGTCCTCTGTAGTTTATAATTACAACAGATGCTGCTGATCCTATTTTAAACAATGAATCATCTGAGGTGTAACTAAAAAGTAGAGTAAGCAATTTTAGAACATAACATAAGACTTAGAGAACCTAAAAAAAACAAGGTGAAAGAGGTACAGAAATGTCAGGGCTTGAGTAAACAAGGTGACATATGAAGAAGAAAATATCATATTTTGTATATTTTAACATCAAATGTTTGCAGCTACAGATAATTTCAAGCCAATTTCAAACCTGGTGTTTGGCGTGCCATCATATGATAAACGCCACAATCAAGCCACCTTAGCAATGTCATCGTCAATTTAATTTATATAGCACAATTATAAACAAGGTTGCCCAAAGTGCTTCAGAAAATTACACATAATAATCAGCAGGGAGACTAAAAAGAAACTAAAGGAAGGAAACACCACAATATAAAAGACCTAATGCAACTCCAACTCAACTCGAATTAAAAATCCATCCAGCATACACAAAAATAGCCACAGCACAATTGCTTTTACAGCACCCGGGCTTCAGTTTGGTGTTGAGTCTTGCACAACATGACATATAATCCACCTGATTTCCTTTCATCTGTGTCAGATTACTGATATGCCTGCTGTTCAGTTTCTGTTTGGTTAGTTATTTTGGAAACCTGCTTATCTTGTGCTCCTGCAGCGCTCTAAATTTTGCTCCATTTATTTATATATATATATATATATATATATATGTATCTATATATATATATATATATATATATATATATATATTAATTACATGGAATTGGTCTTTTTAATACATAAAGCAAGTCACATCCTAATCCATCCTCACCCAGTTCACGTGTTATCTGTCATTTAGATGTATCTTTAGGTGCTGCACAGAAAAAAATAATAAATGATGGAATAAAAAAATAATGGAAATAATGACATGCCACCAACCTCAGCTGCACTTTGTTTCAATTTCTCCTCCCTCTTTATTCATTATAGATAGATGAATGTAGCTAAGAATTCACATCCTAATTACTTTCCAAAAATTTAACTTGGTTACATCCTAACGTTCCAAATGACCTTGAAATGCTGACATTAAAGGATTGCTCTTGTCTTTTTTTGTACCCTCTCTCAGGCTTGTGCCTCTCGTTGTCTCTCTGTGATAGATGAGTAGCCGTGGGATTACAGAGGGACTGCTGTCATAGCCAAACAATGATGGATCATTGGGATAGGAAGTGACTATTTTCTGCCAGTGGGACCTCTCTTCTACAAAAAGGAAGAGACTTTGATAAAGTTTCCTACCTCTTCAGTAGAGTTACAACTTCTTATTATCTTTTAGAGCAAAATAGGATTCAAAACTTGAGATTAACTTTCCTTTTCGATAAATAATTCACAATATGAAACCATTACTTCAATCTGATTGTGAAGCAGCACATCCAAATGTGATCAGTTTTAAAGAAAATGTTAAAGCAATTACTTTTCACCTTGTATAGCTGTATAATTTGATTTATTGATATTGTCAAACGATACTCAGACTTTATCTCAGTGATCCGTACAGGGCGATTTTTGTCACAGATTAATAACAAGAGGTGTTTCAGGCTAACATGTCTTCACATGATTCTTACATTGGTTTAATGAAAAGCTCCCTGTGACAGGCTGGAGCTTGGATTTGTGTACCCTGTGGTGATAAGATATAGGAGGAGCAGAAGAAAGACAAGAGTGTGAAAAGGGTGATAACATGAATAGATCACTCTCTGAAAGCATGCATCATTTTACAGCTTAAAATTATAGAGCCACTTAAGGCTCAGAGGGGAAAATGGACCGGACAAATGCATTGCTTTGGGGAAAGAATAGAGTCTACTGTATTTTTCAGTCTATAAGTCGCAGTTTTGCAAAATTTGCATGTCCTGCAACTTATACACCGAAGCGACTTATTTATGCTTTCCCCCCCATATTTATAAACCAATTGTTGGCTGAGATATGACCGTTTTCATTCATTCTGACATTGAAAACATTGAACACTATGATTTTCAGCCGTTTGATTGCAATGAAGTGGTATGGCATGCCATTGTGTCATGTAATGGGTAAAAGTGGCTCTTAATGACACAATCGGTTTAACATAGTCTGCCACCTTCGTCCAGCTCTGGGATCATGCCTGGAGCAACCGTCAAATCAGCTTCATTTTGTTGCGCCGCCCCAGTGAAATGAAGCTGATTTGACCATTGAAGTGCATTTATTAAGTAAAAGTTCAACCGAGACACACCATTGCTATAATGTTAAGCAAACAAATAATTGTTTTCAAGTGTTAATCTTGTTAAAGTCCTCCCGTGCATGCTCCCGCGGCCGCCATTTTGCAGTCAATCAATTTTTGGCACAACACCAGCCCACATTTCCGCGTTGTCAGCGGTGAGGCATAACAAACATGATGCATCAGCGGAGACGCATAATAGATGTGACTTATACGGCAAAATTATGTATTTGTTTTTTTTTTCCACTTTATTAGACATATTTGAACTGATGCGACTGATACAGCGGTGCGATGTGTACGGTGGAAAATAAGGTGTATATACATCAAATCTATGTGCACAATACCTTATTTTATCCACCTATACTTGTTGCTGTGTTGTGTAGGAATGTGGGATTACAAAGTTAACTCTTTTTTGTTTCACTGACTTGTGATCAAGTATCTTTTTCAGAAAACTTGTGTTGTTGCTGGGAATAATTAGAGTGGCACTAATTAAGAAAAGCATTACATAACTGAACAATAAAGTGTGACCTAATCACTGTTCAAAAATATTTGAAATTAATGAGCTAGCATTCCTTAAAGGAAGAGTTTTATAGCTATTTATGTCATAACCTCAAAATGACCAATCTCAGATGATTGGATGATAGCTACTACTATACCAAATTTTAGCTCAGTATCTGTAAATTTATGAGTTCTTGCCATTTTTGGATATTTGGGGGTAGAACTTTATATTAGTCATCTTTAATTGATGAGAATAAAAATAACCCTAGGTTCATTTTCAGTACCATAGTCTAATGAAAAAATCCTATCTCTGTTGAACCATGTATTCCTACAATATAAGCAGTAATGGGTTCATGAGATTCATTATAAATAAAATTATTTCAATTAGGGAAAAATTCAAACCATTCTTCCTACTATCGCCTCTGATTCTGTGTCAGGTGAGGCAGCTTTAAAAATGTCACTAAAACCTAATTTATGTTTGGACTGTTTTTATCCTGTTTAACTATTTGAGCTGTTTCTATCCTGTTGAATTGAATTGAAAGCTCAAATTATTTCCTTGCTGCTTTCATTTAAGAAATCAATTTTATTTTATCCACATTCCAGCATAAAACAAGTTTGCTTCAACATGTACATGTAAAAAATATGCTAAATGTATATTTAAAGGAATATTTTTGGGCTGGTTATGGTTAGTTTTTATCACCAAGTCTCTGCCTGTGTTTCCACCAGGCTAACAGAAGCTGGAAGCAGTCAGTGCACAGGTTCAACTCCTGGACAAGCTTAAACTGTCCAAACTCCCGTCCTGCCCTGGAGATTATGAACTTACACCCATTTATCTGTGGCTTGTCTCCACATCATTATTATCAGTGGGAGTAATGCCAGAGCTTACCTCTGACAGATTGACAGATATATCCTGCATCCAAGGCTGCAGATAGAAAAACTGTTTCCGACTGGGTATTTATCTAAGTGCCACACTTTTTTGTGGTCTAACCTCATGCAGGAACAGCACCCATCCAATTGTATTCCTCCCTTTTAAATGTTCCTCCTAACGTTTGCTCAAAACGGCTTCTGTTTGTTTGTTTGTTTTTCAGATTGTAAGTAATGCCAATGATTACTCCCACTTGTCAACAAGCTTTTAATTAAATTTGAAAATATGTTTCTTCTTAAAGTCCCATATGTCCAGCAGCGGCTTTAACCTGAATATGGAACATGACGAGATTTTTATGGTCTTCAGTTTGGATTTATTATTATTATTATTATTATTATTATTATTTTAATCATTTTAAAGTCTCCTTCTTCAGTCATTAATTCTGTCTGGTCTGGTCTCCAGGTTCTCTCTGTCCCTCACAGAAGACTCGTGTGCTGCAGTCGACTTTTCGAGGTGACAGATGTCAACAAGGCCCAGAAACAGGCAGCACACCAGAGGGAAGTCTTCCTGTTCAACGATCTCCTTGTGGTAAGATTTCATTCTTGAATGAATAAAAAATTCTCAAACCTTTTTTACGTTTTGTATAATTTCTGTTTTACGATCAGGCCATTTTTACCTTATCAGTATTTGCACATCTAAGCAGAGTTTAGATTTTTATTGGAAATGATGAATGGACAGGTATTAATGTTAATGTTATATAGGAGGGAAAGAAGGAGATTTCTCCAAAACAGAAGTTGAGGAGGATATTGTTTCTGCTACTTGTGCTGTCATTTGAAATCTCATGTTTATTCCTTAACTTTTATCGCTCTTACTGAATCTGAACAGACTTTAGATGCCAAAAATACAATTCAGCACAACCGCAATTTCTTATTATTTATTGCACATGATAAAGCACCATAACGGTTTTGAGCAAACTCCTGTAGTGCAGTACAGATGGTTTATCCTTGTGGTGGTGGCCAATCGGGGTGTTGGATGGCAGCATACGACAGGAGAGCCGTGAACACAGCGTGTCTTGTTGAGAATTTGAAGCAGAGCTGGCTTCACTGGCCTCACACCTGGAGTATAACTGTGACCATGACAAGGCCATGAAAACAAACTATAGAGCAGGTGTGAAATCTGTAACTGCATCCTAAGAGACTCATGCCTGAGTGAATACATAAAGCATGATGAAGGTGCTGGAAAGCCTCCAGGGAACATGGAAATGACCAGAGGCAAAAACGATTTGCTGTGTTCGCAAGGCAGTATCTCACTCAGGGAACATGCAAATTTTCATTGAGTAAAAAGAGCAAGTAGGCTCAATCATCCAGGTAAATAAATCACAAAAAAAGGTAAATCATGTAATTCTGAGTGTTTGCGACCTGCAAGCTTTTTGAAAATTATAGCCTTTTTTCAGGTGTACGATTTGCAAAACTGTAGATCATCATTACCGGTAGTTATCCACCTCTGCTTGCTTTGTATCAACCTTAGGCCTCTGTTTATGATTTATTCTACAGAAGGATACTTTAGAAATAAAGATGCTCAGATTTGAACTTGTTTTTTTTAATAAGTATTATTTATCATAAATGTGTTTTAGACCTGGACGTTTTCTGTCGAAGCTGCACTCACTTGCAGGAAAAAATACTTGTTGCACAAAATATTCAACATTCAAGGGACATGCATGCACACCTCTGCAGCTCAAGTGAGGATATTGAGAACCTTCTCAAAGAGTGTGAGACTTTCTGCAGACTCTTTTGTGAAAGCTGATCACTAACAGTTGCAGCCCTGTGAGACTCTCCCTTGAGACCGAGGTGGTGCAGGGGTGGACAGAGCAAAGCTTCTTGATTTGCATGTCCACCAGGAGCCATTTGAGTTAAGTTAGCCTATCCAAGGCCAAGCGGAGAGGCCAGATTCAGATAAACAACAGTTGTTTTGGGTAGACGGACTCTGATTTCTGTCTGCCTTCAGTTCTGTTGGTACTCTTGATGGCAAATCCAAACAGCCAGGTTTGTGGTTATTCTGCCAGTCTGTACTAGCTAGCCTTCTCCAAGGTTGAATCCTTCATGCTGGCCACTTGCAGGAGCTGCAAGTGGCCCACGATTCTCAGAAATCGCGTCCAGCTTGCCGTTGAGCTCATTAAGTATTTGAGTCTGAGCGTCCGAAGCACAAATTAATCCTTCAAATGAGGCTAGCAGCTTTATCATGGCCGAAACTGCTGCCGATGTCTCCCTAATTTGTCGATATTCTAGGTATCTGTCGATTCCAAAAAGCAAAAACCCTGTTATGATAAATCCAATAATGTATACGTCTTCTATGTCCTCCACGGAGAGTACAGACAGGCACGTCATCTTCCACTGTCCCCAGGAATCCATGACGTACCCAGCTGCGTGCATCCATTCAGGGCATGAGGGCTCTCCAGCACCCTGTCTCTTGGTCGAAATGTTTCTATCAGTTGCGTTGAAAGACCTCATGTACCACACGTGATGCAAATGACAAGTAAGAACTTTGAACCTTGTTTGGCTCGAATAAAAGCATCACTGGCGTGCAAGTGAGCCAATATTCTGTTTTGTTAAAAGACAAGAAGAGAAGACACTCATCGGCACTGCAGATGATTCTGTCACTTTGCTTGGTGTAAACGGGCCTTTTGTTTCATCACATCAGAAGGTTTTTCTAATCTGAAAGTCATCCAACTGCCTGTTAGAAAATTCACTCATATCTCCAGTCAGGAATGCTTCTATCTTTGCCATTGTGTCACGATGGCCTGGATGTGTTGTACTGATGGAGCTCTTCTTCTTAAACTATTATTAGTTTGACACAAACTTTCAGGATGAGGAATCTCTACTACCATCTGCTTGTCATGTTGTAAATATTACAGCACCATTTCTGCTTTATATTTAGATAACATGCATAAGATCAAAGTTTTAAATGATTTCTACACCCCTCGCAAAAAAAAGAAAGAAAAAGAAAATGAGAGATTATGAAATTTCAGTTCTTCTTGTTTTCCAGTTTCTCTCCCTGAAAAGCTTTAAAGCTGCTTTCTTTTGTTGTTGTGACCGCTGCAATGCACCATCTCCTCCTTCCACCGAGAGCCATTTCTAAAAGCTCCTCGTCTTTTATGTTGTTTTGTAACTCAGGACTTTCCAGCGCTTCCTTCTAATAATAGCTGGTAGTAAATGCAGTGCAGCAGCAGAGAGCCGTTAAGCAAAGGTCTTTCCCCTGCAGAGAAGTCATAAAGGCAGATGGTAAATAGCATTTCCCTTGACTCAAAGTTTTGTGGAGGGTTGAGATATCAAAATTTTAGGGCTTGGCATAATTAAAGTGCTCGTTAGGAGACACAAAGGGGTCATCTGCTCAAAGTGTTTAACTACTCTCATAATTACAGTCCAGCTACACACATCAGACATTTTGTTCTGTTCTCCATCGAGTGTTAAAAGTAGCTTAAAGGACAATTTTGAAATGAAGAAACCAGTTATCTTCAAATATTAAAGGTGCTCTTCATTCATTAAGAATTTATAAGTTATTTATAGTATGATATTTTCTTGTGGCATTTTAGAAAAATGGGAAGACATGGTCATAAAAACCTTTCCATATGACTGAGAAAAGACTGAGAGGCTCCTTTTTAAATTTGGCCTCTGTTCCAGCAGCTTGAATATGTCAGGAGCTGTTTGAAAGTGTTGTCTGATGCTTCTTGTCTGGAAAATTACACCAATCAATCAGTATCATCACAGAGCAGATACGCCTCATATTTCTCCATCTGGAAGGTCATTGCATGAAAAAGCTCCACAACGTCTCCTATAAGTCCTGATTTGAGCTTGCCACACTTTAATTTTTCATACAAATTGCACAATCTGAAACGCTCCGAAGGTTACGGTGCTTATTAATATGGAGTATCTTCTCTTTGAATCAGTTGTGAATGATTAAATCGTTTGTCTTTCTGAGCTGAGTTTTATTCCCTCAGATCTTGAAGCTTTGTCCAAAGAAGAAGAGTTCTGCTGCCTACACTTTCTGCAAAGCCATGGGCCTGCTCGGCATGCAGTTTCATCTTTTTGAAAACGAATGTGAGTCACCGTGACTTTGTGACACAGTGAAGTGGGTTCACAAAAACTGCACTTTGTGCTGTAATTTATCATTGAATTTTCATCCCAAGCTATGATTCGATGATGTTGCGTTTGGACACCATGCCACTGATGACAAATCCAAATGTGTCTTTTGAGGGAGTACTAATAAAATGGCATTTTATGGGTAAATTTTAAGGTACAATCTGTCTAATAACCAATATGTTAGAGTTGCTTTCGTGCTCAAAAAATACGACTCGACCCGGCCCCAGCCTGTAGCCATCATTTCCAAACCCCACCTAACCCGATGAAGTAACGATAATTACAGGTCCTACCCCCCCCCCCCCCCCCCCAAAAAAAAAAACATTTTAAATTAAGCTTTGACTGCTTATATAGTTATTAACGGTCGGCAGACGTGCACAGCTGAGTAAAAGCAGGCAGAAGATCGAAGCTGAGGGGGTGTTTGTCCTTTCATGGCCATCAAAGCTCATTAAATCCCTGCTTCTGTCTGCATTCTGCATTATTCAGACACAGACCCTGCTCTGACATGCCTGCTTTGGGATCTCACCTGTTTGGGTCATCGGCCGTGGACGTCCGCTGAGTGCAGCGGCTGAATGAACGTCCATCTGGGCGATGGATTGCTTCCTGGCAGTACCGGTAGTCCCATCTGAAGCTTAACTGAGCTTTATTTTACTTTTTTCAAGGCCAGTCAGCTCGCGGTCAAATGGCTGTGTGTGGCTGGTAATTGTCTGACAAGCCATGTTGCCGTACAGTTGGATCCCAGGTGATCCGCTGATGCAATCAATAGCCCAACACGACCCAACCCGCCCGTCCATCACATTATAATGGCCAGGCCCGGCCCAAATTCTGATTCTGATTCTGAAATTCAGGTCGGGCCGGCTTTCAGGCCTGGGTTAGAAATGACAGCTCTAATATACAGTATATTCCTATTTACATATATGAGTGAGTGACTTGAATAAAGAGAAATGCTATGTTTTTAATTAGCTAAATATTCCTGCAAATATATTACAGGGGTTTCTACTTCAGTCTGCTTTTTGGAAACTTATTTTTGGTATTTACAGCTTAAAACAGCATCTGTTGTCAGTTCATTCACATTTATTTTTTTTTTTTTTACTTTTTAGACTGCTTAAATCTCCCTTTGAAAACTCCACAGACTACCCTCATGGAATCACAATCCTCTCCCCATATGGCTCAGACAAGAAGCAGGTACTCCACTTCTGTGCCCAAAGTGCAGAGGAGCTGCTCAAGTTTGTAGAAGACCTGAAGGAGTCCATCGCAGAGGTGTCTGAGATGGAGCAGATACGCATCGAGTGTGAGTGTGATCATGATATGGGGACATTTTCCTTTAATAAAAGGCATTAAAATGTTAACTCTAAGTAAATTGGGTGCTAGTAACCTATGATAATATTAATAGCACACATCTTCATCTATACAACACATGTGCTGGTTCCTCTCTCTGCTATACAACTAAAACAGGGAATTTAGTCTCTGGTACAAGTTCTTATGCAAAACCATAAAAAGAAATGTCACCCTAGGTACAAGACAGAAGACATCCACTGCGTTGAGTTTAAACTCTAACCTGCTTTGCAGCTTCAGCAATCTGCAGGAAGCCTGTAAACTGAAACTGAGCAGCTCAGGCTCATAAGCTGCTCAAACACTCTAGACAATAACACAATTCACCGCACATGCTCAGTACTTCCACACGTGTGGAAAAAACTTTGAGCTTTCAAAGCCTGGGTCCTGGCAGTGGGTATTGAGGACAGCATCCCTCCTGAGATTTGAAGCAGCTGCCTTAGTTTTCATAGAAAAGGGATGGCGTGCAGCTTTGGGAGGAAACGGGCAACAAGACGTGAAGAACAAGGAAGGAGAGCATTTCTCCCTGAAGACCAGTGCAGAGGATAGACTATTACTTTGCAACAAACCACACAAAACAGTGCACAAGTGTTGGGAGTTATTTTGACAAATTGCAAAGACATTGTAATTTTTCCTCATTGAGTTTTAAAGAGCTACGGCGTTTATTCATCATGATGGGACGTGATATGCAGCTGTCATTACTGGCAATCAAAGAAAGGATGAGCTGAATTTAAAGGCAAATTGGGGAAATAAAAAGCACAGAGAAGTCAAATGTTGAGTTTATATGTCTTTATATTTTTTCTCTGTGTTTATGAGGGTGATTGTTTCTTGTTTTCTGTGTGGGTTTTTTTCTGCAGGGGAGCTGGAAAAGCAGCAGGGAGCCAAGACATACTCTGTTAAGAGCAACGGCACACAGCGAGAGCTAAGCAGCAAGCAGGGCTCCCTGTCAGGTGTGTGAGAGCTGGAAAACACACATGAAGTCGTACAACACTGTTGGCGTTTTTATGAACTGACCAACCAGAAAAAAGACCAGGCTGATGTTCAAGGAGTCCATAAAGCATTTAATTATCCAAAACCCTGGATTGTCTAAGATTGTCATAGTGATGCTCACTACTGCTGAGTATTAGTCTCTATAGAAAAGTATAGCTCTTGACCTTAAAAATGTAAGATCTGGAGATCAAGCATTTTGTTTCTCTTTAGATTTTGATCATATTATAGCAGTAAACATATTTATCAAGGAGCAGAGTTAGGATCTGTGCATTTTTTTTTTATATATAGATTGTCTTTTGTAAAAGCAGATTAGCAGGGCTACATGGAGAATTTGTCTTTGTGAGCTGAAAGGTAACTTATCTTAGTGTGAGCTGGTAAACAAATAAAAGATGGTATCAGTAGCTAAAATAGCACAACAGATACCTAAAACAGAATAAGCCCACAAATATGTCTAAAGGAAAAGAAGATGGAGCACAAAGAGTATTAAACTAAAAAAAAAGTGAAGATTGGGAATATTAAGAGAACATAACGGAACAAATGGCTTTTCAAACCAATTAAATTCTTGAAATTGTAGTATTGGTTTAAAAAAAAAAGACCAGAAAATGTAAAAATTTTTGCCCACCATCACTAGTCGTCAATTCTCCAGGCAATGTTTGGCAAAAAAAAAATCTATACTTGCTACAAGAATATACCGTAGGTGCTTTTTTTAATAAACAGATACGTTTAAACCCGTTAATCTGAAATTAAAAAATGCATTGAAAATGTAGTGAATGTTTACATTTAGCATCTTCATATTGCCACCATTTTTTTCTCTTCTGCGTTTCCCACCTCCAGGAAACCAGGAAATCGACGACAGAAGTGGACAGAATGCAGTAGAGGTAAGTGCCTCCAGACAGGTCCATGTCCCCAACAACAGGTAAGTCAGTGAGCAGGATGAGACAGGGCTAAAACCTCAGGACTAGTCATATCTCTAGGACTAGAGGCGTCAAGCAGGTGTGGGTGAGGAGTGTGTGAGCGAGTGACTGTTGCTGGGTAAAGTGCTGCGGGCATGTGAATAACCCAATAAAGCTATTAGATAAAGCAATTTGGCAAAAAAGAGTAGAGCAAGTTGTAATGAGTTTCACAAGCTCAGACAGAAACTGTGACTCCTTTTAGTATAAAAAAAAGTTTCTAAGGGGTTGTGGTGCTTATACTGTGTATGTGTCCACACTGAGTGGTGAGACCTTAATTAACACAGTTGCATACAGTCAGACAAATCTGACACTTGTTTGACCCATAGTTGACACCATTCCACCCATACCAGAAGCTTCAGAAGAAAAATCTCATGCAAGCAATTTGCTGAAGCAAAAGACCCAGTCAACTACAGTACTGACGTTGGAGCTTCGCAATTACCACCCTCAAGGCTCCACATGACCTTTCTGAGTCCTTCGTGTTGCTGTGGAGTGTAGCACTGGAGTGAAAATCCAAGTTCTTTTAAAGTCAGTGGCTGTTTAACTCCTCGGAGCTCTTTGGTCATTTATTAGGTTCTAAATCTTGACTTTTTGTTACTTTAGAGTGGGTTTAAATGATTTCCAGTCCAAGAATTCTAAAAATGTTCAACTAAATGGACTCAAGGGCATCTGCTATTTATTTTAATACCAGCGTCTGCACCTCAGGTCAGTCTTCATGGTTGTCAGAGCTACTGTACCTTTACGAGCCATCTTCCCTTCCGCCATGCAGCCAACAGTAAATATCAGTGACTGGTGGGGAGCCGCTAGCTGTCAAGACACATTTATCTTAGAAAGCAGGACACCGCTCACAAAAATCCTTCATACACAGCTGGCTTAGATCTAAGAGACTGCGCTTTGTGGCAATCTTTCAATCGTAATAGAATTGATCAGTAAACTCTGGAGATTATGATGCTACCTATGGAGGAAGAGACATTAAGTCAGTTTGTGCCAACATTTTTTTTAAACACCTGCAAAAAATGTTAACAATCACGGTTATTGTGCAACCCCAATTCTGAAAGTTTTGAGATGTTGTCTAGAATATAAATAAAAACAGAATGCAACTATTTGGAAATCTCATAACCCCTTTTTTTTTTACATTATAACATGACATACCAAATGCTTAAACTGAGAATTTACATACACTTTTTTTTATTAAAAATTAGATAATTTTGAATTTGATGGCCTTTTAGTGAGAAAAAGTCACCTTATCAAATCCTAGCCGGGGACCTATCAGGGTGGAGTTTGCATGTTCTCTCCGTGCATGCGTGGGTTTTCTCCGGGTACTCCAGTTTCCTCCCACAGACCAAAAACATACATGTCAGGCTGATTGGTAACTCTAAATTGTCTCTAGGTGTGAATGAGAGAGTGAATGGTTGTCTCGTTTGTCTCTATACGTCCTTGTGATAGACTGGAGACTTGTCCAGGGTGTCCCTCACCTCTCAAACAATAACTGCTGGATATGGACACCAGTGACCCCCATGACCCGAAAAGGCAGAAGAGGGTACAGATAATTGATGGATGTATGGCTATATAATTGCAACTCATTTTAGATGTGTTTGTTGTTATGTTTTGTTGGTGTTTTTTGCAGATTGCTGGAACATCTGCCCATCTTTACTTTCATCATCATTTTAGATTTAGCTTCTCTAAAAACAAAATTTAGATCCAGTCTAGAGTTGCATTCGGGCCCAAGAAATCCGACCTGGCCCCAGCCCATAGCCATCATTTCCAAACCCCACCCGACCCGACGAATTGACAGTAATTACTGGTCCGAACCAAAATAAATAAATAAATAAATAAAAACGACATTTTTAATTAAGCTTTGACTGCTTATACAGTTATTAACGGTTGGTGGACATGCGCAGCTGAATAAAAGGGGCAGAAGATCGGAGCTGAGGAGGTGTTTGTCCTTTCATGGCCATCAAAGCACATTAAATCCCTGCTTCTGCCTACATTCTGCATTATTCAGACACGGACCCTGCTCTGACATGTCTGCTTTGGGATCTCACCTTTTTGGGTTGTCGGCCGTGCGCGTCCGCTGAGTGCAGCGGCTGAATGAACATCCATCTGGGCTTTGATGGATCGCTTCCTGGCAGTATAGTCCCATCTGAAGCTTAACTGAACTTTATTTTACCTCTTTCAAGGCCGATCAACTCGTGATCAAATGGCTGCGTGCGGCTGGTAATTGTATGGCAAGCCACGTTGCCATGTAATTGGAAAGGATGGCAAGCCATGTTGCCATATCATTGGATCGCCATACATGCGTGTTCACAATCAAAAGCCCAACATTGACCTGGCCCGGCCATCCAGCACATTATTTTGGCCCGACTTGAACTTGGGCCGGGCTTTGGGCCCAGGTTAGAAACAACAGCTCCAATCCAGTCCTCTTACTGCCTTGCTGCTAATTACCCATACTAATTTCAAAATGCTCCTTCAGTTGTTTCTTGTTCTTACCTCTTACTATTAGAGCTTTGTGTGGTACTTGTCTCGTCCTTTTAAAGACGTTTTTCTGCCATAAAAATTGAAATTATCTTAGTTTTTTTTCCCAAAAATGGTTCTTAGTTTCAACATTTGATACGTTTACTATATTATCTTGTGAATAAATATGGGTTTGTGAAATTTACTTTTTTGTACTTACATTTTAAACAGCATCTCATTTTGTGGGAACTGGGTTGAACATCAGCTGTGTATGGAAGAACAAATTATAAACCATGTCCGACATTAGATATTAACCACAATTTATGTAATGCACAGGAAGTGTTGACTGCAAACCAATCTCTTCAGTAGTCTGAAGAACAACTTTTTTTTTGTTCGAGTCAGCAAATACTCAACCAGTAAAAGAGCAGAAATACTAGAGAGAACTGTGATATTTCAACTGAATGTTGCCTGTGGATATTTGTGGTTGTCAGTCTGCTCACCTCCTTTCCTCTTCTTCCACCTCCCCCTCTTCTTCGTTTGACCCTCCCGTCTGTTCTGGGTGCCTTGACCTTGAAGTCTCCTTGTGCACGCCGTTACCTTAGTGCCACACAGTGGTTTGGAAGGGAGACACAGGGGCCCTTGGTGTCCCATTTGGAACCATGGGGGCCCCTTCTCTGTAGCATTACTTCCCCACCCCTCACTGCTACTCCACCTGACCCCAGTCACGCACTGTTCCCAGCACCTGTGGGGGTGGAGGGAGGGGAATCTGCAGCAGTCACAATGATTCTACACCTCCACTGATCCTTAACACCTACGCCCCCACGCATGCCCTGTATGGATGTGTGTGTGTGCGTGTGCTGCTTGTTACCACCCCCCCACAGAAAAAAAGAGGGTTGACGAATTGTAGAGGAGGAACCAGTTTTATAACATTTGATGCTGTTCTCTTGGCTGTTTTCTAAACTAGGTGTCAATTCACAACAGGCTTCAGACGTCCCAGCTCAGCAACAGCAGCACGGCTCGGAGTGTCGAGAGCGTGGCCCTTCTTAACAACCGGGGAGAGCTGCTTTTCCAGCAGGACCCCCAGGGGTTAACGCACTGGCCGACGCCTCCGCCTCAGCACCCGCAGCTGCAGTCGGCGGCAAGCACCCCCGTCCACCATTTCCCCATCCAGCAGCCCCAAACCGCTGCCAGCATGGCGGACCTGCGACCCGAGGCGCTCATCCAGTGTCAGCAGATCGTCAAAGTCATCATGCTTGACAACAGCGGCCATGGCCGCGTGGAGGCCTTCCTCAGCCAGACGCCCACCCACCACCACTACCAGCACCGCCACCACAGCCTCCACCAGCTCAGTCAGTCCGCCATGTCCACCCCTGTCCGATCGCCGGATGGCTCCCACGATGGCCACCAACCCCCGCTACCTCCCCCGCCACCCCCTTACAACCACCCACACCAGTACATACCTCCAGACCCCCGCCTCACTTTACACCGGACCGCGAGCGGCTCTCGGAGCATGGTGTAAATAACACTCACTCCCTGAGACGCAGATCAAATGTCCACATAAACTCCCCCTTCTGACTATTTTACATTATGTAAATCGGGTATAATTAAATGAAAGAGCTATAATAATAAAAAAAATCTACTTATATGCATATATTTAAGTAAAAAAAACACTAAAACACAAAGGTTTTAAACCAGAATAGAAGGAATAAAGTGCATATATATATAATGTTTTACTTGACTCCTCATGTATTTTGAAATATTATGTAGTTTTAACAAATTTCTATAACTTTTTGTCAGTTATCTCTTGCTAAAGGGAAAAAAACCACAGTGTTCAGTTTGTGGATGGATTCCTTGTAGTTCTAGCACTTGACCACAAAGAAACGTCACAGACTTTTTGAAATTCCCCAGCGATGGATGAACACCCCCCTGATTCTGTTGGCTTTTATAGTCCCAGACCTCATGCCTAACTGTGCTGTCTGTGCACCTGCGTCTATAGCTGACAGCAAACATGTGCCAAAAATACATATGCCTCCACTCAACAATGACTTCTTTGCACTTGACTGAATGCTGGGGCTGAAAGAAGAGGAGAAAAACAACAACCATTGCTTTGAGTAGTAGTCTGTTCTAACCTCTTCCTCAAGGGGTTCAAAAAATAAATAGCAAAACAAGCTATCTACCATTTGCACAGGCGCTCATTTATTTATGAGATGGAGGGGCTTCTTTTTTCTCTCTGCTCGGCTAAGACTAAAAAAAAAAAAAAAAAAGCAAAATGCCGTCCTACGAAAAGCTGTTTCTCTTCATTTTTCTTTTGTGTCGTTGCTCTGTGTCATCTGAGAACAATCGTCGCCACAGATTAATCTGCAGGGGAGGATAACGAGTCAAACTACCGCTTCCTGTTCAACAACTTACCTTGCTGATCGAGGGAAAACTGTGATCGCATTTTGAAGTTGTTCGAGTGTCTGCAACTTGACTGGTTTGGCATTCACGTGTAAGATATGTAACACCCTGTGCTGTCATCTGCACTTTGTCGAGCGCTTTTTTTCAGGAAATCCCACGAGTTCACGTGACGGCGCTTCAGCTGCAGCTGTTAAATGTTCATCGTTTGTCTTCGTGTCACCATTGTGCGTAGTCCCGATACTGTGTGTTCCCGCAACTCCCGGGTTTTTGTTTGCTTTGGATCCTCGTGACGGTTTTTAGTTTTTTCCTCCATCGTAACCTTTCAGACTGACTGACATTTTCAAAAAGGCAAAAAAACTACACGGGGCTTTTATTGCAAATGTTGGCATTAATGGTATTCTTTGTGCAGTTGGCCACCCTGCTATCTTAAAAATGGAACAAAAAAATGAATGCACTATCTGATCTTTCTGTTTCACCTCAGCTTAGATTGTAAATACCACACACGAGCGGTGTTGGAAAGGACAAGCAAGCTACCTTTTCAAATTGCTATCGCCCCGTCGCACGTCCTTCATGCTGAAATAGGTCAGCGGCTGCCACGGCCCAAACGCGTCCATCTTTTAAACACATGCCCCCACCAGGTACTGTGGAATGGATGTTGAGTTATCTGCTCTCATCTGACCTTCATCTGTCTGATTTGTTGATTTATAATCACACAGCCAATGAGGGAAGGTCTCTATCTCATCTTTCCTGTCCTTTCCACTTTGGATTTCACCTTGTGAAACGGACAGAGCTGGCAGTCTTCTGGTAGGCAGAGGCGATGATGAGTATGGCCTTTTCATCCAAACTCTCCACTAAAATCATCTCTGTTGCATTAATCCCAAATGCTTTTGTCATTGCGTAACGCGATGAGAATTAGTGCTTTCATAATGAACGAACAGCTCGGATGATTAGTTTTATACATTTTAACAGCTCAGAACAAACTTTTGAAAGTTATGAAATGGATTTTAGCAATTTAAACTGGTATTGTGGATCATTCATTCATTGATGATGATTGTACGGTTGCTTCTTTGTTTGTTTAAATCAACTTCAGCATATATCGTGATGGATTTGATTTCATGCATGACATTTTGTTAAAAAATTTATTGGACCTTGATTCCAAAAAGGCTTGAATTTACTGGGCATGAACGATGTGATTGAGGAAAAAAAAAATGTAATGGTACAAATTGGGTTTGTGATGGATTCAAAACTGATCCTTTGGCAAGTATGTTTCAGTGCCTCACCTGTTATATTATAATTTATGTCTCTGGATTTTATGGCCCTTTTGTTTTTAGTAGCACAGTTTGAACAATAAGCATTTTGGGAAACAAGTATAACATGTGTGTTCAATAAACATGCGCCACACAGAATTGTTTGATTTGAGAGGAAACCAATGTAGCATTGTGGAAGTGTAGCAAATGTTAAGGAACCGGTCCCGAAGATCCAAAGGGCTCTGCCGTACCAGCGTCATAATCCTGTTGGATTTTCCAACACTGTGTTTGCTCATACTCATGCTATATATATATATATATATATATATATATAAAGGATAAATTGGTGGAAACTGAGTATACCCATCTTTTTTCCCTCAGTTGGCTTTGAATCCCTCTCTATTCCTCTTTATAGTATATCAACTTGCAATTAAAGATGATTTAATTCAGTTCACTACAATGTTCTGCCTCAGTTATTGGATTCAACGTTTTAAACTTATTCAGAAACTTAACAGGGTTTGGTCAAAGTTTAGTCAACATCAGCACAATGGAATCTGGATGTCGAAACAGATTTAATGTGAAAATGTTTTTAATACCAAAAAAAATGAAGTCTTGACTTACTCAGCTCTAGTTAAACCATTGACTGTGTTATATTTATACTATTTATTAAATGGCAGGAAAAGGAACAGAGGAACATAAAATAACTGAAATGAAAAAAAATGAAGTATCAAGCCATATTGAAAAGCTTACCCTACTTTATAGTTTTTTTTCTACTATTACACAAAATAAACATCAAACTCAATTAAACAAGATGCAAATCTAGAGATTAATACCAAAAGAGAAATCGAGCTATTTATTTCACATACTTATAAACCTTTATTTAAACTTGTTGACATTAAATAAACTATGATCAAAGGTCAAAGCTGTCCTGATGCTATTCACTGGTGTAATTTTAACCCTCTGGTTTCATACAACAGTTATCATTTTGTGTCCAAAGTAAATTTGGTTGAACAATAAAATGAAGCTAGTGCTCTCTGAAAGCTCTTTGGGCAACAGTATATTTTAGAATAACTTCTATTGAACAGAACATGTAATTTTAAAGAACGGCCGCTAAATGTCCTGATGCATCCTGAATACTCCAGGTAGATAAATCTAACAGGGTTGAGTCAGGTCTTCTGGATGAGTTCTTTTTTGTCGAAACATTTCATCTTTTATCCAAAAGACTCTCAGTCTGAGGAGCTGCAACAAACTCAGTTTTATAAATAGCACCTTCTCATAGTGGATTAGTCAGTGCGATGGTGACAGCCAGAACTAGTTGTTCACATGCAAAAGGAGGACCATCAACCTAACAATTAATCATTAGTGCCATGATGGCCACCTGCTCTTCATAGAGGGCTGAGTGATGCTAGCAATAACAGCATTGTAAGAGGGGGACAATTGAACACAGAGACCCCCGCCCCTGTTTAACGATGGAGAAGTTATCTTCACAAGATGGCTTCCTTCATTCCTCTCTCAAACCATCGTTCCTCTCTATCAAGGATGTGAACATCTTCATCCCTGAAAGAGTGACCGCTGGCCTGGAGATGAGTGTAGACCTCAGAATCCTGGCCTGATGATGTTGCTGTTCTGTGCTGGACCATCCTTTTGGTCAGTAGCTGTTTTATTTCCCCAATATAGATCTGATCACAGCCCTCCTGGCACTTAGCAACCGCTAACTGATCAGAAGGACTGAATCTATGGGGTTTTTGGAAACAAATCCAATGATTTACTATCCGCTTTCTGAGCTTTAATATTCATTCATTCAACCTTTATTTAGACAGATAAATCACAATGAGCCTCGAAGACTCATTTACAAGTGAGATCTGTTTAGTCAGACAAAAAAGTAGTGAAAGTGAACACGTAGGAATTGAAGGCAAAAAAAAATTCCTATCAAACTCTTTCTTGTTGGCTGAGAAGATAGACCCTGATAATGAAAAAATACCCCGTACATACAAGCACATGGTGACACAGACATTCCGCAGGGGGCGACAAGGGCAGCGAGAGTGTCCATGGACGCTCCCAGAGGCACTGTAGTTCTGATAAGAATAGAATAATCAGTCAGTTCCCTCTGGTGAGATCTGTAAACATTCTCGAGGGGTGTCAGGGAGTGGCCAAGGACAACGCCAATGAGAGTCCAAGAGTCCTGAAATGATGACAATGTTTATTCAGCTGGTTCCCTCTGGTGATCAGTGGACTTCCTCGATGGGAGGGAGGGGGGCAGAGCGTCAGATTACAGAGCGTCCAGGCGAATTGAGATAAGGTGGCCTGCAAGGCCAGCCGAGGGAGCCAAATTCAGACGAACATTTGTTTTGAAGGCAGACAGAACTTTACTGAATTTTTTCTGCCTTGAGTCTTTGCTGGTCTCACATCGATTCCAAAAGGTCCAAATTAAGTGGACACACCACTGATCCGTGCCTGAGAATATTCCCCGAGATGTGATCCGTCCTGCCAGTGAGCCTAGGGACCGCATATGGTCTACGATTCTCACAAATCACATCCAATTTACGATCCAGTCCGCTAAGCAAGAGAGTCTGGGTGCACGAGACGCATAGCAAACCTTCACATAGGCGGCAGCCTGACCAGGCCAGATTGGCTGCGGCCGTCTTCTTTGTATGTTGATAAACTAGGAACCAGACAATAATATGTATATAATTTAATAAACATTAAACAGAAGATAGGGATTCAAACGGAACATGGACGTGTCTTGATGAAGCAAATTTTCAGAAAATTTATTTATTGACAAGTTATATTAACTTAGTTAATTTCTTTTTTTAATGCATCTTATTGACAATAGGGAATGGTGTCACATTGCATAATTTATTTTTCTATTTTATATTGTTACCGACATGAAAACTGAGGTACTCTCCGTGCAAATGCACAGCATATTGTTATGTAAAACTATGCATATCAAAATGTGTGCATCAACAGAAAAGATAAACAAAAATAAAAGTGCTGCAGACCTTACAGCATGCAAACACAACTGGGTCCAGCAATGTTGTGTACATAGATTGAAGGATGATTTGTAATTTTGATCTGTTCATGGAAAGTTTTTGCATTTTTCCTCCCTGAATTGTTAAGAAACAAAGACATGTTATGTCATTGTTGTGTGTAAAGTGCAGCGTAATTATGCAGATTTGGGCCATAAAACACAATTTAAGGTTGAAATATAAAACAGTTTGAAGACATTGACAAAGCCATGGGTTAAATACTGAAACACTAAAAGCAGATAAAACTATCAGAGTACTTTATCTTTGCAGACCTGCAACTGTTTCCTGCTACATGTAGATCTATGTTTACAACTGTGCATTTAAAGCTTTTAATTGTTCCTTATGGAGGGATAACATTTTACATACTAAGCTTAACAAAACATTATTAAAACAAAATATAACCACCAATCTCATAAAATAGTCCATTGGAGGTGCATATGTTTTTGTTTTATTCACTTCCCAAAATTTCCAAAATAACACCTTCAGCAATTTTATCATAATATGTACAGTTTTCCAATGTCCTAAACATATTGCCATGAATGTTATTTTATACATAATTCAAAGTTGAATGCATCAAAAATAAAATTTAATTGTGTGTGGTAAATATTACACCTAATGTTCACATACAAATTGTTTCATTTTCTCCCCCCCCCCCCCCAAACAAACTGTATATAAAAGCATTTTGAAAAAAGAAAGGTGTAAATCATTTGATTTATTCAAGTTTATGCTTTAAATCCAAATTTACCAGATTATTTAACTCATCTGTACAATGATTTTCAGGACACTAACGGCGAAGCTCATAAACAAATGTGGTGACTGTGTCCAGTGGTTTACAGTTACATTCAGTTTGTGGTCAGAGTCTTTACTGCCAGAGGAAATGTCTCCTTCATTTATCAAAAGTTTCCCACCACAATGAGGGCTGGAGTCGAACAAGTAAAATGATTTTCTCTGCAGACTTCAGTCGCCCATTTGTCAAATTTTCCCCATAGACCACATTTAGTCCTGACAGTCAGATCATTTTAACCTGAGCAGTCTTGGCTAGACAGTAGCTTCCCCCACGCTTCCTGTGTGTGTGAATTCTTCCGACTCCGACGGCTTCTCATCCTCCTGGGCGGTTGTCATCCTCCGCCAACGCTGGTCAGGTTAAAGAGAGTTGCGTCAGCCTCAGATAAAACTCTGAATAGGTTATTTTGAAGGTCAGTTCAGATGGGATACACATAAATGAAAATATTCTACAATGTATAAACTGTTTGATAGAACATCATTTCAACAAAGAAAAAAAGTTGAATTATTTTTTCAGTCTCATTTATTCTTTAAAGTTAAGTACATTCTACAAACCCTTTCAACAGAATTGTACCTGTAACAATATGTTGTACCTGTTTGATGCTGCCCTTGGTAGTACAGAACATGTAGATGATGTAGCCTGGGATGAGTACCATTGAAGACAAAGCCATGAGCCATCCGATAACTTGGCCCCAAAGTGGGTACACGTACTTTCCAAGGGAAAGAGGAGTCATCTCGATGGCACTAAAGGTGAACACCCCCTGCAAACAAAGTTATTTAGAATGAATTGTTGCTTTGAACAAAACTAGTAGTAGGTTGGTTTGTGTACAGGTTTCAAACACAGAACTCGATACGATGACGTCTACTCAACAAGGAAACATGTTCTACGAGAACCAATGAAGCAATAAAAAAATGCAGGATTGCAATTCCTGGTTGGGAGTGAGGTTCTTGCCTCAAGTTGAGGAGTTCAAGTATCTCAGGGTTTTGTTCACGAGTAAGGAAAGAATGGAGCAAGAGATCAACAGTCAGATCAGTGCAACTTCTTTAGTATTGCATACTCTGCCGGTCCATTGTCTTATTCAGGACTTATCCAGGAGAGACTTGAAGTATAGCTGCTGCTTCTCAACATCAGGAGAAGTCAGTTGAGGTGGGCATCTGGGTAAGGATGTGCCTTGGACACCTCTCTACGGAGGTTTTCCAGGCATGTCTGACTTGGAGGAAACGCTGGGGAAGACCCAGGACACGCTGGAGAAACTTTGTTTTTTGGCTAGTCTGGGAATGCCTTGGAATCCTTGAAGAGGATTTGGAAGATTTGGCTGTGGGATAGATGTCTGGACCTCCTTGCTCAAGCTGCTACTCCCGAGACCCAACTCCAGAATAAAAGGAAGAGGATGGATGGATGGATGGATGGATGGATAATTTAGCTGGAATTTCTAGGTGATGTAATTATAAAGCATTATAAAGCATTAGGAGGCATTATGAAGCGATCAGTCTTCCCTTGCATGTGCATGTGATGCTTGGATCTTTTCGTGCTGAAATGTACTCTTCTGCTACAATTAATAGTTAAAACTAAAACCTACAATGTGAATGAATATAATCACATTTCAGACAAGTTTCACTGAATGTTACCTTCAAACTCTCATTATTTTATTTATTGCAGATCAACAGAGTTCCTTTTCTTGTAGTTGGACACTTATTTTAACCTTTTGCAGTTGATATTCTCTATTAAATTAAAAGGTGAGGTGGAAAAAATCACCTTGTCTGGCAAAAGCAACAAATTTAGTTCTGACATCAACCGTTTATCGCTGTATCGCTGTATCGCTGTATCGCTAATGCAGTCTTATGGATGCGTTGATCATCCTAATAACTAATCTAAAATACTTTACTCATGAGGTGAATTTGTTACAGAGGTTAAAAGATAATCATTTTCCTTGTACCAGGCAGATCAGAGGGGTGAAGAACAGCCAACAAAGCTTCCACCAGACACATGGCCGATAGCCTATCATGTCCTCAATGTTCTTGTAAAATCTTTCAGCTCCTGCAGACAAACAGGACAAATGTGGAGACAAGGACGGCAAAACAAAGAAGGAAACCCAAGAGGACAAAGTCTGGCCATATCCAAAATGTAATTTCCTGTTGGATAGCTACAACATGAAGGGAAATCCGTCTATCTAGTTTGTTCACCTTAGGTAAACTATGGTATATTTTACTTTAATTCAACAATTTTTTTCATTAACTGGAGGGAAAAGGATGTGTTTCCTACCATAAAACCACGATATGGAAACTGTTTCAAAAAAGACAAGGAAGAGAAGACACATCCCGCTGGCAGAGTAGTAATCAAACAGCTTGAAGACATAGAGACCGCCCTGAGGGATTCCAACAAACACACACTTTCAGAGGCTAAATAGAAACACGTGACTTTATTTAATGTTTAATAAGTTTGGTAGGATGATTTTACACTGCAGTTGGTGGTAAGGATGTTTTATCACACACTAAAAACAGACTACCTGAGTGATATTGGAGAAACCAATGATGAAGGAGATGAAGCAAATAATAAGGATGAAGACCTTCTTCCTCTTCCTCAGCACCAGAGGATACTCATCCATGAGGGCTGTGATGAAACCTTCGACTGTGCAAAACTATCCAAAAAGAAAGTTATAAAGAAACACCAATCATTTTGTCCTATTGTTCTGATTATCAAAGGATTGTGGAGATTATACTTCTGTCTAATAATCACAGTGATAAATGGAGTGAGCAACAAAATGAAAGTGTAGCAAAAGGATTATATGAAATCAAATTTTTGAAAAATGTAAAGTTTCTCCTGGTTTTAAACTTTATCCTTCCTGTTTGATGAAGCGAAGGCTCTATAGTCTTGTTTTCCATAAGAGCTTCTTTCAAACTTAATATTTATATAGTTGTAGTTTATAATGTTCATTATGGTCAGATTGATAAACTGAAGTATCACACCTGCTCCACTGTTGTAATCTTTTGAATTCCAGGACAATATTGTGTTGTGTGACGTTGACTCTAAACCTTGACATGTCATTTTCTGAAAATCAGAGGCATTACATTAAACCAACAAGATGTGCTCGGATAATTTCAACCTTGTGGAAAAAGCTTTGAAAATTGACCCAAAGGTTGTTATACCTTCTGTTCAGGATTGTAATTATTTAAAATCAAGATTTGGACATTGACATGCATGGCTTTGTCATGTAACTATATGCATTAATTGGGAACTGCCTTGAAAGGCAGCCACCTATTATCCACCTGACAAAGGGTTTCATAACTTTATATCTTACTCTTCCGACAACTTTAATGATGTGTACCCCCACATAGGGATGCACGATCCACTTTTTTTTTCCACTTCTGATACCGATACCTGAGGTATTGGTGATACCGATCTGATACAGAAAAACAGTGCTGAATTATCAAAAATGCCTAAAACATATCCTCTGGATCCGATTCTGAAACAGGTCCAGATGACATGATTTAGCCATTTTTGTTGTTTACTTGGATGTTTGAGCTTACAAACCCAATGCTGAATTAACTTAAAACATTTGTTTTATGTACTGAATTACTAATTTATTGAAAACGCTACACCAGAACAGCACACTTAAACACACCAAGAGCTTCACAAGCTTGGTCAAACATATAAAAATACAACTTTAATTTGTTCAGTCAGTACAATTATAACATCCATTGTAAAATAAATAATAATAAAGATACTGAAACTGACAAAAACAAAGGTTGACTACTTTGGTCAAACATGAAAAAAATAAACTTCAACAAACCTTTCAAATGGTTCAGGAATTTTAAATATAATGTAAAATAAATAATAAACGAGCTGAAATAAGAGGAAAAACAAAGACAGCACAAAGCACAGAATTAGAGTGAATAGATCTGCTCAGTTATGGATCGGTCACATTGTCACCGATACCTGATCCAGAAGTTTTTTTCAATATCTGGCCCAATACCGATATTGGTATCGGCTTGGTGCATCTCTACCTCCACAAATGTTATATCGGCGCCACGATGTGCGCTATTACTTTTATTGGTGTTTTGAATTACCATAGCGACGTAATTTGCAAAGAAAGACGCCATTTTTCTAATTCAAAACGTCTGATAGAACTCTAAAATGAGTGCCACGCAGCAGTCCCCATCTGTTTATCCAAGAACTTTCTGGTTAGAATTAGAAATTTCCTGGAGAATCTTTCATGAGGACTGCCAGGCTGCTGCCGATTTAAAATTGTGATTTGACAAAACTAATGTGTTGGGGTTTGCTCTCAGCTACCACTATACCAAATTTGAGCTGAATAGCTCTAAAAATGGCTGAGTTATCATAATATTTCCTTTTTAGCTAAGGTGGCCATTTTTGATTTTTGATTTGGATTCATTATGTGATAGGGAACATTCTCAGCTCTAATCTCACCAAACTTCAGCTCTACTTCTCAAAGAATGACCGAGTTAGAGTCAATTTTGTGTTTGCTGCGGTAGCTGTGGCAGCCATCTTGAATCAAAACGGCTCCAAACGTTAATCAGTTCTAGACATTTATCTGATGATTACTTTCTGTGAGCTTCAAACAAATCCAACACTGAGTTTCTGTTTTCTTCAGGGACATCTACACTCTTAAGTCATGTGACTTGACAACAGCTGTTAGTGCGAGTAGTGTTCTATTTCCTTTGGGGAAATATGGCATCTTTGTTAGCAAAACACATCACCATGGTAACTCGAAACACCAACAAAAGGAATAGCACACATCATGGCGCTGAGCCGGTTGTTCCGATGTAACATTTGTGGGGGTACATGTTGCAGTTTGGGCCGCATTAAAGTTGATGGAAGAGTGTATAAATAAAGTTAAGAAACCCAAGTTGCGTGGATAATAATAGGTGTCTGCGTATACTATGCAGTCGCCAGTTAAAATGGGGAGCAAGAGGAAGTATCCTAACAAAGCAGAAGAAGAGATTATCTCTGCATGCTTGCAGAATGATGTTGTAACAATAACTGATAACAGATATGCAGTTACATCTAACAACTTATTGAATCTTCTGGGCTGGTGTGCCAGTATTATCAGACACATTTTCAGCTGCATGCAGCTGTCCCTGGATGCCCTTTGAGTTATTACTGAACTTTTTTTTTATGTTTAATTATAATGCTTGCAAAAACTTTGAATTGGTTCCATTGTTCAAATTAAATGACAGGAACAAAGACCAAAATGTCTTGATTTAGGGTTTTACACTTGCTAACACTTGCACACCGCCTTTTGGTGCGTTCACATTTTATCATATCCACATCTTTACAAGTATTTCACGTTACCTGACTGTCCAAGCCGAGCATCATGAGCATGGAGAAAAACAGGATGGCCCACAGAGAAGACATAGGGAGCTGGGTGACTGCCTGAGGATAAGCTAAAAACGCTAAACCTGGACCTATGCCACAAGAATTAGATCAGAAATGTTTTAATTATTGTGTAGAAGCAAACTAAACTGTATGCAAAAAAATAATAATAATAATTCAAAAAGCTAAAGCTAAATATACCTGAGGCTGCCAGTTCCTGCACAGGCTTCTTTGTGATGTAAGACATGAAGCCTACAATCGAGAAGATAACAAATCCAGCAAACATGCTGGTGCAGGAGTTGATGCAGCACACTATAACAGAGTCCCTGAAGAGATGGCACCACAAGAGGATGTTAGAAAAAAAGGGGGGAGAAAGGTGTTAATAAAAAGGATGTTTGTTCGTACTTGTAGACATCATTGTTGTAAGGGTTGTAGCTTCCCAGAGCGATGAGCGAGCCAAGGCCCAACCCGTAGGAGAAGAAGATTTGAGTCGCTGCGTCCAGCCACACCTGTGAAACAGAACATTACGTCAGGACTGTACGCGCCTGTGTCTGGTGTTGGATGGAAGGAGAGGATGTACCTCAGATCGGACGAGCTTATTGAAGTCTGGAGTGATGTAAAAGAGGATCCCATCTATGGCTCCGGGAAGTGTGACCCCTCGGAAAAACAGGATGAACAGCATGAAGTAGGGATAGGTGGCAGAGAAATAAACAACCTGCAGGAGGAGGCACAAACGCTTTTATGTGTGTGTTCATCACGTTTGACAAATAATTCATACCTAAACCATCATAACTCTTAATTAGTGGTTAAATACCAAATGATTTAGTTTTTAAAATAAATACATGGCTTTGTTGCCAGAGAAGCTGTTGGATGTAGCTCAGGGTTCTGCACCATTATGATTATGCCTAATTGGTAATGTCCATCAACACCAGAGCCTGGGGAAGAGGGGGGAGATTCATTTTTCCATACATCTCTCAGATGCCTCCCATTAAAATCCAATTATCCCAAGCAGTAAATGTGTTTCTGCTCAGATATGTTGCTTCAACATGTCGTAATGTGAAAGTCCAGGCAGGGTCATGTTATTCCCCTCTGAATGTTTATGAAGCATGTGATCCATTTTTCTTCTGTACATTTTCTGAAGTGCTTTTCGTCCCACAGTTTTTAAGCTATTTCAACAAATCATTTTTCAAAATGTTCAGCTCTTTCAGGACAATCCTGCTGTGACTTTTGGTATTGGTGCAACTTTAGCTTTTTAAAATATTGAGCCTCTTCTGCCATTTTTATCCTCATAAAAAAGGAATTGAGTTCATTTTACATCCTTCAAACCTTTAGATCTGTTTACAACCTTTTGCTCCTTTCACATTTTGTTCTGGTTCAGCTTCTTTTATCTTCCTTGTGCAAATTTAAACTTTTTTTCAGATGGTTTTTTTTTTCAGCTCTTTTGTGCTCCTTTCAGAGCCTTTCTGCAAACTACAACATTTTGTGCTTCTTCTAACTTCTTTCTGCTAATTTCAACTTGTTGTGCTGCTTTCAGCTTATTTCTGTAAGTTTCAGCTTTTTCTATGATTTCAGCAGTTTTTTGCTAATTAAGCTTTTGCAACTAATTTCATCTTTTTCCACTGTTTTCCACTTTATTCAGCCTAATTCAGCAAAAATGTGCTTTCTCCACTTCCTTCTTGTAATTTCAGCTCGTTTCTGCATTGTAGCTACTTTTCAGCTGTTTTTTTGACTAATTAAAGCTTTTTTTAATATTTCTACTATTTTGTGCTCATTTCTTCTTTTTTCAGTCTAGTTGGGCAAACGTTCTTTCTGCTTTCTCCTGCTAATTTAAGCTTGTTCTACATTTTCAGCTACTTATTTTTAGCATTTTGTAGCTAATTTCAGCTGTTTTCAGATAAATTCAAATTTTTCTAGGTAATTTCTGCAACTTTCAGCCTAATTAATTTCTTTATGCTAATTTTAGCATGTTATGCTCTTTTCAGCTTTTTTCTGTTAGGTTCAGCTGTTTATGTTATTTTAGCTACATTTTAGCAGTTTTGTGCTAAATTTAGCTTTTTCAGCTAGTTCCATTTTTTTTTTAGCTCATTTACACTCTTTCCACTTCCTTCTGGTAGTTTAAGCTTCTCTCTGCCTCTTCAGCTACTTTTCAGCTATTTTTTTGCTAATGTCATATTTTATAGCTAATTTCCTAATTTTTGTGCTCATTTCTATTTATTTAAACCTAATTCAGCAAATATGTGTTATTTCTGCTTTCTTTTGCTAACTTAGGTTTGTTCTTCCATTTCAGCTACATTTCAGCTGTTTTTCAGTACGTTCTTCAGCATTCACACTGTATTTTTGCAGGAAATGTATTTTCTCTAGTTTTTACTGTTTTATTCATATATTTAAAATGCCAAGCTTTTTCAAATGAGACAAAAAGTATGAAATTACTGTTGAATATTGCAGTAACAGTACTCCAACAAACCCACATTTTCCTCCCTCCTCTCTCTTTCTTCTGCTATCATGATGCTCACGATCCTCTGCATGAGCTTTAGCTGTTCAACCATTCTCATGTAAAATTCTAAATCATTTATGTGCAGCGATGTTGGTCCATCTGAACCTTGAAAAATATATATTTAGTGTTTTGTTGAAGGGGATATTTAATTTTCTTTATCACATCAGCTCAATAAAATCTCCCCTAGTCAAAGAATCTTACAGGGTTTTGATCCATTTATACAGAGAGACAGTAAAAATTAAAACAGACATTTTTCATGATGTTCCTAGCTGAAGGATTAATACAAATTCTGTTTTTTTTAATGAACTGCCTTTTTTTTATCTCTTTGCACAGACAAATAGTCCTGGAAGCAAACCTGTCTGAAGCAAAAGAAAACATAAAAATCCAGAGAGAGAAAACTTTAACAGAGACTCTGACCTTTCCTGTCCACTCCACTCCTTTCCAGATTGAGAAGTAGACAAGGACCCATGACAGAGCCAGGGTACCCACTAGCGGCCAGCGTAGCTCTCCTGGTTCCTCCAGACCCCCAGTTAGCTGGTGCATGTTACGTCTGTGGAAACACACCTACACGCTGAATACAAGGAATCTAGACAAGTTGAACGTGCTGCTTTTTTAAAGCAACACAAAAACGTGAGATAAAAATGGGCCCTTTTAATCAGTTTACCAATTTAACAATCTACTTGAGGGGAAAACTAAGACCTCCTGAACTTATTACTCTGTCAACACTTTTGTATTAGTATAAAACTATTTAATGGTTTGTAAAGGTTTTTAACGTTTTGATTTTTTTTTTATAAAAGCAAAGGGAAGCTCTTATTGTTACATAAAAATTGATTCTCATAAACACCATCTAACACAAGGCCTCACTTCTGCTGATTAACAACCAATGTTGTGTATAAATCCTAATGTTTGAATAATGGAAACAATTGAAGGTTTCCTTAAATACTGACCTCTTGGCATCAGATTTGAGATGTTAGGTCTCAAAATACCAATTTTAGTATAATTTATAGTTAAAATAATTAGGGATGCACAATATTATCTGCATGGTATCGTTATCGGCCGACATTAGCATTAAAGTTCAATATCGGCCATTCCATCAAAATAACTCACCAACATAAAAGACGCTGTTTTTTTATGACAACCCAGTGACAAGGATGCCTGCAGTGACAGCACAACGTGATGACGTCATGCGCGCCTACCTGACCTGATCACGGCGGCCAGGAAGAAGTCAAAATATTGGTGGTGTGGAAGGGGTTTTGTTTTTTTCCCATTGGTGAGGATGTCGGATTCCAAATATTTTTGGGCTACGTTGAGCCTCAATACATCGTCCCCAGTCAGAGATATTTTTCCAACGTAACGTTACCCGAGTTACAAGCCATCATTTTCAACGTCATTGAGAAGCTAATAGCCGATAGCACTTGGGTGAGTTTTACCACAGACATTTGGACGTTGTGTTAGCCCCGTTAGCATGATCAGTCTTACGGCACCATGGATAGACAAAAACTTTGAACTTAAAAAGGCTGTCCTTCATGCGCAGGAGTGCAGAGAATCCCACACTGCAGCTAGGAACCTGGAACAAGCCTCCACAAGTGAGACGGCATCACATGTGACTAATGCTAGTAAATAATATTTAACACTTTTCATTTAATATAAGTTAAAGTGCTATGCATATAGCTGTTACTGAATATATGTCACCAGCTCTTACAGCTGTTACGCAATTTTTGTAGCAAATAAGAATAAAGAAGAGGCAATGTTCTGACAAAGGAAAGTACATAAAATATTAGTATTGGATATCGGCCAAAAATCTAATATTGTGCATCCCTAAAAATAATCATGTATTTCTTGCAGTAGAATGGTGGTGCAGTCGAAAAAGCTGTTGCCTCTCAGCGAGAAGGTCACCGGATCGAATCCCGACCAGGGATCTTTCTGGGTGGAGTTTGCATGTTCTCTCCGTGCATGTGTGGGTTTTCTCCAGGTACTCCAGTTTCCTCCCACAGACCAAAAACATGCATTGACTGATTGGTAACTCTAAATTGTCCCTAGGTGTGAGTGAGAGAGTGAATGGTTGTTTGTCTCTATGTGTCTCTGTGATGGACTGGAGACCTGTCCAGGGTGTACCCTGCCTCTCGCACAATTACTGCTGGATATGGGCACCAGTGACCTCCGCGACCCAAAAAGGAAGAAGTGGGTAAAGGTAAACGATGGATGGATGAATTACTTGCATTAAAGGCCAGCTCCCACATGTTCTATATAAAAAAAAAATGGTGGCACCTGTGCACATTTTGGTTGTTGCTCTTTCTTTACACAAACACTTGACATCACAGGGTGGGCTTGGATCTTACGAACTTACTCCCAGAACTCAGTGACAGCGCTGGTCAGGTTGGTGGTGTCCGTCACGCTGTAGTTGGAAAAACAGTCCTCTGTGTTCCAGTAGTTATCACAACTCTGCCAAGGAAGCTCCTGCACACAAAACAGGATGGGATTTAGAGTTAGCGCCAAAATTCAAAGAGGTGGAATAATTTTCCTAAAACGAGAGACAAACCAACAACACTTCCATCAATCTGCTGCGTTTTGCTGAGTTTGACATTCATGCCCTTGACTTTTCAGTCACCTGTTTTCTGTGACTCAGCAGCTGCGAACATTACCAAGGCTCTCCAGAACACGGGAGGCAGAAAAGTGAAGGTAAACCATTCAGCAGTGGAAATGACATTTAAAGAACTGCCTGTGCTCCACCTTCAGTTAAACACATTACACAGCAGTGAAAGTGTTTGTCCTTCCTGCGATGCATTTTCAAGATTCATGTCAGTAAATGTTTCTGTTTCTGCAGTCTGGCTTCTTTGATGCAGATGGACACATAAAGATAAATTGATGCAGCAAAGACAGAACAGAACAAAAAAAACAGTATCTGTTGAGATAAAACAAACATACCGAGCCAAAGGAGTTGAATAAGTAATAAATAGCCCAAGCGATGATGATGATGTAGTAGATGTTTAACCAAAAGGAGAGGACGACTGCAGCCAAACCAACACCTGGAATAAAGGATGATAGACATGAGGATGACATTTTCTGAACATTATATTACGCACATCAGAGCAAAGTCATGGAGAAAGAGTTCAATATCAAACGGTAAACTGAGCAGAAAATAAGATCATGTCCATAAAATGATTAGATTTTCCTGGATGGATTGAAACACTTGGATTATTACCTTTCATCATGGGGATGAGTTTCCACACTCCCAGTCCACCCACTGAGGTGAACTGGCCTAGAGCTGTCTCTAGGAAAAAGAGGGGTATCCCTGCAAACACCAGGGTCATGAAGTACGGGATCAGGAAGGCACCTGACATACAAAAGACAAATACATTTACAGGTAAGAAAAAAATACACATGTTGTGTAGAAGATAAATGTAGTGAGATAATGTTTCATTTTTCAAGGATTCAAAGGTTATTTATTGTCATTCGCATCACATGGGGTACAAGAAGTGGAACGAAATTGTGTACACAGGGTCCCAGTTACATCCAACAAAAGTATAAAATGTAAAAAAAAAAGTAATAGGATCTAAAATATGCACTAAGAAAAACGTTAACTAAAAATACACTAAGCACTAGTAGTACAAAAACGATACACAGAACAGCAGCATAAACATGAGTGTGTGAGCAGGGGAGTATGAATGAACACAGCAGCATGGAACAAATCAGCAGCATGAGATCAGCAGCAACATGATGTGATTCTTCACAGTGATTATTCTGGTTAGAGATTCATGAGTCTAACAGCCTCAGGGTAGAAGCTGTTCATCAGTCTAGTGGTTCTACACTTAATGCTCCTCAACCTCCTTCCTGAGGGGAGCGGGGCAAAAAGTGTTTGTGCTGGGTGAGTGAGGTCCTTCATGATGCAGGTGGCTCTCTTCCTGCATCTGGAGGTGTAGATGTATGTGATGGTGGGGAAGCTGACTCCAACAGACTTCTGTGCAGCCTTCACCACTCTCTGCAAAGCTTTTCTTTCTGCAGCTGTGCAGCCTCCATGCCACACGTTGATGCTGGAGCACAGGATGCTCTCCTCATATGCATTATTGTTTTGTGTCATATAGCCCCCAAAATTAATTTTTGCTGTTGCAAACTACTTTAGTTTGGTAAACCTCTGCTCCTGATGGAAGATTTGTTTTTAAATGTGTCATATTCAGCAGACACATCTTCTATTTGACAATGAGAAGCTCTTACTCCTGATGAGGAAAATAAAACATAATTTCAAACACAAAGGCATTTATAATCACTTTATTTCTTTAAAATGCACTCTGAAAAGGTGATTCAAGTCAAATACTCAATTGCACAGAAAAAAAGATCTCAAAGGAAAATGTGTTTGTTGTGGTGAAATCCATCCTGACTGGTTATCCCAATAAAACAACATCATAATTAGCCCACATTCATATACATAAATGCATATTTATTATCTGTCAGTTTGGTTTTACTTACCTCCACCATTCTTGCCACACAGATAAGGAAACCTCCAGACGTTTCCTAAACCAATGGCATAGCCTACACACGACAGCAGGAAGTCAAACTTCCCCTTCCAGCTTCCCCTCTCAGGTAGAACCTCCTTTTTCTGTGTTTCATCTGCAGGCGGAGCTGCAGGATCCAGCTCCTCAGAAGGAACAGCTTGTTTGACCTCTGATGGGGAGTTCAAGTCCACCGTACTCTGCCCAGTCTTCCCCATCGTGGGACCACTTTTGGTGGTCCAAATCCGTTTGACTTCACAACCTGGGATGTCTGTGTTGATGCCTGACTGACTGTCACACTCCTGCCACCAAACCGTCGACAGATTTGAAATGTGCACTGGCAATCCGTGTGAAGATGGGCTGCGAATAAAGTCACATGAGAGTAAGTTTTGTACATTTTTATGTCTTTTTGTTCGTATTTTACAGTTGCACAATGAAAGGAAGAGATCTAAAAATCAGTTTCTACACAGGATTATGAGTTAGAGAGAAGAAGGTGAGGTCAAGTCTGACCTGTATTAAGATAAAGCATTTGTGCATGAAGTAACAGATATGAGTGGTATGTGGGTTGCGTGCATGAAAAACTTTCCAAATCTTCTCAGCTTGACTCATGTTAGGTTTGTTTATTTGATTAGATGATTAAGTCTGAAGAAACAGAACATATTGGCAATTGAACAGTTTATTTTCGACAAACAAGGGCCTCGATAGCAAGTGGAAGAACCATACACAGCCTCAACTACCTGGTAATACTTTAGTTTTTAGTTTGTTTGCTTTATATATGTAAACTAATGTGCAATTTTACTGTGGACATGAACAGTTCATCCAAGATTCTGATTTTTTTGGATAAAATTAACATTATTATTTGAAAAGAAAACATTACCAGAAGTGGCCCCATTTAGGAGGATATGAACAAGCTTTTCAGTGGTATAAGCTTGTTGACAAGAAGCCTTGTGTGTGTGTGTGTGTGTGTGTGTGCATGTGTATATTTTATATATAGAGAAAATTGAAACAAACACAAATTTTCCTACATTTTTTACTAAGTTTAGTTTAAGGTTTCTTTTTTGTCCGTTACTAAAATTTCCCGGCGTAATTAATAGATTATGATTTGTTTTATAAATTGGCATATTTCTCGTGAAAATTTTTCATTATTCATTTTTGGAATTTATATATTTGACATATGGTTCAAAAACTGGTGAGCATGTGCAGGTTCAGGAACTTTCTTTCCTTCTTTCTACACTGTTTTGTGTTGGTGTGCCATCTCAAGCCACAGGATCACCGAGGGTCTGTTCGTCTGATGTGAGCAGATGGCCGAATCAAAGACATTCTTGAGACCATCCTTATCACCACGAACACACCTTCTGCTGCACTTTTATACTTTATCTCCTGTATCCAAGTTCAGTGAAAGTTCCTGCTACAGCGAACAAGAATATAAACGCAGCACTTTTGTTTTGGCTCCCATTTGTCAGGAGCTGAACTCAAAGATAGAACGGGCCTTTGTCTCTCAAGTACTGTTCACAAATTTGAGCACTTCTCCTTTGTCAAGATAATCCATCCACCTCACAGATGTTGCATATCATGATATCAAGATGCTGATTAGACAGCATGATTCACGAGCAACAGCTCTAGTAGATATTCCTGCAGTCAGCATGACAATTGCATGCTCCCACAAAACTTGCAACATCTGTGACATTGTGCTGTGTGATTAAACTGCACATTTTAGAGTGGCCTTTTATTGTGGTCAGCCTAATGCATACCTGTAGAATAATCATGCTGTCTAAGCATCTTGATCTGACACACCTGTGAGGTGGATGGATTATCTCAGCAGGAGAAATGCTCACTAACACGGATTTTCACAAATTTGTGAAGGCTTGAGAGAAAAAGGCCGTTTGTGTACATAGAACAAGTCTTAGATCTTTGAGTTCAGATAATGGGAAATGGAAGCAAAAATAAAAGTGTTGCATTTATATTTTTTCAGTTTTAAAGAGATAAAAGTATTGAAGATATACAGTATAGTTGTTGTTTTTTAAATAAATCAGAACCTGTATCATTCGATGAATACCTGCTTTGAACAAATAAGATATTTACTTTTGCTTAAGGAAAACGGTGCATTAACATTTCCTGTGATATAACCACACCACTTACTTCACTGCAGTCTGAACGCTGACATTTTATATTTGCAAACACTGACTGACCTAAAAGTTGTCATCTTGCTTCATAAAATCGAGGTTAATTACAGATCACTTGCTGATTTGTACATCTGCTGCAAGCTATTCTCTCCTAAACCATAATTTGGTTTAGTTTTTTTTTTTTTCAGGTTAATATTATTCATTATTATCCAGCATTAGGTTGGAGTACTGAATTTAAAAAAACTTAAAAACTACATTTAATTATGTTCAGCTGCAATATATCCATTTGAAGACACTATTTTCAAAAGCCACATTTGTGCTCACAAGCATTAATTTTCACCTAATACCAAAGATTGCAGTAAATTGTTAGCAATGATGCAAAACAATTGCTGAAATGAAGTTGTGGGGGAAGTCCTCAACACTGCTTCTCATGGAAGAGTCTGTAAACCTTCTTTGGAATAAAAAGTTGTCTTCAACGATTATGAAATATTACAGGAGAGAACACACTCCCCCGACACAATGTTAACTCGTTATTGTTATGATTCAGCGGCAGACATGGTCAAATTAATTATGCAGAATTAAACTTATTGATCCTACCTGAAAGGTTTCCAGGCCCTCTTGTCGAGTCCTCAGCTTCAGATCTTCAACACCAGCAGCATGAAAAGTTTTAAATACTCCGCTTAACGTCAGAATAAAAACCAGTTTGCGTCAGTCCTTAAGGCCCAGTTGAAGTCACGGTTTATCTGAAGGCCTGTTTGGATATTAAAACTCTCGCTCATGTGTGCTGTCTTTTGCAGTTGGCTGATCCTGCAGCTCGTATCGAGTGTTTGATAATAAAGTTCGACTTGTCCACTTTGATTACAGCTCAGATCTGCCTGCCGAGGCCCTGCGGCTCTCGGGGGATGCAGAACGTCAATTGCCCATTTCTGGTGGGGAACTCTTGCAGCAGCAGTTGTGTGTGTGCGTGTGCATTTATGCACTGGTGTTTGTTGTGATGGCTGCGGTCATCTCCTGCCAGCCGTGTTACCATGGTATTTCTTTACACACAAGTGCTCGATCAGTGAAAGAGCTCATGGAGTTTTTTGGAAAATGAAAGCAGCGATGGCTGCTGGCAGAGGCTTTGGAAATGTATGATCTCCAACGAGGTCAGTTCTGAATCAAACTCTGACTAAATCAACGCATGAAGTGACCCGATGCTCAACTTCTATTGATACTCCAGTCTACACATGGTATAACAGGACAGATTATATCATAATATTGTCAATATCGCTACATGTGAATATATTTTTTTTTGCATCGGAGGCTAAAAGCTTCCAAAAAGAAGTAGTTTAGGCGAAATAAAGTACCATGCTTATGATAGAGAAGTTATCACACACCGCTGTGAAAAGGTACCTGCGTTTGTGTGTGTCTTCTTTTTTTTTATTTATTTTTTTTAGCAAAATAACTTAGAAATCAGTGTATGATTTCAACTCAAGTCTATTTATAGTCTAATCTACTTTGATATAGTTGTAGCCGGGAGTCATTCACAAGATTCTGAGCGTGATGTGATATCGCCTGGGGATTTCAAACAACTGCCACAACTTTATCCATGTAAGATGACTTTAGTTGCAAGGAATGCTAGTTCTTTAATTAATGTCTGCAGCAGCTGCAATCAAAGAGTTGTAATTCCAGTGAAGGGCATTAATGAGTTGTGCTCCATGATTTCTGTTATTCAAAACTTTTTATAAAAGGCATCCATTATTTTGAACACATGGTATCAGCATGGCAGCTTAGTGGTTAGCAGTGACTGCATTCAGGTCTAGGTTAAGCTGCCTTCGGGCCCAGGCCTCCCTTGTAAAAGAGAGCTGTGATCGGAATGGGATTTGCCGGGTTAAATAAGGGTTCATAAATAAATCATCTTTACCCACTTCTTCCTTTCTGAGTCGCAGGGGTCTTTGGTGCCCATATCCAGCAGTTTGATGCGCAAGAGGTGCTAACTGTGCAAGAGGCGTGGCACACCATGGACAAGTTGCATGTCCGTCACAGGAACACATAAACGAGACAAATGTCCATTCGCGCTCTCACTCACACCTAGGGACAATTTAGAGTTACCAATCAGCCTAACATGCAAGAAGCAGGTAAAGATAATGGAAGGATGGATGTTTTTAGTGTGTGGCTGCAAATATGTAAAATATGTCATTGTCAACCTGTAGACATTCCGCGTACGTTAACATTTAATTATTTTAGGCTCAGCCAAAAATGTTTTTACCAATATTACCAGAATTAGATATAATATTTTCATTCCTCCAGGTAGATAATCTTCTTGGCTTCTTCATCGTTTGGCACAAATTTTCCATCAAAAAGCCCAATTTAAAAATCGAATGAACATTATTACTTTAATCGTTGTTTTTCTGGGTGGAAGAGAAATATTGGTGGGGTTTCAAAATTGAAAGATTCAAACGATATCAGCATAATTACACTTGTGGCTGTAAATGCCCCTGTCAGAGGACGATTCAGGGTAAACCTTGACAAGGTTTGTTCTCCGTGTGGACGCGAGTGATGATAACTGGGCAGGATTGGAGTTGTCAAAGCTGGTTTTCATCAACTTGTTTACAGCATCCCACAATCGATGCAGCCTAATTACGCTTCCAGAGCATCCACCACCAAGAATAATAGGGAGCAATTATGTGGGCGACAGACGCTAGGTGGTGGGCAGAATGTTATGAAAACAAAAGTTTGGAGTTATGACAACTACATCTGTTGGACTAAATTGGTCACATTTTCTCCTTTTTTAATGAAAAGATCATTTCATGACTGAGTTTAAAAAAAGAACTGCCTTCAATAATGATTATAGCGCTATATTTTTCACCATTTTAAAGCTATAGATATAAAGAAAATTCAAAAAGACTTCCCTACATAACAAACACAAGCGGTAAAAACCTCGTTGCATGCATGTAATTAAATATATTTGGATGTAGTATCAAAAATATTGAAAAAAAAAATTGATATCTGCACTCTATCCAAGCATTTTTTTATTTACAGCACGACTTGTGGTCTGTGGATCGATAAGGGGCTATTACGAAGCGAGGAACACCCAGATTGGCATACATAGAGAGGAGGCTAATAATAGTAAACGTTGCCTCCATATTGCAGTAGGACAGTGCTTACAGCATACATTGCCAGCGGTGAAGGACAAACGAGGGGTGAAACGCACAGCAGAGCCAGAATGATTGCATTAATGAGAGGGAGAGATTGTAAAAATATGAGCAATCTCAACAGAAAGTGAGGAGGAAAGGTGTAGATATTGGTTCAGAGGCAGAATGAGAAGATAGTGAGGTAAAAATGGGAAAAGCTGATGTGGTTCCTGTGAAGATAAGGAGAAACGAATAAAAAAAAGATATAAAGAAATGGGAAAATAGCTATAAGACAGCAAGAAAAGCTGTTCCAATAAACAAAAGGCGGAAGACAAAGAGCATCAGATAAAAGAAGTGGCAGTGGGCATTGAATTGTCTGCATTTACAGTTTCTTGGATGTGTGATTTGAACGTCCCTGCCGACAGTAATAGTCGAACCCTGGAGATCTATCAGCACTCTGCTTCTGAAACACAATGTGATCCCCTTCCATTACCTCTGAGTCACGTTTCATTATAGCTAACGCCTCAGAGCGCTTTAGCTTATTACGCAGCCGTTGTCTTTTATGTGACCATAAACGAATCACAGCAAGGCGCTTTTACAAAACCTCAGAAAAAACAACAAGCAGTTTATACGTTTGATACCAAACGACTGCTTTTAAAGTGTCCTCCACAGATAATAAATGTATTCATAAGGACATGCTCTCAAAAAAAGAAATAACCTGAAGAAGGGAGCAGCCGAAGGAAAAATAAAAAGATATAATTTATATACATGTAATATCTGGTACATAGCCAGTTGTGCTTCATTAGCCAGGACTGGAACTTCTCATTAGTTTGTGATCATTTCCTAAAATGGATTTACAATGTCTGACTCTGGATGCTTTTTGGTTTGTAGCCCAGAAAAGCTCATCAATAAATGTCCTGCCTTAACGAAAGCATTGACAAAAAGTAGATTACATGATCCAACAAAGTTAAGTCAGGTCGGTTTCTTTTTGTTGAAATGTTTCGTCTTTCATCCAAAGGACTTCATCAGGCCGAGAAGCTGCAACAAACTCAGTCATAAATAGCACCTTCACAGCAATAGCTAATTTAAAAGTCATATAAGCTAAATTTTAGTAACCTTTTCATGTTTAACATAATATTACTGCTTTAATGGCAGATATTTTCCCAATAAAATCTGATTGTGCTGCTGTAGCTTCTGTTAATTTGTAGCTTTTTATTTTAAGTAACCATATTATTGTGAAACTCAAGTTCCAACAGTTCACAGTGGTTTAGCCTTTAACTCATTCAGTTTTAAAAATACTCAACTAGAATTTGTTGTGGTAGTAGCTGAGACTGATGTTCAACACACATTCTGAACTCAAACCGATTGCACAAAATCTCCATAGGAAACTTTGCTGTTAACTATTTGGAGTCAACTTTGCTCGTTCGCAAATAATTTCACGAACCACTGGACAGATTTTTATTGAAACTTCAAGGAAATATTCAGTGACTGGCCATTTACAGCTGCTTAACATCTGGAAAAATCCAATTCAAAAAGGCTGCCACAGCCAACTAACTTTATGAAATTCATAAATGTCTGTGATTTAGCCTGTTTTACAAATGTTGTGCTAAAATATGATGGTTGTAGCCATGAGTCATTCACAGCACATACTTAAAGTGATATTCATGTACAACACTTTCTTAAAATTTTAACATGAACTATTGGCCTTAACTCCATTTCTCTGTTTGCAAAATATTTAATAGACCAAAATCAATATTTTCCAACACAAATTTACACATATTAGGCAAATATTTGATGTGGTAGTAGTTGAGTGTCATTCCCCACACATTGTAGAAGTGTAACAGCTCACAGTATTATATGAGATTGTGTATAACATTATTTACAAGGTTTTACTTCTCAGTATAGGATGATCTTTGTTGGTGATGTGCATTCCTTCAAGGAGTGGGCCTGAGCTTAATGTCTCGGCTCCTTTCTATCGTGCTGATTTTAAACCGATACTTGTTTTTTTTATTTTTTAGCAGTAAATCTGTGAGTGCTTCAGAGAGGAACTGTCAAGATCTCTCTGTTTTATGCTTTTTGTTTTAGTTTTTCTGTGATTCCTTTATTTTGTTGACCTGTTTTCAGCTTCCTTAGTGCTTTCCCCCTCATATTTCAGCTCTTGCCCCTCCCTCTCTCACCTGTTCCTCATTGTCCTCCCCAGGTGTGTGTCATCGTCTGTCATTAGTGTTTCTTTAAAGCTGGTGTCATTTCATCATTCCCTACCCTTGTCTGTGCCTTTCATGCTGTTTGTCTCTCTTGAGCCTTCATGTGTTTTGTTTCTTTACATAATTTTTGTTGCCTTGTCAGACTTTTTATTTTTATGTTTAATAGATTAATCAAATTATTTGAATTTTGCGACTCTTGAAGTTTTTGCTTCTGCATTTGTGTTCAGCACTTCCACCAAACATAATAGAAAGCAGAAGACAACACGTGCTGCCTTCAGTTGTCCTACTGGCTTTTCTCAGTTTAACATCTTCTATATTTAAATGACCATTTTGATTTATGAACTTGTTACTTGTTGGTATCCTACAAGGCTTGGGGTTTTCCATTGATCATTGTTCCCCGATTGCTGGTTATGTATAGGCTAATTATAAGTGCCCAAACTGGAAGGGTACAGTTAAACATGCATTCCCCCCAGCAACCTCACAACCTCCAATCTGAGCATGAATGCATCAGTACACAGAGGGGGCATGACCCTATATAACTTCCTTTGGCTCGTTCACAATTCGTCTTTGATTTAAACTGAACGTGCTCGTATGATTCATTGGTGAACAAGTAAACAGGACTAAATCATTTTGTGCCATTTGAGGTGATGGGGTCAAAGGTGACGTGAGGTGGGAGACGAGTCAGCGGAAATGTCTGTTAATTGAATGCTGGTTTCGATCACACAGATGACTGAGCTTACACTGGAACTTTTTTTTTTTTTTTTTTTTTCAATTGTGGGGTTTCCTGTTTTTGTTTAAAAGCATGGAGGAAAAAATAAAGTTGTGTGAGTATGAAATTACAGAAACATAATGACACTGGATTATTTTTAAAGAGCAGATCAACTGATGATGAATATTTATCCTGTCTGCTCAGGGACACATTAAATAAGAACAGAATCAGACACACTCCACCATTTAACACCTTGATTATTTTTACTGCAACATATGAAACAAATTATATTTGTCTCTATAAAGTATAAACACAAACCAAAATGACATGACGTCTAAAAAAGTTTTTTAAAAAAAAAGAAAAAAAAAAAAAAATATATATATATATATATATATATATTATTTTTTTTTATTTTTTATGACAGTGTATGGTTTTGTTCTATTTGTAATAATAGATTAATGTTACAAATAAGAGTTCACCAAATTTGACTAAAAATGACATAAACATTATTGAACAAAGCAGCTGCTGCTGCATGATCGGCATGGTCAGGGGTCTGCAACCTGCGGCTCTGGAGCCACATGTGGCTCTTTGGACCCTCCGCAGCGACTTCTTCAGGCTTAGACCAAAACTAAAATAAAACAGAATTTTATTTAAATTATAGCCAACATTGAAAATGGCTAGTTTTATCACATGTCCTGTCATTTTCAAATATGTGAAGAATAGTACAAATACAAGGTGATAAACATCATAGCTTGTTAGCCACTTTACGTCGACTTCCAGTCTCAAAGCTTGATCTTTGTCTCAAAACCAGCAGAACGTTTTGGAATATATTTTTAAAACAAGTTGCTGAGAAGGATTATGGTGAGTAACTTTGATAACAATAAGAATAAAACATAAAAAAACAAAGTCCAAGTAAACAAAAATATGTATTATTCATTAAAAATGTAACTGGATATCCAACAAACTGGCCTAATTTTATACTGTCTTTAACTTTATGCTTTAAGTAGGATACTTAATTCTTCAACAATTAAGAGAACTCGCATCGGCTTGCAGAGTTCAGTGTTTTAATTTGTATAAAATTGTTAAATATAGATTCTTTTACATGAATCAGGTCTTTTCGTTTGTATTAAAATGTAAAAGTATCAATAAATGTTAATAAGAGTTGGACATTTTTTGTTTTATAGTATCACACCCACTGGCTGGAAAAGCCATCTCCAACAAACTTGTAGTGGCCCATGAGCCACCAGTTGACAGTACACAGTTGTAGCAGGGTTTGCAGCTCCAGACATCATAATTACTAAGCAAAGTGGCAAAAATGGCTTCTTTTTTTTTTTTTTTTAAATCACAAAGGCTGCAGACCCCTGGGCAAGAGGAAAGGCATCTCCAGCAGAGAATAGTTGGAGGATGGCAGGAGGTCCTGAGGACATTGTCAACTTGATTTTAAGTCCTTCTTCAATAGTCCCGTCCATATAACTTGTGTGAGAAGTTTTACCAAAAAACAAACAAAATATCTTTGGCTTTGCTTACAAGGCTTGATAAAACATAATCTCCTTAATAAAGCAAGTAAACATTTGCAAATTATTATTTTTTTACATGAAGTGAAGAGGAACTGTCTTTGGTTGACATCAAACCCTATGTTGCTCCTCCATCATCATCTTCTCGTTGGTTTCATCCACGCTCCTCGTCGGCCAGTCCTGTCCTTTAAACACAACGAGGTTCCCCAGCGTGAGCACTGGATTGTGGGGCTTTATCTGCCGTAGGTCTTTGGATGGAGTCGTCATGTTTTTGGGATTCTTGTGGGTTGCAGAAAAAAAAAATCAATGGGAATGTTACATACTGACATAGAATTGTTATCCAGCTGTCTCATAATGAAATGAAAATTACTATATTCAATAAGATTCTGTAGAAAAAGAAACAAGTTGACTTACTTTCCACAGTCTGATGAAAATAAATGCCGGGATGCATAAAAGTGGAGTGGCAATAAGGAGAACAGCCATTGTGACGGCCCAGGACCCAGATAAACTCTCGTGACTGAAAGGGTTTTCCTTTGCCAGGTTATACACCATTGTAAGCTAAGGGAAGAGGAATAAAGTTAGAAGGGTAAACGATAATAACAAATGTTCACAATTATAGAATTCAATAAGCATCTGAGTGAATCTACAGTTGCACAAAAGCCTCTTCTCCTCCAAATGTTTGCTGAAAGGTCATTTCTGGTGGAGGAATTTAAAACCTGAGCAAACGGGAAAAACCCAGAGAGCTGCAGAGCAGAGGCAGCCGTGAGATTGTAAATGTATGAAGAAATATTATTCAGGTGGAAGATTAATAAAAGTTGGAGTGGGGGAGAAAGTGGAGAGCTGAATGGGATGATGTTGGGGTGTGAAGACTCACCACACAGATGAGAGGGGTGACAAACATCCAGCAGTACTTCAGCAACGGCAGCGGTCTGTAGCCGAGCATGTCCTCAATGTTGTCATAGAAACGGTCCGCGCCTAGAAAGTGTAGTCGAAGAGGGAAGGCGTTTTAGTTTAGAAATGATTGCTGGATTTTATCTGTTGCTGCTTAGTTCCCTTTTTTTGTTTTTGTTTCTTAGAAAATCTAAAAAAGCAGATCATTTTTGTTTTGTTCTTTATTATAGAAAAGATTTGTTTTGCATCCACTTCCCTACCTTTACTTTTAGTCACTCAACTGTAAGTTTGTGACGTCATCTAATGCTGACCTTTTGACCTCTTAATGAATATGTGCGGCTGGTTACGTGTGTGTTTTTTAATACAATACAACTTCGTAGTTTAACTTTTGCAGACTCGCTCTTTTGCGGTTTTTCTAAGTAAAATTGTACACAAGAAAAAAAACGTGTACATGACACATGAGTGTCTACTTTAATATTACTCATGCGATTGGGACAGTAGAGTAAAAAGTTAACAACGAAAATAATACTTTAGACAGGTTCCACCATTTTGTAGTTTTCTCTCTATAAGCCTATATCATGTCGCCACTAAAAAGGACTACATTTCCCAGAAATCAACAGTGCTTCCAGCTGTTGCTTTCTGCTGACATGGAGGGAAAGTTCTGATCTGATCTGAAAAAGTTTGGTCCTTTTTTTCATAGTGACTTCGGCGCTCAGTGGATGTAGAGAGCCGTACGGAACCAACCAGGAATTGGACCAGAACCGGACTTCCAGTCGGTCAATCTGAGTGCTGCTTGCTGGCCCAGCGAGCCTCTCGAGCGGGGAGGCCTTGCTTGGAGGTCCGGTGTTTTCTCCGGAGCTCACCGGAACTTTTTCATCTGGATTTGGACTCTGATCGGGACCATTGTGTGGTTTTTGTTTGCAGTATGTAGCTACTGTGCAGTACATACTGTATATGTACGGTTAAAATTATGTAGGTTTAAGAGTTTAGAACATTGCAAGAGTGCGAGAAGGGTTTATAAAGCCTTAAAAAAAAAAAAAAAAATATATATATATAATATATATAATCTGAACTAAAGTAAATGTATGGTTTCATTCACACGCAATCCCTTTAGTAACAGCACAAACTAAAGTGTCATTTCTTGATTGCATAGGTGAAAAAATGAACAAAGCAAATGAATTTGCAGGAACTATAACAGCAAGTGTGGCTCAAAATGAGGTAAAAATGGCAACTAATGAAAAACAGCTGTGTGCAGCTGAGGAGAGGAGGATGAGATCAGATGAGAAGATCACCTTCAGGTGCCACAGAGAGAAAATGCATAAAAAGAAGAGAAATGGATATTGTAGGCTTGCTGAATGGAACAATGCCTACAAATTGATTTCTGCAAATGCATAATAACAAATGAAATTATTGTTCAATAGATGAGGTCATCATCAGCTCTCGACTAAGAAGTCTGCACACCTTTACATGAAAGTAACTGCCCTCCTTTCTGAAAGCTCATTACCAATAAGTCAAATGTATCTGCAAGTGATTCACGTGCAGCTTTCTTTTGCAGAAAATAATAAAATAAGTGAGAGAAACACTGCAGAACAACTCTCCACACATTTTAATTCAATTAACCAACAAAGCGGCTAACTGGAGAGGACGTGACCATCGGGGGAATAGCTGCACAATAATTCAAATGTTTCATTGTGAATGTTTTTGTTCGGAGAAAATGAAAAAGTAAAAAAGCTAACATTTAATTTTCCCTTTTTTCCTCCCCCTTTGTTTTAGTCTAAAAGGCCCAACTTCGTGGGAGAAGATACAGATTCTAGTTTTAGCCCAGTAGGTGGAGCAGATGTCTCTCAAACCAGAAAATCCCACAGTCTTTGAAGAAATGTACACATCACCCACCACCTTTCATGGCAGAGTTTCAGATTATAGTTTTATGTAGAGAAATGATGGAGTTGTTATAAACAGTATGTGTGGTCTTGTGCGATATTGCAAAATGTCCCACACAGAGTTGGAAAAACTTCTCAGCTGCCTGTGAAACTGACCCTTGTATCACTGATGAGACTGTGATAACTGCACAATACCTGGCTATATCAGCCGAAGAAACAAAACAAGAAGTGACCAATAAAGAGACTAACAACAATCATCTTGTTGTAATGGTATCTGTCGAGGGATGAGATTTATTAAGTAGCAAATGAATGCTGCAGCTGGAAGCGGAGAACATAACTATTGTCATGTCTAGATTTGTTTAAGCATTTCATCCTGTTACTTTTTAAATTAAAACACTAATACAGCTGCGCCTCGCAACTTGTCTTCTCGGATCAACGGAGGAAAAAAGATGAAACGAGCTGAAGTTTTTGAGTTTATGAACATAAACAAAGCCTACCCTCGGAGTTATGTAAACCAATCAGCCAGAGGCTTACCATAAATCCAGGAAATGACGACGGTCTCTAAACAAGCGATCAGAAGAAGGCTGGTTCCACTTGGACCAAAAGTATCAACCAGCTGGAAGAGGTAGATACCTCCCTGAAAGATGCAAAACAGGCAAGATGGAAAATATAGCTACAAAAGGCACTTAACAAAGAGTTGTATAACTTATAGCAGTGGTTCTCAAACTGGGGTACCCAGACCCCCAAGGGGTCTGTGAGCCGGTGCTTGGGTGTCAGCGAAAAAAAAAAAAAAAAAAATTAACAAGCAAGTAGATGTTCAACAACCAAAATGCAGGAAATTGCATCTACTTTATTCAAAATTTTCGTGGGGGAGGACTCCCAGACACCCCGCCCCCCCTCCCCCGGCACCGCCAGCTATTTGCATTCTTGGCTTTTGCATCAAGTGTGGTGGAACAAAATTGTGTACTCAAAGTCCTAGTTGTACCCAAAAATGGCAAAAATATAAAGTATAAAAATAAATGTTACATAAGTATCTAAGATATACGCTGAATGAATGCTGAACAGTACACTAAAGATCTAAGATATACGCTAAATACTAATGTAAAAAAAAAAAAAATGGTATATTAAACAGCAGCCCGAACAACAAACAGTTCAATTTCAGTTCAGTTTTTTGTAATAATTTTAAAAAGTGGTAATGCATTTATGTTCATTATGTGAATAGGTAAAGTTTTATAAAGTGTTTTTTGGTACTGTTAATTTTCTCAAAACTGTAATTTTTGGAAGCTTAAATTTAAAAAAATTAAGTGCATTTTGAAAGGGAAAAATATCCCATGTTTTAAATGTATAAAAATTGTATTAACACTAATAAAGAACAGGTCATGTATATGAATGAATATTTCAAATGTCAATCAAAAATTGGGTTATAAATATGGGAGAAAAAACGTATATTAGTCACTTTGGTGTATAAGTTGCAGGATTTGTACATTTATGCAAAACGGCGCTACTTATACGCCGGAAAATACGGTAAGTATTTATGTTACACAAATATTTCCATTGCATTAAAGGTAAAAATTGAAGAAAATTATTTACTAAACATGACTGTTATGAGCGGGTCCCTGAAACTTTTCTCCCATGTAAGAGGTCCCTGAACCCAAACAGTTTGAGAACCCCTGACTTATACTGTAGTACCTACAAAGTAAAGATACCAGCTTTGATCTCCTTCTTCTTTTGAACTGAACATAACTAGCAGGTAGTGTGAAAGCTTACTTCAGTTACAAAAGTCAGCCCCAGCAGGAAGCAAGCAACAGCAATGACCAGGACCAGTTTCTCCCTGGCACCCTTTCTCCTCAGACGACTTGGAAACAGGTCTGTGAGGGCCGTGGCCAGGCTCTCCACACACACAAACTGCAAGGAGAATATTCCACTTAAAGCCTGAATACTATAAAGGATGAGGCCGTGTGTGTAGTGGAGTACCTGACTGTCGAGGCCCAGGAAGAGGATCATGAGGAAGAAGAGCACAGCCCAGAAGGAAGAGCCGGGAAGCAACGACAAAGCTTTGGGGTAGGCTACAAAGGCTAGACCTGGACCTGAAGGAGGACGTGTAAAAACAGCAATGCATGTTTAAACCGAAAGGTGCATCGTGTTTTAGCTGCCAGGATGCAACAAGTGGCAAATCTTTAAAAACTAAAATGTACTAAATGCTGAAATTGGCAAATTTAACACACTTCTAAAGATGAGTGAGGGAAAAAAAAGCATATTTTTAATGTTTAAGTTAGGACTGTATGCAAACATAAGACGCCCTCTAGTGGGCAATGTTGATTATTATCAGCACTTGCGCAAAATGAAAAACTTTTCTGGGGCCAATACCTAAATTTTGAATTCATAAATCTAAGTGTGTAGGAGGTGGGATTAACTCACCACTGGCAGAAACTTCACTCACAGGAATGTTGAGGTCGTGAGCCATGAACCCGAGCACCGAGAAGACGGCGAAGCCAGCAAATATACTGGTGACGCTGTTCAGGCAGCACAGAGCCAAACAGTCCCTGAAAAGAACAAAAAGCTAAAGCATCGATGTCGGAGGGTGAAGCCGACCCTGTTCGAGGGGTGAGGACACAAACCTGTAGCAGTTATTGTTGTATTTGTTGTAGCTTCCCAGAGCCGTGAGGACGCCTTGACACACAGCGTAGGAAAAGAACACCTGAGTCCCCGCATCACGCCAGACCTGCACAGGATGAGAAAAGGGCTTGTAAAACATTTTACAGGCTCATTTTGTGGGAACATATACCCATTTTTGAGTGTTAACATTTAAATTGTACAAAGAGTCTGTTGCTTGTCGTTGCTCCCAATCAAGTTACAATTCACGTTATATTTTTCATCATGTAGGGCGTCTTATTTACAGAAGTTTCTGTCTGTAGGCCATGAGAGCAGCTATTTAACGTAAGAGGCATCAAAGCCTCAGCTTGCACATTTGGCTACACACTTGGTTAGTTTCCAAAGCAACACACAGCCCCTTTCTTTGGCCCCATAATAGTCTTGACGTTCCCCTGCCTCGGGTCAGTCTGTGTCGAAACATCTTCATGTCTTCTGCTGGACAAAGCATAAACTGTTGTGCTCTCAGAAGCAGGCCTCCTTTGAACCGCTGCCTTGTACACAGATTCACACGGGCGCGGTGACAGGAGACACTTTCATGCAACAAACAGACACCAGATGTGAGCCCGAACTCAATCATGATTTCCTGCATGAATTGGAGCAGAAACAGATGTTTGCATGCTAAAGCACGATCCGGGAAGAAACTCTGGGTTTGAGAGCCTCTGGTGTTGTGTAATATCTTATGTTACACAATTTTCTTGAATCTTGGTGCTCTCAAAGGTTTTTGCACAATTGTTATTGCTAACAGATTAAATCTGTACAAGAGTCCATTTTTATTGTTTTGTTACAATGATAGCTGCATTTAATCTAACTCAAACGGATAATGTAACGTGTCAGATATTTCAAATGGGCTGCACAGTTTATCTTAAAGCAAACTAAACCAGACTAAATGAATTTTCTGCAAAAAGGCTAAATGCTGAGCGCTAAACCACTTTATTAAAGCTAAAAGAAACAAATAGCAAGCTAAAAGTAGCAAGAGGCTATAATAAAATCAAAGCTAGTTTATAATAGCAAAGATAAAAAAACAAGGTTTAGCCTAGCAAAAGTCTAGCAGCAGCTAAAAAGAGCAACGTGCTGGCTAGAAACAGAAGGTATCAAAAGACTATCTAGAAGCTTAAAGGAGCTGAACATTAGCTAAAAGGAGCAAAAACCTAGTCTAAAGTGGCAGAAATAATTACAAATCAAAAGCAGCATAAGACATAAAATGTGTATAGATACATAGACTATGGAGAAGTAGGCTGCAAAAAGATTGAAAAGCTCCCAGTGTATAAAATATTTGTAAATAAAGTTAAATGGTTTGAAAAGTGTGAAAAATTATAACCCCAAAAAAGTTAGAGCATCCAGGTTAGCTAAAATAGCACAACGCTTGTAGAACAGCTTTAAAAACAACAACAACAAGACAATAACGGTGTGAATGCTGAATCAGCATTCACACATGCACTGCTGTACTTTAAATTATAGATTTTTTTTTCTAATGTCGCATAAATTTATCCTGAAATATATTTAGACTCGCAGAAAAACGTTAAAGTATATTAAGGCTGCAAGAAATGATCTAAACTCACAAAAAGGTGAACTTTCACCTTCTGTTTTGTGGTGTTCAGACACTTTTTTTTTTGTTTCATCAGTACTGACTGCCACTTTGGCCAAGATGCATCGAAACAGATACAAACAATGATGCTACCACCGCCATGCTTCACCCATGAAATAAACTTATCACGTAGAACGCAGTGTTCCAGTCAAACAAAACCTAAAGTGTCTCATCTGGACTGAAATGTGTATTTTGGTCTTATTCTTCCGAAAACATTTTTCCACCTCAGAGACATGCTTTGTTTTATTTTCCAGAGAAAAATGACTTTCTACTTGAATGTTCATCATTACAATGTCATTCATTTTTCCAGCCAGTCTTAAACTGTTCTAAAGCACTTTACAGTTTTCTGAAGACATCGTTTTGGTCAGGCTAAGGTTCAAACTGTGAACATTGATGGCAGTCTGGAGGAAGACCTCAAAAAGGTCTAAGAAATCTTTTCTCCAAAGGGTTTATGCTGCAGGAGACATGTCCCTGCAAACCTTTAAATTGTTTGCTTTTATTGTTAAGACCGCAGTTTGGAACCACAAGCAAAAGTCAACAAGAAGATTTTTTAAAAATGGGGGTAGAAGATTAGAAAACGCCTCACTGCTCTGAGGGTTTGAACAAAGAGAGATGTGTCTGAACGCTTCACTGCAGAGCATGGGTGTGTGTTTTACATCTCCTGCAGCAATGGCGGCTCTCGCATCAATGATGTGATTTTTGGGTCTCGCAAAAATCCAAAGATGGTTAGAAAAGCAATTAGTTTTAACGAGAGCTTACATTTGGATCAGCGAGTTTGCTGAAGTCAGGGCTGAGATAAAACTTGAGGCCGGCTGCAGCTCCGGGCAGCGTCACTCCACGGATGAAGAGGATGAACAGCATTAGGTACGGGAACGTGGCAGTAAAGTACACCACCTACAAACAAAGTAAATACATTCATAGACAGTTCTTTAGGTACATCAGTGAAGTAGTGATTGTGAGTAGAGCACTTGTGGTTTGTTTTCCACGTGCACACGCCATGTCAATCCCGTGACTCCTCCATGTGGCTGTGAGCTCAATCAGACGAGTTTCTTGTTTAGAATGAGTGCAAACCCATTTATGATGGGTCAATAAATACTGGGAAAACCACAAAGCAAACTCTGATGTGGTTCAGGATGAGCTTTTTAAGATCTCATTGTTTGCCATTACATCCACACATCTGTGACACGTTGAGCTGAAGTTACAAAAGGAGCTAATTCAAAGGGGGAGGGGGGGGGGGGCACAAGATTTCAGACCCTCGATGTTGAACAACATCAGTATTGATTTAAATTAAAGTAATCTGTTTTTATTTAAAATAATTAACTCCCTAAGTGCAAGTTAAAGCTTACCTCTGAAAAAAGCCACTTTGACTTGTGTGTGTGTGTGTGGGGGGGGGGGGGGGTGTCCTCGGGTCAAACGGCTTTTCTTGGTAAACTTGTAAAAACATGCAACAGCGTTCTAAACTGGTAAATCATTAAAGCATGTGAAATGTGAATATGATTACTTTGAACCTTGTTTTCAGTTGTATTCAGCTAAACCTTTTTTAATTTGATCAATCAATTTCAACGAAAAGAACTATTAACAATGGAACAATTAAAGACATTTCACATTGAACAAGTCTTGCCTTTCCAGTTGTTTTGATTCCCTTCCATATGCAGAAGTAACAAATCACCCAGGCAAACAGGAGGCACAGAGCCAAGTCCCAGTGCACTTTACCCAGAGACAGATCAGCCGACATTCTTAACACCCGATTTCTGTGTGGGAAAAAATAAAAGCAATCACTCATGGAACATCTTCAAGGAATGAAATCATGTTCAAACCTGCAAAAAGAAAATCCTTTCCACAAAGACCTCTACCCCAGTTTATACTGGTTTCAAGAGAAAAAAACATTGTCACTTATCTGTCTGAATTTTCTATTTATGTATTCTTTACATTGAGAACAAATCTCCAAACTTCCCGTCATAATTGTAATAGTTCAAACTGTTTGTTTTGGAAGATTTCACTTTGCCCTGTTTAAACTTGCAGGAGAAAAAGCAACGTATTTTTCATAACTTCTGCAGGATTCCCCAACTAGATCAGGAGATCATCATGTGAAAAGCAGCAGTAATGTTCAACACTGAAAATAAAACGAATGGGAAGGAAAACATGTTTCAAAAGTGCACGGAATAACATTTAGTGATTTCTGAGGAATGCGTCTCAATCATTTTCCTTGTTGTGTTTGGACGGTTTTCCTTCATCTGTATTAGCTCATCTTGTAAGGCTGGCTTCATAATATCTGGAAAGCATCTAAGCTGTTTCTAAGAAATGTTCAACCCTGAGATCCATTCAGACTGGAGACGATGACAAACTGTGTGAATCAGTTAAAGTAGTACAAGATGACATAACAAACCCTAGAAAACGATGAGGCTCTCCAGATCACAACTATTGGTGAAATGTGAGACAAAACATTAGACTAACTTAGTGATAGAATAAAATAAGTTACATTTATTCAAGTAATGTGCTTACTATGAGTACCGTATTTTTCGGACTAGAAGGCGCACCAGATAAAAAGTCACATTAAGTGAAACAAAACCGTCAGATAAGTCAAACTGTATTAAACTCATTCACAATAACCACATAAAATTGGTTTGAGGTCAGTAAGCAAAACCAGAATTAATACCTAAGGCGCACCTGATTATAAGGCTCACTGTTGATTTTTTTGAGAAAATTAACAGATTTTAAGTGCACCTTATAGCCCGAAAAATATGGTACACAGCAAAAATACTCTATTAGCGTATTTACTGTGCTACGCTTCAGTTTGAATACTTCTCTCTTTGCTGCATTTGTTTTGATTAGTTTTATTTTATTGTATTTTAGTCTGTAGACTTGCAAGCAAAAAATTGCTCCAACTTCAATTCCAACATTAGGACATCGTGTAAAATGTAAATTAAAGCAGAATGCAATATGCTAATCTCATAAAAATCACTCGTTACTCCCATTGAAACAGTAAACATAACAAAAGTTTCAATTAAGAAATTGTATCTTTTAAAAATATATTTTAAGTTTTATGGAAGCAAGACTTCAGAGCTGGGGACAGTGGCAAAAAAAAAAGGCTGTAAAAGAACCAGCTGGAGGAGCGTTTTGTAAATAATTAGGTTAATTGGCAACAGATCAATGAGATGACTGTGTATAAAAACCATAATCCCTCAAAAATAAAGAGGGGCAGATGTTTACCAGTTTACAAATCTGTGCTGAAAAATAATGGAACCATCTCAGAATAATGTTCCTCCACATGTGATGGTTTTGAATTCCCCAATATCATCAAAAAATGCCAAGAATCTGAAGAAATCTGTGCTTAAAGGACAAAACGTCTTGGATGATGTGATCTTCAGGCCGCAGGCATCACTGCGACAAAAACAGTTCTGAGTTGGGGTTTTTTCTACAGGTATATGGGTTTAGGAACACTTCCACAAACCATTGTCTGTAAACACAGTTCATTGTGTCATCCATAAATCTCATATCGTGTAACAAAAAAAAAAAACATTTGTGAACACTACCAAAACAAGCTGTGGTCTTCCCTGGTCCAAAGTTCAGTCAAAATGGACTGAAGGTGAAAACAGTTTTCTAGACAATTGTTTATGATTTTTGGAAACCACAGACACTATACCCTCTGAACTATAAAGGAGAGCCTGTTATCAGCACACAGTTTAAAATCCTGTCTCTATGATGGTATGGGGGTGCATTAGTGCCTATAGCATGGACATCTAAGACAGCTATAAAGGCACCATTAATCCAGAAAAATACATACAGGTTTTAAAACACATGCTCTTACACGTTTTTCTTGCATATTTTAACAAGACAATACTAAACAGCCTACTGTATCCATAACAGCACGGCTGTGTTAAAGAGTCCAGGTGCTAACCTGAACTGCCTGCACTTCAGACATCTTGCCAGTTGAAAACATTTTGCAAATCATGAATCAAAAAATCTGGCAAAGCTGACCCAGGACTGTTGAGCAGCTAGAACCCTTCAGATAAGAATGGGATAACGTTCCCCTCCAAGAATCCAGCAGCTGGTTTCCTCAGCTTCTACTTTGTAGTTATTTACAGGCTGTTGTTAAAAGAAGAGGTGAGATGTGTTGCTGCCACCATATTGAAAATGTTGATGTTTACCATGTTCCATTGTGAATAAAATATGTTTATTAAAAAAAACTCCTATTCATTGCATTGTTTTTATTTACATTTGCTCTAACTTTTTGGGAAATGTGGTGATACATCAGAACACATCACTTGCCATCTTCTCTACAACCCTTTCTTTTTTCTTTGTGTCCACTTGTGAATGGACATCATCATTCTTACAAACGATATTCTCATGGCCTCAGACAATGGACAGGTGTCTACACTGGTCCTGTTAGACCTCAGTGCTGCATTTGATACAGTTGATCATAATAGACTTGAATATGATATTGGAATTACAGGAACGACTCTGAATTGGTTTAAATCATATTTATCTGATTCCAATTTGTAAATGTAAATAATGAACTTCTTCACACACCAAAGTTAGTCATGGAGTTCCTCAGGGTTCAATACTTGGACCAGTACTTTTTACCTTTGTTTCCATTAGGTAAAGTTATTAAACAGTGTGGGATAAATTTTCATTGTTATGGTGATGATGCATATTATGGATTGAAAATACTGTATGCGGTGACAACTGTAAATTTTCCTGAGCAAAAAGCATCAATTACAAGAAATACACGCAGCTGGAGTGTGTCTCACCTCCAAAACTCCTCTTCAGGTGAGTTGACTGTCAATGATGTCTCATTGCTGGATGTAAAAAAGATATGAGTAGGAAATAGTTTTATTCATGAAGTTAAATTACTTTCTTTTCTCTCTTTTTTTTTTTTTTAAACAAGCTATCACTACAAAGCAGTTTGGCAAAGGCTTGATGCTCTCACAATAGAAAGTTTTGTTTCCATTATTTGCTACTTTTACACAACTTCCAAACCAAGCCCTAACAAGCCCTGGAGATTTATTACAAATACTTTGAAGCCCCTTCTTTTCAGGGTCACACTACAGTAAAAACAACAGATGTGGGCGCTTCCTACACAGTACTGTACACAAAAGAATTGGCACAGCCCCAAGTTGCAGACAAAAAAAAATAGCCCATCCTTCTTATAAGCCTGCTTTTATTTGACATCAACAAAGTGAAGCATTATGTACCTGTCAATAAATATTTAATTGCAAAAGTTCCCCAGGATTCAACTTACAAGTAACTGTAGTTTGCCACATAGTCATGTGAGGAGACGTTGTTGAGGAATGACCAGTTGGACCCAGGATGAAACAGCTGAGGGTTGGCAAAAAGGCCAACGCGATCAAAACATAGCTCTGTTGGGGTTGAGAAAACAACTGACAGCCTTCAAAAAAAGGTTTCTGAGAATTTGCTCGGTCTTGCTAACAAATTACAGATGCGCTTAAAGAAGTAACGCTTAAAATTCACAAAGGGAGGCTTACCAGTGTTCCACCAGTTGTCACATGTTGACCAAGGCAGAGGGCTTGTGAAGGAGTTGACTAAGTAGAAGATGGCCCAAGCCAAAACTATGATGTAATAAATGTTCAAATAGATCACGATCACTTGAGATGCAATCCCCACCCCTGTGGGAGAAGTGGGTTTTCACATGGTTAGTTAATTTTTCTGGCTGCTCTCAGATAAGTTAGATCTGATCAGCGTTTGACTGGTTTGCATAAGATGCTGCAGTTTTTGAACATTTTAGGTTGGTTGAAGAAATAAATCTCTGCAAAACAAACATGCCAACTTTTTCCTTTTTCTGCATGCTTCTTCATGGATAACGAGGGGAATAAGCCTGGAAACAGACACACAAAGCAGCTATTGTTGAGCACTGATCATTTTGATGTCTGAGCCTTGTTTTTACCCTCAAACATGGGGCAAATCTTCCTCCAGGCGGTCACCCCGCCCTCACTGGTGTACTGTCCCAATGCCGTCTCCAGGAAAAACACAGGGATACCACAGAAGAAGAGGAACACGCAGTAAGGGATGAGGAAGACACCTAATGACACAGACACTCATGAGGAAATCTAATCAAATTCAGGTTATTTTTTGCTTTACCAAATTAAATCTCTCATTTATGCCAATTATAGACTTTATTTAAAGATAAAACTTAAGCGGTGCACATTTTTCTTAAAATGGGGATGGAAATGCTTCTAAATTCTGCAGCCATCGTCACAAAACATTTTTTTTTGACAGCATGTGTTGTCTCAATATTTCTTGTTGCTCACATATGCAAATGAATACATAAAGAGTAAGAGTGTCAAATGCAACACCTTACCTCCACCATTCTTATAGCACAAATAGGGGAAACGCCACACATTTCCTAGGCCAATTATTTCTCCTGCCATAGAGAGAATAAACTCCATGTTGTTGGCCCATTTTTCCCTTGACTGAATCCCTTCTTCTGGATCCCGTTTTACACCATCAGTTTCTTCAGTCATAATCAGGCTATTAGAGACAAATGAAATGTAACATCTGGTGCTTTCTATCCAGCTGCATTTCTCACATCTGAATATATGAAAAAGCTTTGCCTTTCAAATGATGATTTCCATGCCTATTATATCAAGTAGACTTACATAATCAGGATTAATAATAATCAGGACAGGATTTACCTGTCTAAAGGTTGATTGATAATCATCATTTCTTTAAGAAATTATAAGTTAGCCACACTCTACTTTTAACTGCAGAAAACAATTTGTTTGCAAAAGCAAGTCCCCCCCCCCATATTACTCACCCGTGTGCTTTATGTGGACGCCGTCAGTGTGTTAGTCTCTTGATTGTCTGAAAGAAGTTAGAAGAGCAGCCTTTATTCTAAATAGGGGCGCGTCCTTCAAACACCCTCAGGCTGTCCCAAGAAAGTTAAGTGTTATATGAGAAATTCAATGTAAAGGTTTTGTTGCAAATTAAGCTACCACAAGACTAAAAACAACTATAATAAAATAATGCAAAAAGTTTAAAATAGCTTGTTTGCTACTGTAATAAAGTATCGCATGGGTTTTCTAAGAGTTGTTCTGCAGAGATTGTGTGCCTGACAGACCAAACTCAGGGCGCCAGTGCTCCAGGGTACTGGAGGCGTTCTATCGCAGAGCGACGTAATGACGTCAGTTACGTGGCGAACCCGGAATTAAAAGTAAACAACGGTCTAGATGAGGGAAACATGCTATTTAGTTACTCAAAAACACTCAGTCTGCATGTTTTTTCTTGTGTTTTATTAACAATGTGTAAAAGTGTTTTATTTCGACAAGGAAGACCCAGTTAGAAGCGGACTAAAAGCCGGTAAGATGCCCGCAGAGCCGACAGGAAGCGGGGTGCTGTAGCTGTTGCTAATGAGAGCTAGTTCGAAATGTCATTCTGTGCTGTTTAAATTTGTTAACAAAAAGAGATGCTCTCGTAACTATACATCTCATAAACGTTAGATTTTTCAAACCATTAGCATTAAGTATAAGTCCCCTCACCATTCTCTGTTGTGTTTAGGTAATAATGTATCTTTAATAGTGTTTGTGTGTGCTCTCCTGTGTTTATATCAGTTTTAGCAATGTTAGCTATCAGATCGTCAGAGGAGGAGTCCACTGAGAATGAGGAGATGGACACCTCGGAGCCAAACTGGTGCTGGTTCTACTTGGCTGAGTGTGGAGTGTGGCACATGTTTGAGGTAGTTCGCATCAAACCACAACTTTGCAAACAACTTCTTGATTGCAGGCTTTTCATTAGACCAGAAAACTTTCAACATCTGTTATCCAAACTCTGCAACATGAAATACACCCTGAAGCCTAATCTGTGCAGACAGACCTGTGTTCTCTCTTGGTTGAGGTCCAATATTAACATTTATGTTTTGCTTTTTGAGTGGTAAATTTCAGTGCATTCAAATTCTATTAAATTCTTTCAAGTTATTATTGTATTTGCTTATAGATTTTTTTTTTTGTATTAGTCTTTTCTCAATGGATTATCTGAAGTATTCATGTTTTGTATCTTTTTAAATGTCGGTCAGATCGATCCCAGTGCCGCCTGCTCGGTGACCAGTGCTCAGATTGAGCAGTGCTACAACCGGAACCAACGTGGGGTCATGGAGTTCTACACAGCCAAGTATACCTACAGACTGGACTTCTCAGGTATATAGACACGTCAAAAAAGTAAAGATAATGAATCAGGCAAAAGACAATGTTTGTGATTTTTTTTTTTTAAGTAAATTATTCACATAATTTTTGTAGAAACATTTTGTAATGTTTGTTTATTTGGTTGTTTGTTTGTTTAAGCAAGCTTCTTTAGCTCTAATGTCTGGTAACTTTCTCTCCAGCTATGCGACAAATAAATGTAACAACAGGAAAACAGCGGCCAATTAAACGCTCCCTGCACTCAGCGACAGGTTTCAGGTATGATTTAATGATTAAACTGTTACATACCATCAGAAAATAGACGCTAGAGAGAAAGTTAGATAAATTTGAGGTGGCTCCTTGAATTGTCCTTCCTAAAAGCAAATACTAGGAAATGAGAGACTTTCTAAAACCAAATTGCTGCAGGCTTTTTTAATGCTCTAAAACCTCTTAATTTTTCTCCAGGTTTATTTGTGATAATTTGGCCTTGCCTGTTCCTTGTCACTGGGAGAGAATCAATACAGACGAACCCTATCAGGTAAGTAACAGACAGGTTATAAGTATAGAGAAGCTAGAACACGGATATGATGTCAAACCATTTGGCAAAACTAAACTGGTGCAACAGAAAATAAAAAATATTAAGATTTCCTCTACATATTTAATGTATTTTTATTTCACCAGGTGAGTCCCATTAAGATCACACTTTTTTTTTTCACTGTAGCCAGGGCCTAAAGGTAGCGGTACCAAGTTGCAGGTAAAATGCAAGTAATGTTCAGGATAAATTAAACAGACAAGAAGTGTTTGGTTTAAACAGGAAGCATTTGCAAACACCAGTCAAGTCAGGCCCAACTGAGATCATATCTCAGAGTTGTAGATGCAGGTGTTTCCAGCCTGCAGGGGTGGAGTTATATTGTTAGGGAGAGTCTAATGACTTTTGGCATTGGGAAACAGCATTATTTTAGTTTTTTTAGCTTTCATCACAAGAAACTGCTTCTGGAACAGTTTGACCTAAATTATTAAAACAAATGGTGAATAAAAGTGGGCCCAAAACAGAACCATGCAGGACCCCTAATGTGACCTAAGAGCTTTAAGTTTGTTTTAAGTTGGCACTTTTTTCCTGTTCTGTTCTTTCTGAAATGGCTTACTGAGCAGCAAGCTCAGAGAAAGAAGATACTTACACACAGCGGGCTTATTTTAGTGTATTTGTCAATGCAAGTATCATCTTTCTTCTTTCGGCTGCTCCCTTCTGCAGAGATGGCTACAGCAAGTGAACATGCGCAAAATATTTGGCAAATCATGAGTATGTGTGAAGTAGTAAAAAAAGCTACAAAAGCTTCTCTGTTTTTTTTTTTTTTTTTTCACTTGCACTCACATGATTGTTTTTGCAGCTCATCCAGCTCAGCAGAGACACATATGAGTTTAAAGAAGTTGCCAGACTGTACGACAGGACAATGGATCATCCGATAAAGTCCATCCAGAGGATTCAGAACTTGGACTTATGGGAGTTTTTCTGCAGGTCAGTGGGAGTATAAATCTGAATAAACTCTGCAGTTTGAGCAGGGAATTCTGCAGTGACTGTAATTTGATTCTAGTGATTTTTATTTTGTTTCATATACTTGTTAAAGTCATTTAACTGGTGGGAAAATAAAACCATTTATGCATCTTCCAAACCTTAGTGCAGGCAAATCCTTTCTTCTGTTAATGTTGCAGCATCTGCACCCACACCAAGTTCACCTCGTCTGATTAAAACTGTAGCTTCCAGGAAATTCCTTTTTAGGTTTTTATTTGTACAAAATCAAACCAGGATGATACTCTGTGTTGTGTTCTCCCCTAAGGAAGAAAACACAGTTGCGAAAAGTCAAGCGAACGCTGGATATTGAGGAGCGAATGCTGTTTCATGGTACAGGGCACAGCAATATACAAGCTATATGTACATTTAACTTTGACTGGCGGCTGACAGGAAGTCATGGCGATGTTTATGGCAAAGGTACATCTATTTTTATGTAACAAGAGGAAAGTATTCACTTTGACTGTTGGACTTTATCTCATTCTATTGTTTTCCCTACAGGGAGCTATTTTGCCCGGGACGCCAAATACTCAAGTAAATTCTGCCACACAACAGGGAAACACAACACCACCCTACACAGACATGGACTCGCACCACCAATATTTGCCAACGAGCCATCCTATAAGACCATGTTCTTAGCCAGAGTGCTTGTTGGGGAGTACACTGTCGGTCATCCTATGTACTGCAGACCCCCTTCCAAGGATGCCAGCTTCACTAACTTTTATGACAGCTGCGTGGACGATATGGCCAACCCAAAGATATACGTCATCTTTGACAGCAATCAGATTTACCCAGAGTATCTGATTGAGTTCTACTGATGCTGTCTTCTTCGTTTTATGAAGTCTTCAACATGAAACAAATGCGGGATAAGGTGGAAAAACAAGCATCTTGGAAAAAAAAAATCTCCCATTTTGGTCAGATCCAGTGACTAATTGAAGCATAATTCGTCCACAGTGCCTTTGGAGATATTTGGAAGGCTCGAATACAATAGCGACATTGTGTACAGCTCGTTTACCGCAAAGATGCTCTAAGGCGGGACTTTTTGGTTACACAAAATTTTGTTTTTGAATTTCAAGTCAGTGCTTGCTTATTTCATATGTTTAAACGGTTTATTTAAAATAAAAAAAGTGATACCTGCACCACGTAGATGTTAGGTTCCTTGTATCTGCAGTGCCATGCAAATGCCTTTTTTATAGACCAAAAACATGTCCTGGTAACTTATTTATTTTGTATCATTTGCTGTCAGTGTGTGACTTCAGAATCTGTGTAGCTAAAAAAAAAATATTGCAGATGGAAGACTAAAAGAAACGTGAAGGATCACCGCTGAAACTGTTTTACTGCACCAGTATTTTTAATACTTTTTACAAGTGGACCCAAGTCATGCATGCAAAATATCTAAAACAGCAGCCCTTCTTACTGTCAGGGAAAATGGTTTGGGTTTTCCTTGGTTACACATTTTTAAGAGCTTAAAGTTTTTGTTTATTTGTCATAAAAAGCTTCTACCTCCTTGTTTTGGACCACAAATCAGTGCACTTTTTGCCCTTTCTGTGAAAGGTTTTAAAACTGTCATGTTGACATAAAAGTGTAACATCTGTAAGAGTTATTTTCTCATCTCAGTCTGTAAAAGATGTCTTTTGTTCTCCAAGCTTTAATTGTTCTGTCATTAAGTTTGACGCTTCATCATTTCAACTGAAAACAGCATAATTTCGGTGTGATGTCAACACCACCCGACAACTGCTTTGAGGGAAATTGCACTGGGTGTATAATTACCCCAATAATAATAACAAAAAAATGTTTCCAGCAGGTGTAGTACTGTAAAAACACAAATGTAAAATAGCTTTTCTGTGTACATTTGTTGAATCGATGTACGACTGTTTCGGAGCTCTTGGAATAAAGATTATTGTGATCAAGTAAAAGATGAGACTTTTTAAGCTATTTTTTTTGTGTTTCGTGAGTGAGGGAAGAATGGGGCATGAGGTCTGTGCAGCTTCTGCAGTATTGCAGACTGTCTGTGAAGAGGGAGTCGAGCTGCACAGAGAAACTATGTTCCTACCCTCAGCTATGGTCACAAACACTTAGTAGTGACTGAAAGGACGAGACTGCAGATACAAGCAGTCAAGTTTTCTCTGCTGGACTCTTCCTTAAAAAGTGAGAGGTTCAGTTATCCGTGCAGCTGCTGCTCCTCCACAGAGAGGAGCCAGCTGAGGTGGTTCGGTCATCTGGTAAGGATGCCCCTTTAACATCTCCCTAGGGAGGTTTTCCAGACATGTCCAACTGGAAGGAAATGCCAAGGAAGACTCGGGATGTAGTGGAGGTACTATGTCTCTCCGCTGGACTGGAAACATCTTGGAATCCACCCAGAGGAGCTGGAAAAGGTGTCTGTAGAAAGAAATGTCTTTGTCTCCCTGTTCCACCACAGCAACCCGACTCCTGAACAAGCAGAAGATGATGGATGGATAACTTCCAAGTGCCAAAATCCTCAGCAGCTTCCATCATGTCATTACTGATGAAACAAAGTCAACAGGAACAAATGCAACACTTCACATTTCATAGCTTGTAGAACCACCAGTGTGATCCCTTGACTGGTTTGTCATTCTGTTGTAGATTCGCTTCTGTGTTTGGGGTCACCATGACCCATTTCCAGCCAAGCTTCAGCTGTCGGATAGATGACTACTTTGGTTCACAGAGAAGTTCGTGGTCAACGCTATGACCTCAAGGAACCCAAATCATCAGCCCTCCACCACCGTGCTTGACGGCTTTTATGAGGTGATCTGCTGTTTAGTTTTTCAAGACTAACTAGTAAAATTTGTTTCATGTTGAGTCATCCGTATGAAAAGGCTGCCCACATCTCAGGGAGTGGCTATGATCCAGGAAACACACCACCATAGGATCTTAAATAGCTATCAGTGCAAAGCAGACACGAAAGTGATCTTTGATTGCTTGGAGTATCTTGGTCAGATAGTACTATGTAAGTACAGTCCATTTACTATTTAATAACTTTATTTTATTATATTTTCCATTTGTCTAGATGATGTCAGCTCACGAAGAAGAATATATGGACACAGATGTTCCATGGTATTGGTATTACCTGGCAGACTGTGGGGCATATCACAAATTTCAGGTAAACTCTTATTTATTTGTTTTTAGATCTTAGTTTAGTCCATGCCACTTATCAACCGTGAGGCTTGACACGATTTATAATTTGTCATATTTTTTCCTCAGGATGACCCTGAAATTCATCTATGGAGTGAGATTATAGAGCATGGTTACATGATAAACTCGAAATTATCTTTTAATATAACACCAAGAATGAATATTGATTTCTCCGGTACGTCGCAGCTCACAGTTCTGTTTTGTAATAATCAGTATGAACTCAGCTAGAAGTATTTACAGTTTGTGCTTCTGTGCAGAAATGCTGTGGACTGACGTCGCCACAGGAAGACAAAGAAAAATCAAACATTTCAACGACATTGAGAAAAGGTAAAAACTCCACCACCTCACACTCAGTGATGCCAGCTAGTAGAGTCTGACAGGTGGAGTTTCTCCTGAAATGAAAGTGAGACCATCTGCAAAACAGAAGTTTTACTCATCTCCTCCCGCAGGTGCTCTTGTTTCAATGAACCGCCCGTCTTCTGGGAAAATTTTGATTCTACACGTTCATACCAGGTGATGATGATGAAAATCATTTATTTTACATTCACAAGTAAAATTGGTGTAGTCCATTTGAACTGAGCTTTACTTCGTCATATTCAAAGTTTTTCCAGTACTATGGCATCTTGTCTAGCCTTGTGCAAAAATAAACAGCAGAGCTGTGTCTCTCTTCATTTTAGCTTCAGCAACCAGCTAAAACGATACAGTCCCATTTGTAGTTTATGTACTTTTGTATGGTTGTCCAGTACTTTTATTGGAGGTTTGCATTTTTTGTCAAGTTTGTGAACTAATGAAGGTTTATTGGTCGAAATACTTCAATCGCTGCTGCACAGGTTCAAGTCATGTAATAATTTGTGTTTAAAGTTGAATAGTACAGAGTTTTCTGTTTTAGTGGTTAAATGCAGCTACCGTATTTTTCGGACTATAAGACTCACTTAAAATCCTTTAAATGTTCTTTAATCGACAGTGAGCCTTCTGGTTGTACTTACTGACCTCGAACCGATTTTTATGTTATTGTGAGTGAGTTGAATAAAGTTTGACTGATCCGTTTTTGTTTCGCTTAATGCGCCTTAAATACGGTGCAACAATTGTCGTGTGGGATTAAGGGACCACTCCCTTTACGACCTTTGACCTAAAGTCATCCGCGAGTTTCTTCTTACTACAGTGGCGTCATTGAAAAAGGCGCCGTCAGTAAAACATTTTCCTAAGAAATTAAGATTAGATAACTATTTTTTTTTTTTTTTTAATTTTGGAAAAGAGAACCAACAGAAATTTAACTGTACCACTTGTAAACTGCAGGTGAATGGGTAATCAGTCATGGTATGTTATGTGTTTTTATATGTTTTGTAGTTAATCCCACTGAATAAATCCACTCTCGAGTACCAGACCGTTGAAAATTATGTGAAGCGTGATGGACTCCTGAACAAATCCATTATATCAATATTAAGGATTCAGAACTTTTATCTCTTTCAAATATATTGCAGGTAAGAAAGGTCTTTATATTGATCACTGTGCACTTTATTTATTTGTATATTTATCTTTGTATCTATTATTTGTGTTTGTTAGTAAAAAGGAACTACTAAAGAGGATTCAAGGCTTAAAATATATTCCAGAGAAACTACTCTTCCATGGGACTGACCCAGAGAACGTAGATAGTATTTGTGAAAATAACTTTGATTTACGACTAGCGGGAAAGCATGGCAGCGTGTGTGGCAAAGGTAAGTAAACTGATTTACTTATTTACTTTCAATTACAAAGTAAAATGCTTATCGGCTATCTGAATTTTCTTTTTTGTATTTGTTTCCTTCGTGCAGGAATTTATTTTGCCATTCATGCATCATACGCAGACGGATACAGTAAGAGCAGATTAGTTCAATTAGATGATGGAGGAAGAGTATTCCACAAACAGATTAAAATAATGTTTTTAGCTCGGGTTATAGTTGGAAAATATACTGTTGGAAAACCTGATTTTATAAAACCAGATAATGGAAGTATTAGTTGTGTAGATGATATCAATCATCCCAAAATATGTCATATTTGATCCAAATCAGATATATCCTGAATATTTAATTGCATATGAATGAATGCAGCAGGCGCAGGATGTTTAGGCTGTCTGAATTCTTATTATAGATTACAATGTTAGGATTTATTTATACAAATCCACATTAACCAATTTTCTATTGATGGAACCAAATATTTTCTGTTGCCAGAGTTTTAATGGGCGTTAGTAGAAGAGATATGATTTCTCCTACCAACTCCAGGGTTAGAGCAGTCGTCCTCCAATGGGAGAGTTGGGGGTTTGATTCTACCAGCATCGTTGTTTATGATGCATCCCACCATCGCTGCATCATCTGAAAAAAAAAAGCTCTATATACCTGTAAGTACAGTCTGTTTACCATTTCTGTCCGTGAGGCTGACACCTTGTCTACTTTTAAGAATAGCTTAAGTTTTTCCTTTTTGATAAATCCTATAGTTATGGTCGGTTGTATTTGTAATAATTTCTATCTTAACATGTTTTGTTTTTTTTGTTTTTTTTGTCTTTCTTGCAACAGAAAGTACACCTGGACCTGTCATTCTGTGTTCGTTTGTTTCTCCTTCCTGTCCTCTCAAACCCAGCCGGTCAAAGCAGATGGCCGCTCATCCTGAGCCTGGTTCTGCTGGAGGTTTCTTCCTGTTAAAAGGGAGTTTTTCCTTTCCACTGTTGCCTTTGTGCTTGCTCAGAATGTGAAGATTCAACCCAATCTGCTGGCTTCCTTAGATAGATAACTTTTACCAATTGGCTTTTTATATATATATGAACGTTTCTGTTCAGTGCCCTGAAACAACTCCTGTTGTGACTTGGTGCTATATTAATAAACTGAATTGAAATAAACTGAATTTTTGTGTTTTTGTTTTTGTTTGTGGATCATGTGACATGCATTTGTCAAAAAGAACAGAGCTAAAATTACCAAACCCATAGCTAAAACAAATAGCAGCTAAAAGTTAAAATTAGCTAAACCAGAGCTGAAAACTAAAATTATCATAACCAAAGCTAACCGCTAAAGTTAGCAAAACTGTAGCTAAAAGGAGCAAAACAGTAGCTAAAGCTAACCTTAGCATGAGAAAACCAAAACGTCAAGCAGCTGAAGCAGAATTTAAAAAGAAAAAATTTTTTTGAAAGAACTAAAGAGACTTCTATTCTATGGGGAAAATATTCATAAATAAAGTTAAATGTTTTGAAAAGTATAAAAGATACAGAACCCAAAAGTCATAGCAGCCATCCCCTGAATGAACCGAACATTATGATATATGAAAGGCTAAAATATCAAAGGATACAGAAGTAAATAAAATAAAATAAAACATACTGAAAAATGGGAAACAATATCGTCAGCGTCTACACCAGGGGTCTGCAACCTTTATGATCAAAAGAGCCATTTTTACACCTTTGTTCAATAAATTAAACGTGTCCAGAGCTGCAACAACCTGCTACAACTGTGGATATCAACTGGTGGCCCATGGGCCACTTTAGGTTGATTGGAGGAGACTTTGGTGGTCATTTGAGATTACGTTATAAAGCTAAAAATATCTAATGACTTTTAACATTTATTGATATTTTAACAAAGACAAATGAAAAGACCATATTCTTGTAAAAAGTGTGTGTGTGTGTGTGTGGGGGGGGGGGGGGGTAGTTTTTAAATAAAAAAAACTATGAGCTGTGCAGACTTATTTGATTTTTTTTTTTTTAATAGTGGAAAAAATTAAGTATAAAAATAAAGCAAAAAGTTAATTTGCAAAATAAATAACAGCCAAAACTAGTGCTTTTTTTGTTGTTGTTTTTATACCAATAAAATTAAGTTTTATGTTAGTTTTGAAACACGTGAGCTGAGCTTTGTTAAATTTGCCAGCAGAGGTCGCTGTTGTCCCACATTAAAGTTTAACATCAACTTATGAGGATTTCAAATAAATGCAAATATCTACTAACATCTGAGTGAAGCATTTCAGATGGATTTCATTCTCACAGGGACAACAGGTGGATTCAGTCTTGAAGACGATGTTTGAAAGCATCTTGCACAGAGAAGCTCAGTTTAAGTCTGTTTACTTTGATTGCATAACAAAAGATTTCCTCACACATTTTTTTAATGCTTAAATCTGGTTCTGAATCGGAGAGTTTGAGATTTCCCATAGTTACAGCTTGTTTTGCTCCAAATCTAGTGTTTTATCACAAATTCTTTGACGTGTGCTGGATTGGATGGCAAGAACATGTTGAGATTTTGAGACCAACCATAACTGTATGTGTGAGACAGAAAATAAACTCAGACTGTCATTGTACTCCTCTGTTTATAATAAAACAAATGAACTAAATATGCAATAATACTTGGATTTGATACTTTTTCGGGACTTTCAACCTCCAGTTTAAAGTTCTTATTATCCAGACACCTCAAATGTTGGGCTTCCCCAAAGCCCATTTATCAGTCTGCAGAATAAAATAAACATGTTCAGCATATTTCATTGTTTGTGTGACTTAATGGCAAAGTAATCATGAATGTAACTTTATACATGAGTTGTGTTTTTGGCTTTTGCACCACCGTCTTCTTGTTTTCCTGATATGTTCTTTATTGGCTTTTTTTGTTTAATTATGACAATCCATTTCCTGTTTTTGGTATAGCTTGATATCCTGTTCACCAGATCCAATTTTCCTCACACTGCAGGTTCTTTGACAATTTTTTCTCCTGATGCTTGTTTCGACAGCTCCTAATTGTTTTTACACATCTTTTTGTGGTTTCAGTCGATTTGCTCGCCCTCTTTTGCTATATTTTTGTTTTTCTAGATAATTTGCTTTGACTGTATACAACCACAGAGACCGAGTGCATTCAAATGTCATTTACTGAAATGTTTACCATGTGCACCAAGTTGCTGTAAAGTTGATTTATATCAGTACTGTAGTATCACCATGTGTTAGCAATAAGTGTCTTGTATGACTAAATGCAAACCGATATGATTGGAGTACAGAGATTTCTAACATATGGACAGCTCCCTCTGCATCATTTTTTTTTTATTACCGTATTTGCCAGCGTATGAGTCGCACCTTTTTGCACTAAGTTGCAAGTCCTGCGACTTATATGCTGAAGAAAACGATATGATCCCCCCCCCCCCCCCCCATATTTATAACTCAACTTTTGGCTGAGATCTGACTATTTCATTCATTCTGACATGAAAAATATTAAACATTACCATTTATATGCAGCCGCTAGAGGGTCCTCGAGCATTATGGAAAGCCAAGTGTCTCATTAATTGGTAAAATAGGCTATGAATGCACTTGCCATACCCTTTTGGCATCCAATCGATTTTTGGCCCACGTTTCCAGATGGTCAGCGGTGACGCATAACAGATGCGACTTAATCGGCGAAGTGACTTATTTATGTTTTATCCCACTTTATTAGACATTTTTGGACTGTTTAGATTTATACGGCGACAAGTACGGTATTTGGCAACACTGAACTTCAGCAAGTATAGAAAGTGCATTGAAAGAGACACTCCAAAAGATTCAGCTGCACAAAATAAACAAGTTGTTTGTGATCTTTCTGGAGGCGAGTGCACGACTTGATGGCTGCAGGGACAGGATGCTGACAAAACATACATTTCAAACTACTGTACTTGTACTGTATAAACTGATGCAGGTGTTGCTGCTGAAGTGTTCAGCTGCTTCCTGGAAAAGAATGAATCGGCAGAAAAATCTTTTTTTTTTTTTTTTTTATTGGGGAAAAAGGGGAATCACTGTTCTTTTACAAAAGACCATTTCAGCTACACCATTTCTACATTTCAACCCAACATCACAATCATCAGAAAACCCCTAAAAGTCTCTCTGTGGCACAGATCTTCCTGATCGTCCCTGAGCCGAGAGGCAAAAACAAAGAGGTAAAAAACAGGTTTAAGATAATCGCCATGTTGCCGTACTGATATCTGCTTAAAGGAATGAGAAAGGATGGCTGCAATGGCACAGGGCTGGCATTTTATGTAACATTAATAAATTAAATTTGATCACAACATAAAATCTGACACAACGAACACAACACAGGAGAACAGTTTTTAGTTGGCACGCGAGGTGTAAAGACTGTACAAGATTTGGCACCACCGAGGAGCTCCCTCATCCAGTGTACTTAAAAAAACACGGCGTTAGAAAAGAGCACCGAAAGATGGCTGTGCTCTGGAATTCTAGTCCAGACATGGCGTCTATAGGCCATCGTGCAACTTAACCAACGGTCGGTTGGCTGGTTTTATTCTTGTGGCAACAAAGAGCATAAACGTGTCAGTTTATGTCATTGTGACGACACAGTTGAAAAATCTTTTATCTCCCAAAACCCACATGACATAAATTGCTCCCGTTGGAACAACAAAAGGCATTTGCAGAGTTTATTTTCTTTGTTTACATGGTAGTTCCCTAAAACTTGCAAACATAGACGTATAAAACCGTAGCTGTGCTCTTCCTGTTTAGGTCAAACCAGCCGGTGCTACAAAGCACGCTGTGATAATGACAAACTCCTGTGCTCTGTCTTTAAAAAACTTATTTTCTCCTCCTCTTGTTCCTTTCAGGTTCTTTCTCCTCCAACTCGTTTAGTTTAAGGGTCGCCTCTCCGCTTAGTCTTGAGCCCCTGCCTCTCCATGATGTTCCACAGCTTGCGCAGGTTGGATTGGGTGATGATGTCATCAGGTTTGAGCTGCAGAGCTCGCAGGTAGTTGGCCTCCGCTTCGGGGAGTTTTCCATTCAGGTGGAGGATGGCGCCGAGGTTCATCAGAGCAGCTGGGTACTGAAGAAAGGAACGGGAGAGGAGACAAAGATGAAACAATGAGAGGGTGGTGAGCTGATGGTTATACTATTATTGAATAAAGTCCTGTGACTTATACACCAAAGCGATTAATGTACATTTTTTTCTCCATATTTATAACCCAATTTTTGTCTGAGACCTCATGATTTCATTCATTCTGACATGGAAAATATTGAACACTACCATTTTCAGCCACTAGAGGGAGCTCGACTAGTATGGCAAGCCAAGTGTCCCATTAATAGGTAAAAGTGGCTATTAATGAGACACTTGGCTTGCCATACAGGGCCACCTTCATCTCGCTCTGGAACTCCTGGAGCAAACATCAAATCAGCTGCATTTCGTCACGCCGCCCAGGTGAAATACAGCTGTTTTGACCGTTAAAGTAAATTTATTAAGTAAAAGTTCAACTGAGACAAACCTTTGCTATAATTTCGAACAAACAAATAATTGTTTTTAAGTGTTAATCTAGTTAATTCTTGTTCAAGTCCTCCCGTGCATGCTCCCGCAGCCACCGGCAGCCAATCAATTTTTGGATACAGAACGTTTTTACTATTCAATACACTCGTATGAAACTTTTCAAAAAAGTCAGAAACAAACAAACGATTTACTCTCTCAAGTGTCCTTAAACTCATGTTTTTTAGTGTCTTTGTATTACACCAATTAAGGTCAAACAAGCAACTACATTAGTTAAATTAACTTACTACAAAGACTGTATTTTAAATGAATAGGTTAGCTACAATGCATTGTTACGGTACTCAGTCACACTGAATGAAAAGAAACATTTTGAACATGCCAGTGTTCAAAACTGTTCATCATGCGGACGAACAAACCCGTTTTAGGGAGTGTTTTTGTGGTCCCATTCAACAAAGAACCACCATTTTTTTTACGCTGCAAAGTGAAAACATCTGGACGAGTTTTGGGAATCTATAAATCCAAGTAACCAACAAACGCAACAAACAAACCCACCCAAATCCCTTCCTAGTCATCACATGTCACCCCCACACACACCACAGACTTGTTCCCAGCCCTGCACCCTCCCAGCATGACGAATGTTCACAGAATTCTCTGAACACATCCCTGGGACTCTTTTCAAAGACGTTTTATTGGTTTACATCCCACTATGGCTGATTGTAAGAGCTTGTGTGTTCTCGCCTAATCTAACTAATAAACATTTTGGTCAACTTCTGCAACAAAGTGACTGTAAAAGGTCTCTGTTTAAATAGTCAAAGCAGGAACCTCGTCAATTGGTGAGACATAATGAATCATAACAATGATGAATAGGCCTGTCAAGATAACAAATTTTGCTGGGCGATTAATTGTCTCAGAAATTATTAAAATAAACGATAATATTGTTTGAAATTTAAGAATACATTTTGGTTAATTTAATTTGGGTGTAGTACCTTTTTTGACCACTGGATGACAGTATAAGACTGTTTGAACCAAAAGATGGAAAGTGAGGGAGAAGCAGCGTGTCTCTTTAAAAAAAAATGGGAGGGAGGCCCCTTGACGTGACATGGGCTGTCTCTCCTTCCTGTTTTTCGGTTCTCAAAATGGCCGACGCTCAGTGTGGTTTGAGCTCTTTAGCATAGTATTTTTCGCACAAAGCTTTTAATAAAAAAAATCAGTAAACAAGTTCTCAGCTTCTTTTTGCAGAGAAAAACAACTTTTTACACAAAGACATGAGCTTCAACAAGACGGAGGTTTTTTTTCCCCAAGGTTAGCCTGTTAGCTTAGCTCGTAGCTTAGCTTCTCAGCTTAGCTGCTTTTAACGGTCCAAAAACGCGATTTTGGATGATTAAAACTGATTTTAAAGAGGAAGGGAGGGGTCGAGCTTTGTCATCCAGTGTCCAGTAGAAAGAGAAAGAAGAAACGATAAAGCCGATAAATGAAAATGAGGTGGACAATTTTTATTTATCATGCGATTAATTGATTTATTGTTTATCATGACAAGCCTAATGATGAACCCCTTTTATTCAAACTAACCATAAGACTGAACTCTGTATAATAAATGTAGTTGCAGTGGTTAAGTCAGGAGCATCACCTAATTTATTGTATTTTGCTACAAAGGAGTCAGACTATCTTGTAACCGGTAAATTATTTTTTGAGCAATAGCACCCTGCAGGCTTCCTGAGAGAATTTTGTAGTTTTTCTTGTTCGTTTTTTTAACTTTTTATTTATGTATTTGTGTTCCAGCCCTTGTCTCCCATTTCAGAGTATTTTCATTTTTTATTGCTCATAAGATCACTTCATAATGACCTCTGAATCATTCAGAAGCAAAAGCATTTTTGTCTGTTTGGTCTTTGCAAAGTGGATCATACATGTGTGATGCATTGGACTACATACAGAAGATGAAATATTAAAGAGATAAGGCAGCTTTGAAAAAAAACCCTACTTTTTAGTCTGCCTTTGCTGCCCACATGGGAAGTACAAACAAAACCACAGAAAGCTTCAGTATCCTAACCTTTCTTGGTCTGAAAAGCAAAGAATTTAGCCAAGCATAATAGCTGCTTTTCAATACCAGCAAGAAGCTTCAAACATCCATCCATCCATCCATCCATCCATCCATCCATCCATCCATCCATCCATCCATCCATCCATCCATCCATCCATATTCTGTCACTATTCGAGGCTATTTGAGGCAGCTGTGGCTGAGTAGTCGTCCTCTAATGGGAGAGTTGGGTGTTCCACCAGCAGTCACATGCTGAAGTGTCCCTGGGCAAGACACTGAACCCCTCATTGCCTCCGATGTGTGTCCCAACGTATGAATGTGACAAAGCACTGATTAGTCTCTATCTATAGAAGGATTTGTTCGATTAGCTTTGTAGAGATTTTTGTAGAGTGCTGCATAACTGTGTATGAATTCACTTCAATTCAAACTCAAAAAGACTTCAATGGGTAAAATGTATATATTGTGTTGTAAAGCTCTTTGATTATCTTGATTAGATCGAAATGTGAGGATTTGTGTTTTTCTAGTGTGTCTCCACCTGTTCAGGGTGTACCCTGCCTCTCATACAGTGATGGCTGGACATTGGCTCCAGTGACTCCCGCAACCCGAAAAGGAAGAAGCGGGTAAAGATAATGGATGGATAGATGAATAGTGTGTCTCCCTCTTGTGTTCTGTCCTAGCTCCTGCGTCCCCAACTGTTTCTGATCATCTCTGCCCCCAGGTGTTTGTCATTGTCTATCGTTAACATCCCTATATAAGCCTGCATCTCTTTGTGCTTCTTTGTCTGGGCCTTGTCCTGTATGACGTCCTGTTTCTGCCTCCCTCTGTGTCTCTCCCATGATCACGTAAGTTGTTGCTGACACGCCAGCCCTTTTTGTTTATTCACTTTAACCCTGAGTTCTCCGGGTACTGCCTGCACATGGGTTCCACCAAACAGCAGAAACCCAACAAGAAAGGCGCTATACAATTACAGCCCATTTACCATTTCATAGTCCATTTATGTAGTTTTTGCGTAGTGAAGGCAGCAGGTCCAGCTTGTGCTTTTTGTTAGTCACGCAGTCCCCGTCGGTAAACAAACTGTGGCAAGTTGAAGGAAGTAGGTGCACTAAATAAAGATGGTGTCAGTTTGTTAAAATAAATATATATTTGGACTGCCACATTTAAGTCATTATTGATAATTTGTGATGCATTTTTGGCTGCATTCTGTTGTCTACTTCTCTTGGTGGTAAAAGTTGTAACATTACTGAAACTGTAATAGTTGAGGCATGGCTGTATGATGTCATCATTAACCCAGAATGCATTGCACACAACACAGTAATGGTAGTCACTTTGGTTTAAAATCTGAAGTAAATATTAAGATTTTAAATAAAAAGACGTCTTTTTTTATCTTGGTGATAAGATGACAAGCTGTAATATCCTGCAGACGGTCGGTAAACACGACCTGTTCTGCATCGAAGACTGCATCATACTCCGAGATGAATCTACGAGACGGTAAATAAAGCATCCCAGTGTGGGGGGAAAAACAAATTTCCTCACATATTCAATGACGTTTTTCAGATCGGAGGGGCAGTGTTGAATCTTTCTTGACCCGGAACCATTTGGATTAAGCTTCTGTTTGAGAGACTGTCATTCTTGGAGCAGAAGAGTGCCGAGAAAATGTCAAAAGCGAAACGTTTACACCGTGACTGACGAGAGAAGCCTCCAGCGGGTCCCAACGGAGTTTCAGGCTGCGTTATAAAAACTTTAAAATAACTTTTGGTTCCAACACAGTATTGTATTAAAATTAATAACCAAAAGTCCTCTATGCTCGAAGTGGATAGAAACAGACAGGGAGACCTTAATCATCAAGAAATAAATCAGTCCCCCCCCCCCCCCCCCCCCATTTCAAAAGAACATTAAGAACATATAGCTTTATATTATTGATATACTTGTGAAAAAATGACCCAAATAGTTAAAAACAGCAAAAACGCCAACAAATAGTTATAAAATTCTACATAGTAAAACCGAGACTTTTCTATTGAGTTTTAAATGGACACATATGAGGTAAAACATGCGCTGTAGGTGAAGAGGCGCTTGAACTAATCCGACAGACGTGAAACATTTGGAGACTGCGCTTCAAAGAGCGCTGCAGACTTACGCCGGTTAATGCAGCGAAGACATAAAGGTCAAAGCCTTTTCTCATTGTGGCGCTGCATAAGTCACAGTCGACTCAAAGCAGACCCCATAACAAGTGGCTGCAGGAAGCCCACCCTCCAGCTCTTTTTTTTTTTTTCTTCTTCCAGCAGCCTCAGCCTTTGAAGTGACTGATGCACACAAGGTGGAAACAGAATATAATAGCTTCAAACTTCCTTAGCTGCTGACATTAAGAGACATGAAATCCCCTCAAGGCTCCAACTGTTCGACTACACTGAGATGATCGAGTGTCTACTCTGGAGTTGACTATAGCAATAACCACTAAACTCATTTCTCTTCACGTGTTTGCTAACACTCATCCAGATGCAATCTCAGAAACAACCAGACCGTGGTTTCCAGTTAGTCTACCCTGCAACACTGGAACAATGGTGCTCCCTTCACCCAAGTGTCAGGATGGTGGGTAATGCAGGTTTTATTGTAAATTGAATTTATGCAGCAGCCACATGAGTGTTCAGAAGAAGAAGCACAAACGGGCCCAGGTACTTACGTCTGGTCTGAGGCTGGCTGCACGCTCATACTGCCTCTCTGCAGCTTTGTTTAGATTGGCCTGTCTATGGAGAAAGAAGAGCGAGTGTTTAAAACAAACAACAACAAAAAAAAAAAAAATCACAAAAATAATTATAGCATAAATAAAGACGTATTAACAGAGTTTAGCAATGTCATTGCATTTATTCATTGTTAAATGGATAATAAATATAATATGATGTAACTGTATTTTTTTTAACTACCAGTAAGAAATAACTTCCTAAATTTTTTTTAACTGGTTTTATATGAAATTGAAGTGAAATAGTCAGTCTTTGCACGTTAAATCTAGCATTTTTTAAATTTTACCCTTTTCATGGATTTATCTGTGGAGCTTAAAGCCATGCCCACTCTCCTGCACACCACTGTGGTGTCACATGACCTTTCTTTTCATCATTAATTAACTACATCTAAACATATTTGAAAAATGAGTTGAGTGGGTGAGACTTAAAACTTGCCAACAGGGAATATTATGAGGATTTGAACATAATTTTAGTGGTAGTACAAACATTTATTAGGCTGATATTTGGTGTGGTAGTAGCCAAGAGTAATCTCCAGTACATAGTCGGAGTACTACACATTGTGCAGTACTTTTGCTTAAAGCTGTGTCATTATTTGTTGGCATCACTGGTCTGTTGGAAGAAGCACAGATTTTCTATAGACTCAGGAAATATTCACTGGAGATTCACCTACACGTCTTTAACTTCTGTGATCGTCAAAGTACCAAGATAAAAAATCTCTACACTTCAACAGCACATTATGAAATTCTCCTAAAGACTGTGTATAATATCATTTACACGGGTTGATTAAAACTGCTATAATTCAATCTTGTGTCATCAGAAGAGTATCGTAGTGTAAAAATAAGGCTTGTTAGGCTTTTGTTTAATTAAAGTGAGAAAATGAAGAGATGTCAAAGTCTAAACCTTTTTTTTTTTTTTTTTTTTTAAAAAGCAATTTATTTTTTAACCCCCTTTTAAAAAAAAAAAAAAAAAAAAAAAAAAAATCACCAAAAAACTATGTGGATTCTCTTCTTTGCCTTTGTGTATATAATCATGATTGTGAGCACCGTTAATGTAAAGATCTGTTTTTGTCCTGTGATTTTTTTTTAATTTTTTTTTTCTACTCTCCCTCTTGTAATCAGTTCTTCCTCGTCCAACTGTTGCCCTTCCCAGGTGTTCTGTGCTCACCCCTCGTTAGTGTGCATATATATTCTGCGTTTTGTTCGTGTTCAAGTCCGAGGATCATGGTGTCATGATCTGTCTTTGCTCCTCTCGTGATCACACTATCTCCTATAAGTTTTTGTTCTCATTAATTATTTATTTTATCCTCCGAGTTCCCTGTGTCTGCACTTTGGGTTCAACAAACCAACAGATCATGTCAGTTAATGCCGTGAAGAACGAACTTTACTTTGTCATAAACTCAAAATCTTTTAACATCTAAAACGACTTGAGAGAACGGTTTCTGGGACAAGTTAGGACACAGGTAGCAAAACTGATTACACGGTCAAGAATAGTTCATATTTTCTTAAATCCGAGGCAGATAAGAACGCTGTTGATAAATGCTTCAGTCCTCCCTCGCATGTTGCAGCTGCAGACATGAGGCAGAAACATTTCTGCTCCACACATGAAATATTGTGAAAAAAGTCCATGCACTAGACTCTGCTGCGCCAAATCTAATAAGGAGCTTTTCTTGCGTGGTAATTCATATTTGTAAGACTTGAGTAAATATGGCTTCGTAGTAGAAGGTTTACTTAGGTTCAGGGTCTAATACTGTAGTTTCTTTTTTTGTTTTTGTTTGGGACAGTTTTAGAAAGTTATTAAACAGCAGATACTGTATTTTCCCGAGTATTAAGTTGCATCAGTCAAAAAAGCATCATGAAGAGGAAGGAAAAACGAGTCGCTTCGGCGTATAAGTCGCATTTATTATGCGTCACCGCTGACCAGTCGCGTTTATTTTCTGGTCAAAACAGCTTTATTTCACCTGGGTGGCGCAGCGCCATCCATCCATCCATCCATCGCAACCGGAGCCGCTAGCTCTCCAGCGTACCTCCACCTGCACTAGCTGAGTGAAGCGAGTGTGCACGGGCGGACTTGCTTTTGCAGTTCTTTTGAAATTTAAAGTGTCAGTCAAAAAGTGCATTATGAATATGAATAAAGTATTTAAGTCGCAGGACTGGCGAATCTATGCCAAGACAAAAAAAACAGCAACTTATATGCCAGAAAATACGGTAAAAGGAAAAATCCTAGATGAGTAATATTTACCAGATTAGGTTATATTTAGCATTTAAAATCCACCCTACTTGAACAATTTAAATGGTTGATTTGGAAAACGTGTCTTCTAGTGGGATTTCCTGATTCCACAGCAGCACAGACCTCAAACCAGGCTTTTTCATCATCAAAGCTCTTTTAGCTTTAAAACGTGTGTGGGTGTGTGTGTGTGTGTGTGTGTGTGTGTGTGTGTGTGTGTGTGTGTG